TTGTTCAACTACTTCTCATACAACTACTACAGGCTCAACCACTTCTCATACTACCACTCCAAGTTCAACTACTTCTCATACTACTACAGGTTCATCAACTACAAGTTCAACTACTTCTCATACAACCACTACAGGGTCAACGTCTAGTTCAACCACTTCAAGTTCAACCACTTCTAGCACAACCACTACAGGATCAACCACTTCTCATACTACTACAGGTTCAACCACTTCTCACACAACTACTACAGGCTCAACGTCTAGTTCAACAACTTCGCATACAACCACTCCTAGTTCAACTACTTCTCATTCAACTACTACAGGTTCAACCACTTCTCATACTACCACTCCAAGTTCAACTACTTCTCATACAACTACTTCTAGCACAACAACTACAGGCTCAACTACTTCTCATACTACAAGTTCAACTACTTCTCACACAACTACTACAGGATCAACTACTTCTCATACTACCACTACAGGCTCAACCACTTCTCATACTACCACTACAGGTTCAACAACTTCTCATACTACCACTCCAAGTTCAACCACTTCTCATTCAACTACTACAGGTTCAACCACTTCTCATACTACCACTCCAAGTTCAACTACTTCTCATACAACTACTTCTAGCACAACTACTACAGGCTCAACCACTTCTCATACTACAAGTTCAACCACTTCTCATTCAACAACTACAGGTTCAACAACTTCTCATACTACCACTCCAAGTTCAACCACTTCTCATACAACTACAGGTTCATCAACTACAAGTTCAACCACTTCTCATACTACCACTACAGGTTCAACTACTTCTCATACTACTACTACAGGCTCAACCACTTCTCATTCAACTACTACAAGCTCAACAACTTCTCATACTACCACTACAGGTTCAACTACTTCTAGCACAACTACTACAGGGTCAACCACTTCTCATACAACTACTACAGGCTCAACCACTTCTCATACTACAAGTTCAACTACTTCTCATACTACTACTACAGGTTCAACTACTTCTCATACTACAAGTTCAACTACTTCTCATACTACTACTACAGGTTCAACTACTTCCCATACTACTACAGGTTCATCAACTACAAGTTCAACCACTTCAAGTTCAACTACTTCTAGCACAACTACTACAGGTTCAACTACTTCTCATACTACCACTCCAAGTTCAACTACTTCTCATTCAACCACTACAGGTTCAACCACTTCTCATACTACTACTACAGGCTCAACCACTACAGGATCAACTACTTCAAGTTCAACTACTTCTCATACAACTACAAGTTCAACTACTTCTCACACAACTACCACAGGTTCAACGTCTAGTTCAACCACTTCTCATTCAACAACTACAGGTTCAACCACTTCTCATATAACCACATCTAGCACAATCACCTCTAGTACTACTTCATCTCCTACTTCCAGTTCTTCCGCTATTTTAACCACAACAACCTCTGGGACAACCAGTTCCACTACTTCAAGTTCAACCACTTCAGGATCCACCACTTTTACAACTTCCACCACTACAAGTTCAACCACTTCTAGCACAACTACTACAGGATCAACCACTTCTCATACTACAAGTTCAACCACTTCTCATACTACCACTACAAGCTCAACCACTTCTCATACTACTACTACAGGTTCAACCACTTCTCATACTACGACTACAGGTTCAACAACTTCTCATACTACCACTCCAAGCTCAACCACTTCTCATACTACTACTACAAGCTCAACCACTTCTCATACTACAAGTTCAACCACTTCTCATTCAACCACTACAGGTTCAACCACTTCTCATACTACCACTACAAGCTCAACCACTTCTCATACAACTACAGGTTCAACAACTTCTCATACTACCACTCCAAGTTCAACCACTTCTCATTCAACAACGTCTAGTTCAACTACTTCTCATACTACCACTACAGGCTCAACGACTTCTCATTCAACCACTACAGGTTCAACAACTTCTCATACTACAAGTTCAACCACTTCTCATACAACTACAGGTTCATCAACTACAAGTTCAACGACTTCTCATACTACAACTACAGGTTCAACAACTTCTCATACTACTACTACAAGCTCAACCACTTCTCATTCAACTACTACAAGCTCAACAACTTCTCATACTACCACTACAGGTTCAACCACTTCTCATACTACCACTCCAAGTTCAACCACTTCTCATACTACTACTACAGGTTCAACCACTTCTCATACTACAAGTTCAACCACTTCTCATTCAACAACGTCTAGTTCAACTACTTCTCATACTACCACTACAGGCTCAACCACTTCTCATTCAACCACTACAGGTTCAACAACTTCTCATACTACCACTCCAAGTTCAACCACTTCTCATTCAACAACGTCTAGTTCAACTACTTCTCACACAACTACTACAGGCTCAACGTCTAGTTCAACCACTTCTGGTTCTACCACTTCAGGCTCTACTACTTCCACTACTTCTGGTTCAACCACCTCAACCACTTCCACCACTGTCTACACAACAGTTTCTACAACTACATCAGGCACCACTACATCAGCAACCACGACTTGGACTACTACATCGTCCACCACTTCTGCCACCTCGCAAACAACTACTTCGACTACCAACTTCTCTACCACTTCATCTACCACCACAAGCACTACGACGAGCACAACCACCCCCCATTATACGACTATTTGGACTACTGTACGAACGTATACGACCACTTACCCCGGCCACCCTAGTTCTTACCCGCCCCACCCTGGCCCGATCAATCCTCCCCCAGGACATCCTGGTCCAGTTCACCCTACTCCAGTCCCCGCGCCCCCCCATCATATCCCTGGGTCCAAGCCTCCGCCAGCCCAGGTCCCCAAGAATTCCGCAAATGCCTCTGGCACACCCCTGGGCAGCGTCCTGATTGCAGTTGCTACGTTCCTTTTTGCTACTATTTAATCATCCAGATAGGCGGCCTACTTCGTGGGGAATCGGCTAGAGCTGTTGTGAGCCGTAGTCTACACAATCTAGGTAACCAATAAGAATATCTTTGTTAAGACGATTCACGCTTGTTTTTATAATCTCCGTCAACAACCCTAACTATAATAGACTCGAAATCTGGTGGAACGTTGCCTAGGCTTACTTTACTTACCTAGGCTTTGCCCAGACGAGCAATCCTTGTGGACTTGGAGCGATACTGAGATGCAGGATCAAACATGGGTGAGGCTTTATGATATGGCTTCAGTTACATTAATACTAAATAAGCGAGAGAAAAAAAACAGATACTTTTATAAAAAAAAAAAAGAAAATAAAGAAAATCGTTGGAAAAAAAAATAGTAAAAGTGTTGCTAATTTTTGTCATATTTTCGGATGATCTTAAGGAGAAAGAGAGACACATTAAAACTTAAGGTATTGATGTTACTCTTTGATATAGGAAAGTAATGATAATAATAATGATTGGTAAAACAGGAGGCTAATCTTAATATCACCAGTTAAAGATACATGTATGTTTAATCAAAGGAATATATTGAGGGATTCTAAAATCTTTGAATAAATTTCCGCAATTTCTGTACGTCTTACGTCCGTTGCGTACTTGGAGACATGCGTAATAAACGAAGCTCTTGTTATAGCGAAAGGTATTTTTCCCCCGCAACCATCGCATCGCCTAAAATGCGTTTCCCATGTTGTAACCAATTTGCTTCCTGTGTCGGAGATTCGAGGCAGGTGATATTACATTTGACGCCGATGTCTATTTGAGCCTTGCCATCTTAGGGGGTCGGGAGGATATAGCGGCTGATGGAAGCGAGCATGTATGTTATGAAACTGTGCTGGTGGAGTTAGAAAAAATCTTCAGACAGTTTCCAGTCAGAATCGAAAGTCGATCCAGCTCAGAGGCTCAGAACCTTGCATATCAGATTCAGCATGCTTTTACCACGGGAAGGAGTTCTGTGGAATTTCTCCGGAGTACGATTGTCATGAGGGTACGAGATACCTATAAGGCTGTAAGGCAACAAAGAGAACCCAACCCCCCCCCCCCTTGTATATAGCTTCAGCTTTGCCCGTAAGAAGGTTAAAGGGACCCTTGCGCAGCAATTTTATTATATGAATAGCGTTTCACCGGTCACAGACTCCATACACATTCCGGAACTTTCGAATCGAGATTCGAGGTGATACCAGTCAAATGTGATAGATCCGGCCAGTTAAAGCCGCTCAAGGATGATACCAATTTTAATAAGTACGCTATATTATTCAAATTCAAGTCAGGGAGAAATTACCCTCCGCTATTCTATGATTACCTTTTTTAAGACGCAGTAATTAGAGTGTAAACATGGTAAGTAACGGAGGTGATAGTTATTGCGCTCGGGAGATTGAGACTCAACTACAGGGCACTGTTATAAGATAAGCTTCATAGAGTAGATTATCAGCAAGCTAAAAGAAATTCTATCTAAACAACTACAGGCTTGTAAGTGATGATGAAATTTGCTAGTTTTGGTTCTGCTTTCCCTTCTTGGCCATTTTAATCGATGCAGCCCTATTATTTAAAGGTTGTCGAGAGATTCCAGCAAGGTAGCTGAGGCTAAGGTTAGCACTAAAGATAAATGATCAAGCTCTTCTCAGACCGCGTGAAGTATTGGGTTATACTAGGCTCCATATAAGCCAATATCACACTCTTAAATATATGCGGCTGCAATAACATGGCGTTTCGTTCGCAACGACTGCTAATAAACAAACAATGAAGCTTAGCGTACCCTAAAAATTCTACCCAACAAACATGACGTACCCTTAAAATGACATCAGCCTAGTAATCTCCCTTAAGTAGGTAGTCATATGACCCTTGTAGCTGGTGCTAGGTGTGGCATGTTGACTCCTTAGAACGTGGAGTCTATATACCTGTGTCCACACGTTCGCCAATGCAAGGTGTAGCATGAAATGTTCAGTTAAGGGTGGTACAACTCCCTTTCTCGCAAGGTATATCTTTAGGTTGCTCATCTGGATACCTAGATAGGGAGTGCATGAATGTAATCAAGCTAATAGGGACGAATTAAGTGCTACCTGGTGGGCCTTCTTCGTTCATATATATGCCGGAAACGTGGTGTTACAAGGCCATGTCATAATAGCAAACTGTCTTTTCGAGGGAGAAGGCTTTCCGCAGTAATATTTCTAACCGTAATAAAACAATCATATAAAATCATCTTGAATTCTCGGAGAGATCAGCCAGGACTTCACATCGTACAACCCCCAACAGCCAGTTCAATCGCTTGATTGGTTTGTGAAGTTATCTCTCATTGCGTACTCGAAAAGAGGGCACACAATTCAAGGCCAATAATTCACTCATGCAATATATCCGTCTTCGACTGGGTGCTACTAGCAACTTAGGAATTCCCATACAATGGAATATTCGGCTAATGGCCTCGACCCCTACGGCTGGTCGGCGTTCGCACCCTCATATGGAGAGAGCACAGATTGGCGCTCAGTACCCACTGAAAAAGAACTTGCCCAGCTTCATGAAGAATTCTGCGGCCTACTGGCAAAAAACCATGTTCAGGATCGGATTAGGGGATATGTTGAGGAATACCTTTACCCAAACCTTCAGCCGCCAGAAATAAAGATCGAATTCGGCATGACTCGCTTCCAAGGACCCTACACAGATGCGTTATGCGACGCAACCTATACGCCTACTATATATATAAGCGTTTGCGACAACTTTCAGGGATTGCTCGACCTGAAGAGAGCCATGGTATGTCAGGGAATTGTGGAACGCCCTGATAAAGACTACAACCAACTATCGGATATAGAGAGGGATTGGAGAACGAGGAAGTATTGGGTAGAGAGTGCGATAAGCCAGATTTACCAACCACTGAAGAAAGTCACCAATGAAAAGGGGGCTAAGTTGAGAGACATGACTTGCAATGTTAGTTCTCCGGGGTCATTTATTCCTCCTTGGACAAGTTTTCGGGCCTCACTTCTCCTGCATTCTCCTCAACCATGCACCGAATCCTTATTATTTTTGGTGATTACTGACTCCAGCGCGTCAAATAGATCCGATTCACCGAGCCTTCGAAGCACTTATATCAATCGTTCACTTCTGAGTTGGGGATGGTATACCGAGTACCGAGGACCGGCTGAACCAGCTGATAGGTTTTCAAAAAATGGTGGCTCTTTTTGGGGGGAGGGGGGCTACTGAAAGACCCTCACAATGAAATGCTCAGATTGAGTATACCGCGAAGAGTCTTCATAGATGATGTAGAGGATTATTGATGGGGGGTGTGTGTGAATGAGATCAACTAGATGATACCCCTAGAACCTCCACAGAGGCGCACATCAGTACTGTGAGGTGCTATTCTGTCTCATAAATGTCTGCTTCTTCTCTTTGCTTCTTGTCTATATAGTAGCTCATTAAGCTTAAAAGCTAAAATTTCAAGATTAGTTAGTTAAACATGAAAGGTAAAGAGATACGGGTTTGGGCACATCTCTTCATTGTATTGAATATCTTAACTTCAGCGCACTGCTCTTATGAAGAGGATGGGTTTACTTGCTGCTTTAGAATTATTCACCACATAGACCACTTCCAACCGCCTTAACTCTATTAAATCCGCCTTAGGGTTCTTCATTACCCAACTTCATTCCAATAAATTACAAGTTATGACGACCATCGTAATATAAGATATACAGATGTCGTACCTTGTGCATGATGTGTGCTATGTTTTCAAGAGTAAACCGGTAACCCTCCGAAACTGCCCAGCTTATAGGTAGCAAAATATTTTATTTCCTCTAGATACAATAATAAGGGATTTATTTCTATAATAGTCCTCCTTTACATAACTCTTTCAAGCTACAATAAGTACAGCACAATCGGCAATTTGACAACAATGTCTTATATACACTTGAATCTCATTAAAGGGTTACTTGAGTTCAAATTCAGATGTCTGATAGGACATATTGTTATAAGACACCTACTGTAGTAACAAACTAGAACCCAAACCTCTTTCGCAGTGGTCGTATAGGGTTTGGATAACTGCAGCATATTATTAATGTACACATGAATAGTAATAAGAGCACTTACAATATGAAGCAAGAAGAGGAACGAAACAATGCAACTATACCAATAATTTGTAAGCAAGATATCAATCGGGGTTGTAAAAATAGCCAACTATGCCAATGCTGTACACACTCAGTTACATTTAGAGGAAAGACGACATGCCCTCGATTCACATAAGATACTGTACGGACGTTAGTCGGACGATGAATTAAAGCCACGTACAATCCTGAATACATTTTCTCTCTCATTTCACTATTGACGGTGAAGAACCAGACAACATCATTGCATTAAGATTATGAAACCCAGCAACATGTATACCCAACGCTCTATTCGCTGTATCCATTCTTCACATTGAAGTGCCTTTGATATCATGTACATGGCAGCTGGTTATTTCCGGGAAGCCCATCATTCCATCAACCCAGTTAGTAGGAGCTCTACCAAACCCTGTAACGATCCCGCGAGTTCCACAGGCACTCGACTGAGGACGAACTACACCACGTGGTGATATACATTTATCTATTATTTTTCCTCGCCAAGCACATCATCATATTGTACAGCAGGCATAAGACATAATATCCACACAAGTATACCTAGGCAATAACGCACAAATATGCCTTAAGAGAGGCAGCAAGAGAGCGTAGGGAGGCTCTCATTGACCGTTCTTCAGCCCACTGAGGACTGAATCCCAGCTGTATCGAGGAATATCGTAACGTCCCTATACCGATACTAAGTAAGAGTAGAACCCTGCCATCCACCCTCGATCAGCTTTAAATGCACCGCCCATTTTTTGAGTCTGGCACCCCCCTGGACGCCTTACCGCTCAATGCCTGACACTCCATAAACCTCATTGCATTACATTTTAGTTTGATAAATCAACCTCTTTGTGATGCCGCCTAATATCTTCAACACAGATTTTTGTGTCTGAACGAATGAATAACAGGAGAGTTGGTATATCTAACCACGGAATGCAAGGACCGTCGGTTTGATTGCAAGTAGAATGTTATATTCGCTGATAGAATAATAGGTAGGCGACCTTGTTGTCCTTGATATTATCCTTGACCGGCTTGGTTTTCGCCGGTAGGCTGTTAGTTGGGCCGTTGGTATTCACTACCGAGCTCCATTTCTTGGCACCAGCAGCAACGGAAGTGACTTTGTTCCAGCCTTCCTCTTCAGCTCCATCTTCGTCCCCAATGCCTTCAAACCGGTTTCCTGTGGTAGGACCTATTACGATAGGTTTTTGGCTAACTTTTGCGGCGGATTTTGCGGTATTCTTATCTAGATTAGCCGCTGCTACATCCTCGCTTCGGATGCGTCGGATAACGGTGTCGTCGAGACGAATCCATTCCCTGTCATCTTGACGCCGCAAGTCCACAGTGTAGTGACCACCACTTGCAGACTTGCCATGATGGTAGACAGCTGCGGTGAGTTTATATTTAATAGACCCACCACCTTCAGCTTGGAGTTTGGCCTTCCTGCCCGGGGAGAACATCTCGTCAGGAAGCTCAAGCTCCAAGGGGTAATCGATTTTCGTCCAAAGTTTCACAGTACCGTTAGTTATGGGATCAAATTGAAACCGTTTTAAGTGAAGGATAAGGACCGGCGGTAGAGTCTCGATTAATACCTGTTTGGTCGTCCTTCTCTGAGGGTCGAACTCCATGTTTTCAGGCCGGGCCATATGTTTCAGTGCGTCCACAATGTTATTGACATGTGCGTCACCGATGTCCAGCTGTAGAGACTGATAGCTCTGGAAAGTTACACTCTCCTTCTGTCCGTGAACCCTTAATGCTGACCGTTGTTGCCCAGTAAAGATCTTGGTAATTGGAGATGGTGGCGCTACATGACCAGAGGAGCGCGTAATGGCTGCTCGTTGTTTCCGGCCTACCTCAAGCCATTCGCTCGAGTCATTCGTGTGGGTTGGTGAAGATGTGCCGGTAGGCGTGGCGGCGGAGGCGTCGGTAACTACTGAAGTTTCATCGAGCTGACGCATGACATAATTACACTCCTCACCAATGGCCTGGAGGAGAAAGCCGAGAAATTCTTCTGCATCTTGTTGTTGTCCACGCTGCACATCCGATGTGAGTAAAGGCTTGATAAATTGTAAGTGACTAAACATACCTGCATGCTTGCAAATCTAGGCAATCGCTTCATGGCTTCATACACAAATTCAGGAGTGAATGCATCGCCGTACTTTTCAAGTTCTTCACTCTTCAGCCGTTTCTGAAGGTACTCCGCCGACACAGCGGAGCTGATTACTTTATACTCTTGTAGTAACATAACCCTGGTATCTGTATCAGCTGGGAGTACTTGAACAGTGCAGATCATACAACTATAGCTTACATGGCATCAATGAGTGGTGTTTCGCTGTTGAAACTATGTGCCGCTTTCTTGCTTACTTGCTCTAAGAAATCATAAAATGGAGTGCAGAATATTAATGCTTGAAGAACCTAAGGACGTCGTTCAGTGATGAACTCGAAAAAGAGACTAATTAGATGAACTTACAGAATTCATGTAGCACATGTTTCCGGTGTTTACTAAACCTCTAGGTTCGAGAAATGCAAGTTTTTGACCGCTAGAAACTTCGTAGTCTCGCAGGGCATCCGCCAAAGAGCTGGCATTGGACTTTACAAAGCTTCTGAGACCACTGTCCACAACGCCTGCACCGGAAGAGTGTGTACCGAAATTTGTGACACTGGACACAGAGTTACTGGGGCCCTTTAGAGGTGTGATAGTAGGCGTAGCCTTTTTGAAGAAGTTAGTCCAAAGAACAGGAGCTTTTGGAGTTTCAATGAGAGGCTCAGTTGTAAGATCAGCCTGTACTGTCTGGACCGAGGGCTGTGGAAGATTATCACGTGAATCAGAGTCCGGGGGAGCTTTGAGCTCTTTGGGGCTCGGTTTTGGCCTTGTTGGAATGACTGGAACTGCAGGGACTGCAGGGCGTGCGGTGGATTTGTTGGTCTTTGTAGAAGTGGAGGCAACGGAAGGTTCGGCTGTGTGTGACACTGGAGTGGAAGATACAGACTGCGTATGTGCATCCTGAGATGAGCTTTGAATTGACCCTTCCGAGGATAAATGGGAAGCCGAGGTAGCTGTAGTGATTGCTTCCTCAAGGATATTATTGGGAGCTATTGAGACATTTGAGGACGAGAAGTTCGGATATTCTTCACATGAGACGCCATTGTTTTGTACTGGGGGCAATTCTACCAGCGAAGCGACATTAGTCTTTCTCCGTCTTCTCCTAAATTTGGTGGCCCGTGGAGGAAAATATTCGCCAGGATGCGAGTACCATGGTAGCTATGAGAGAGCATGTTAGCGTATTCGACAAGCAAATGCGCGCGTGATAGTAACTTACTGGAGGCCTAAACACTTGCGGTGTAATCTCTGCCTCTGAACGTGGAGGCGTAACCGCTTGAGGTTTAGATATTTCCGGTGACAAGGGGGTGGTAGCTGGTTGAGACGATTGAGTCGAGGTCGGCGTTTCAGCAACGGGTGCCGGGGCAGGCGAGGCAGCAGTGGGCAACAGAGGCGGCGTGGATAAGGCTGGTGAGGATTGCTGAGCAGGAGGCGGCCGCGGGTAAGGCTGTGGGTGTGCTTGCATACTCGATGAAACAATGGGAGGGTATGTCTGATGAACAGAAGGTGGCGACCGCTGTTGCGGATAGGTGCTATAGGATGAGGCAGAGTAATGGGAGTTGGGGATATGCGAGGCCTGGTAATGGACAGGGTGAGGTGGATAGTAGGCGTTGGCATAAGGATTCATATAGCTGTTTGGATACATCATTGCAGCGTGTTGCTGATGCTGGTGGTAGGCGCCTGGATGGGCCGGGTACGGAGGTTGCGGCGGCCTACGTCTACCTCCATTCAGAACTGGACCCGAGGCTGGACCTCCAACGCCGCCAGGCATAGGCTGCCCAGCCGGCAGATGATTACCGTTCATCATGCCGGCTTGGGATGAATAAAGCAGTGGTTATCCCACCGCTTTCGCTGTACAACCACGATGTATGATCCGTAGCGCTTCCTCAGAACAGCTCTGACGGTAGCAGTGAGAAGGTCACGGTGACGGTGGTCGCTTGCCAGTGGATCGAGGAGCTCAGGGTATTCTCGGGTTTGGCTGCGCAGGCACGTTTGGAAGACGTCTGTTCTGTCGCGATCGCCGTCCGGGTCCGATGAGGTTCCGCGACCCCAACAGCATGAAGAAATTATCGACGCGAGCCGCTGCTGCTTATGCACTATTGCAGCAAGCGAAAGACTGGCTAGAGTAAACAAAACAGCACGAAAAGCACGTGTATGGAGAGGCTTGGTGGTCGTCTCACTTCAATACGGTGCGGGATGAGGTCAATCCGAAAGATTTCTTCCAAAGTTTTCGGGGCCTGTCCTGTCCCCAATAGCTGCAGGCGCCGAAATTACGGGAAGATGCGCCACACTGTTCAGGCGACAGGAGCGGAGGTCGACTTAGGTGCTACCTAGGTACCTCTAGGTACCTTGTCGGACACTTGGAAGGGACCAGCTTACCTCATTGAAATGACACTGCGCCACATGTTGTTCGATGCAAGTAATGAAGTCATGCTTTTACCTAGGGGTTACACTAACGGGATCAGCCCCGGGACTTGCCGACACCTCCTTTGAACAATAACAGCTTTCCAGACACATATCCTATTCCATTTAGTTTAACAACGTGTGGTACATGTGTAGTTGGTTGATCATGCCTCGAAGTTTGAATGCAAGCATCGGATAGTGAGAGGTGTGTCCCCATTCCCGAGGACCATCTCATATTACTCGTCTCGGAAGATCCATAAACCCCCGGGTCGCATAGCCTCTCTATATCTTTCATCGATAATCTCTAACTCCAGCTTTGCTGCTTCTTCGTTGTACTCTTCACCCTCCTGGGTGCTTGGAAAATCTGTTCTCCAGAACCCAGGCGGTGTTGGCATACGAGGATAGCGGTGGCGATGTTTACCGCTTGCATTTGCCAACTCTCTCATTTTAGCCTCAACCCATAGCGTTTCTTTCTCAGCTTTAGACATAGCAGACAGCCGATGGCAATCGTCGCCAAGATAGGATTCGAGTAGACGGTGGAACTCATCCGGACGGGTACTTGCACGCAGCGACTGGGCCAAGGCGCGAAACTTATGACCGCAGCAATTCTCTTTGACACAACCCTGGAGGCAGGTCCGATCATCCTTCCTACGGATTACATCGGTGAAGGCGTAATTATAACCTTCATTTGCATGAGGATTGATCTTGAAATCATCAAGCCGCAGTTTTGACTTTGGAGTTTGTCGCAGAGGCACTTCCATCTTCCTTTTCTCTGTTCCGCTTATAATATCTTCCAAGTTGCCATCTTGATTATTCGGGCCGAAGGCAGGCTCCAAGACGTCCGATCTGGTTTTGGGGATCAACCCTTCTCTCTTTCGACCGTCTTTGCCAAACGGAAGCTCTCGCCTCTTTGGCAACTGCAAATAAAGATTTGACGACTGGCCATCCTGGGCCGGAAAATCATGATGACGTGACTCGTTTGCTTGTTGCCGCGAGGGCTTGTCGAGAAGATGTCCCAGAGCGCCTCCTCGTAGTCTAGGTTTACTTCCCGAAGAGGTAATAGTTTCGGTCGGATATTCAATCTCAGCAAGACTTGTAAGGCCTCGTGGGACGGAAGGCCTTGTGCTGCTGAAGGCGGTGTTCGATCTCGGTGGAAGAGCTTGATTGGTGTTATGAGATGGTAGGGCGGAATTAGCTCTACCTTGAAGCTGGGCAGGGCTGGTAACTATTGAATTTCTTTTTGACATGTCACTCGCCGGGTTTTGGTTATGTTGGTCAGTATTAACATGGGGCATGATCCTTGCAGCGCGATCATGGTCTTGGACTTCCACATCATTGTAATCGCTGTTGCTGAGGTGCACATTGTGGATTCGCTGATGTTTTGTATGCTTCCTTGGGGTTTCCACTCTACGGTATTCAGTATCAAAATCAACACTTTCTTGAGGAGTAAAGCGCCGAGACTCAACTGTGCTCTGGAACTCGGGACTACTTTCAATCTTGACTCTCCTAAGAGCAGGCTTGTCACTTCCATTATTGCCATCGTATTTTCGCTTCCGTACGCTGCATTCTGAGACCACAACTGGTGTGTCCGACGACGGCTCTAATTTGACGTGTTTTCCACCTTCCGTAATCTCGCGATTTCGGGGTAGTGAAGGGAGACATACCACCTCTTCATTCGACTCGAGGATATTGCTCATTCCCGAAGTCGAAGCCAAGGAATTACTCTCGCCTACACTTGAGACTGTTGAGGGTGACCTCCGCCTTGCATCTTCTATGCGGGTCGGGGCTGCTGGAAGACGCCGAGGAACATTGGCAAGAACAGCCACCGCTTGATTTAGCTGTTCGGGTTGCGGAGAATGAATAGTAGTTGGGATAGTGGGTTCCATTGCCATGTCCATTGACCCACCGTCCGAGGAGAAGCTCAGGTTTAGGGGTTCCTGGCAAGCCTCAGCTAGTCTTGCCTCGAGTTTCTTAATCCTCTGAGCACGTTTCTGGGATTGTTCACCCAGTTGCTTCGCATGGTCAACCCATTGATGATACATAGTAGTCCGCTCCCGAAGAAGGTCGTTCGACTTGTTCAATGCATTGTGAAGATCGAAATACTTCCCATGGAGTTTCCCATACTTTTTCTCAATGCGCGAATACTCCGACTGAAGATCTGCAAGGGATAAGCTATTGATATCATCCTTGCTCGGCTGCTTTGAATTAAGTTGATTGATGGACTTGGGCGCTAGGGGTGTCCGTAGATCTGTCTTCTGGTTGACTGCATTGGGAGTGTGGTTCCTTTCTTGGCCTGCCTCTTTGAGGGCCTTGACTTCGTTTCTGAGCTTGACATTTTCTTCCTCTAGACGGCTTACCCGGGAGGCTCTGTGTCTTAATGTGTCGAGTTCGGCAGTGAGATTTAGCAGTTTGTCTTGGGTATATGAGTCGAAGTCTAAGTGTGCTTGCAATTCATTAGCAAGAGACAGCTAGGCTACCAAAATGAACAAAACCTATACCTGTCTTGAAACTACTGTTGATCCGATCGCAAGCATCCCCTAAAGCTTCCAACAAGACAGTCTTGCCGACATCTCTAAACCAGTTCTCCATGTCACCGCACGTTACTGTCTGAATTGTGAGCGCGTTCGCTCCTTGCGACCCGGGGACTTCAATTACCGATACGAGGAGAAGGTATACGATTGCATTGGGTTTACTCCTTATTCAACATCATAGAGTTGACGCAGAGGTGCGAGGGAGGAAGGTAGGAAAGTAGGAGGCTGTTGCAGAGCGCGCTCTCCATCGGGTAAGCACCTTATGACGTGAGGAATGAGGTCGAATATTCATTTAAACGCGTTCGCAACGACGCGACTCCCCTTACCGAGGCCTAGAACCCTAAGTACTCAGTGGGGTCTGGCTAAGCGAGTCTTATCCACTTTGGTCTAGTGCGGAGATGGCCCATTAGCTTACCTAATCAGATCTCGTTCAAGGTAGGCACGGGACTTGCAAATATTTACTCAGGTAGATAAGTACTTATCAGAGCTTATCTACTATTTACAAACATGCTTCGGCAAACTTTGGATATTGGGTCAACAAGTCAAGGCATGTACTGTATAGTAAGGATGTCTTAATATCGAATCAAGACCCTAAAGGCGGGCCTCGCGCTGAAGTCCTAGGTATCGTAAAAATGCAGAATTTGTCTACTACCCCGCCTTCCAACGACCACGAACATCACAAAGGTTAAATTTGGCTGTTGGCTTCTGTCACTTTTAAGGTTATTAATGCGGACAGGAGTTACATGCAAGGAGAGGTAAAATCGGACGACACTACATGTCTACATATAAGTATGGGTATCAGTAGGTGGTAGGTGAGTACCTATCACAGGCTACGTGTGCACCTTGTGGCTTAGGATACAAACTTGGAAGCTGAATCTACCTACATTTCTCTTTATTTCCCTCTGTCTACATGTAAATACATGGGGCCTGTGGAGTGCCTAGCTGGGTAGTGGCAAGACAATCATAGCAAGACCTACTGTGTAAGTCGAGAATTAACAATCTTTTCTGCTTATCGTCGATAAGACTTGAGGCGCAAGCTGGCCGTAAGTACTGTGCACTCAGAAAAGGCCCAATAGATCTAGGCCTACACAGGTACTAGGTACTCACCCGGAGAGACCCCGTCAAGAACTTAGCTCTCATTTACTACCTAAGGTTATTTACCCGCCTTGTTCCCGCCTCACCCACCAATATCTGCTTCTTCTTGTAATATCAAACAATTGCTCAATAAATCCCATACCTTTCTTGCCTTGCATCTTGCCAACTCCTGATTCTCTGTCAACAACTACGATCGTCAGACTTCAAGCTTCTACGGAGGTAAGTCCCTCAAGCGTCCCCTTGCAGTCATGTGAGCCTTGAAAATTACCTTCCTCCACTGCATTGCACCCTATCTACCTTCTATATCTTGGATGCCAGTCTCCTTTATATTTTCAAGTTATGTAGACCCCTCATCGAACCCCACCATCTTGTCTCAGCAGGGCACAATCTCTTTTCCCATTCAACTTTCAAGAGCCTATCAACCTACGTGGAGTATGTGATCATAGTACCTACCAGGTATCACTCGCGTACACACCACTGCTCCCTACTACCTACTTAGAACCTACTACGTATGTACCTACAGCACGACGCACGCTTCGGCAAGTGCCAGTTTATGCCAGTGTAGTAGGTAGCTGTTCCCCCACCGCAGCATCTCAATCCACCACCGCTTTCAAGACGATTCGCCGGGGAATATCTCCAATCTTGCCGTGGGCGTTCGCTGCGTGTGTACCTTGCATCACTCCCCAGTTCCGGCCCAAGTTCCACCAATCCAGCAGTCACGATACCTTCCATTACATTTTGCCTGCTACTACACAATACCTTCGCATTACATCGAAATCTTGGTAGAGGTAGTATCAGATTACCTACCTCCTGCCTACCACTCCCGACTACTCTGGATGCTGTTCTGTGTTACCTCTGCGCGCTCTTACAAGCCACAACGACACTCTATCTACAACCTCAACAACTCTTTCTTTACCCACGCCTAGTGTTACCTACATATTGTAGCTACCTCTCAGTAGCAGTCAATACTACCTACCTAGGTACCTGCCGAGGTGTCACAGCACACGGCACAGAGCACACATCCGACGTCCTCTTCCTTCTCCTCCTCCTCGTCCTCCTCTTCCCATCTCCTGTACATATATGTATGTTGCCTTGCCTTGCCCTACCCTGCATCTGGGTACCTAGCATCCTACCTAGCATCACCTAGCATCCTACCTACTGTACCCAGCCAGCCCCGGTTATTTGTCTCTCCCGTGCCAGACCTGTGCCAGACCTCTCTGAGCCTGATCTCGCCTGTCTCGCTTGTGTCGACCGACCTAAAAGACTGTGCGCTGCTCTTATTGGCCGACCTACGCAGGCCTGTGTGTGGTAGAGTTTTCACTTTCCCTCGCTCTCGGGTCCATCAGCCAAACCTTGGATCCTTCACCAGTGCCTGCTGTCGTTTGCATCATTTCCTCTCAGTTCCCTGCCCACTTCGTCTCGTCGCTCTCCATTCTACCTCTTGCCTTTCCAACCTAAACACTAACGTCGTCGACCATTCGTCTGTCAGACTTAGGATTGATTCTACCCGCGCTGCGTGTATCGAACCTTACCGAAATCACCGAGTCTTCAGTGTGCGCCAGAGATTTCCACGCCGTCGTCATGGATTTCCCCACATCCACACGCTCATGCTTCACTTGTAAGTTTCTGAACACGTTTGTAATCTCTCCGACGTCGGTTCTTCAAGATTCCTTATCTGTCTGCTTTGGCGACTGTCTGCATATTCGTCACCTGCTTCCACCACTTACTATCACCCCATCCCTCTACGCTTGCCTCTACTATACATGGTACTCGGTTCAGTACTCGGTTCACGGTGCAACCAATTGCTATGTCATGTCTGGTTTGGCCGAGTTCGCTTCACCTGCAACTTTGCAACATGCATCTTTGCACCTAGATATGAATACCGATTATCACGTTGTGTCGCGCTGAAAATCCCCTTACATTCAAATTAAATCAAAAAGGACTTCTCATTATAGAAGTTTCCTGACCCGATCTTTTCTTATCCTAGCCCTGGTTTCTTTTTTGGCAGGGGTGTGTGTGATCTGACATATGATTCTTGTTGTCTAGGCGGCCAGACCACTCACCAGGTATGAAGGGGATTGGCATGGAGGATGCTCAGTGCTTCAGGACTAAGAAGAGAAAGCTTGCGGGCAAGACGTTGTACTAATCAAAAGCTTCTCTCAGGCCCGCGACTGCCCGAACCGAGGCGCTGCGAAATGGTGCGTCTCGTACCTTTTCCCTCACTTTTACCTTCACTAACTGTCTGTAGCTACAACTGTGGAAACGAGGGTCACCTCAGTAAGCCTCGTGCTCTCGTCACTCTGCCGTAATTCATGATCTAATATGTCTTTAGGCCGTGATTGCCCAGAGGGCCCCAAGGATAACAAGACTTGCTACAGATGTGGCCAGAGCGGTCATATCAGTCGTGAGTGCCCTCAGGGCGGTGGTCCAATTGGAGGAGGTAACCAGGGCGGATCCCAAGAGTGCTATAAGGTTGGCGATCATGTAGTTCCCACTGCTACGACGGGTTGAACTGACGTGAACATTAGTGCGGTAAGGTCGGCCACATTGCCCGCAACTGCCCCGACGCCTACGGCGGTAATTCCTACGGTGGCGGTTATGGTGGTGGCGGCCAAGGCAAGACTTGTTATTCTTGTGGCGGCTATGGTCACATGTCTCGTGAGTTATCCTTTGATAATATATATTGACGAAGTAAGGCTCTAACGAGGATTCTAGGAGAATGTGTTAACGGTAGCAAGTGCTACAACTGCGGTGAGAATGGTCACTTCTCCCGAGACTGTCCCAAGGAGTCTTCAGGTGGAGAGAAGATTTGCTACAAGTGCCAGCAGCCCGGACACATCCAATCGGCGTGCCCTAACGTTACCAACTAAGCGTTCTCTTCCGACCGATAATTCTCCCCAGTGAAACTGAACGGCAATAATTTGTAGCAGGCTCATGGCCCTCTATGGATCCCACAGTCGCATTCAACGTCACCTGCTCATGGGCTGGAGTTGGACATATTGACGACTGAGATCTTCCATCATCCACGTTCTTTGAAAGTGGAGGACGTTCATATATCGACTTGCATCAACGCTGAATACCCGTGTCTTCACCTTCGATTTGATATGGCATTGAAATTCACCGCGCAGCATGAAGGGGGGAAAAGGGAACCTAAAAAGTACTGGCACTCAACAAGGGTATTTTCCTTTCGGCCAACGATAAAAAAGTGTTTCACTTAGGAGTTAAGGTTATTGATTTCAAACTCAAAAGGGTCATTTTTATCCCTACACAGACTCAGATAGTAGTACCACAAGACACACTCAGCCGCAAACGTCGATTTACCCGACTATCAGCTTGGGTTACAGCTCTTGATAGGTCTATAAGTACCTGACCAACGCAATAGTAACATGTGTGAGATCATATACATAAGTTTCCCATATCATGACTTGAATCGTGAAGCACAGATTATTGATCTGCCACAATATCCGATGCTTATGCTATGTCGCAACTGATTGTGACGAGGATAGCCAGCGAAGTATAGATGATTATATTGTGCTCCCGGGGCAACAATCTCGAAATTGTGAGTTGAGAAAGCATCAGTGAGATGAGTGACGACAGGTACATACATAGACTTGATAACATCTGCGCACTAGTAATGTATTGTCTTCCATGGACATTTCTCATGCTAAGAACTCTCACACCTCGCGACACTATGCAGCCAATTGATTCAACGATAATCGACCAACAGATATATAGAGCTGATGATTTCTGCTCTACATGATCTATTCTCACGACTATTCTATGCCTCTTCTATCAAGTCTTCAGAATTCTTATATGCTCCAGCCAAGGGCGGTCTCATCGAACGCGCCGCAGGAGACAGATACACATTTCAGTGCTGATCCAACAGACCAATTCGCTAAGAACACCTGGTCTGTATAGCGGAGTATCTATCTGATTATTCCTATACATACACCAACTAGCCCGAAACTGGGCGCGGTATACATCTATCCAATCATCTATATGCAAATCCATCTATCATCCATGAGGGAAAGGCACAAAAAAAAAAGAGAAAGATTTGGTATGAGAAAATGGAAAGCAAAAGGCGAGGCGAGGCGAGCGTTGAGAATTCTTGACTAGATAGACAGTCTTCGTTTTGCTCACATGTATCGGTCCGGCTTGTTATGTCGAGGCTGATACATTCTAGATCGTGTCTCGCGATTACAGAGGAGCTGTGAACAAATGAAGTGATTGACGTCCTCGTCCTGCCAATAGCTCAGATGTGAGGCGATGGTATTCATCGGGTTGAAGTCAAGGGCACTCCTGCTCGATGGGTCAGCTTGACGGCAAAGTGAATGATGGAAGTTTAGAAGGCTGAAAAAACCATCCTCTTAAATCAAACGACGATGAACAGATGTAAAGATTATGGGGCTTCACTTACTCCTGGATAGTGTAATCAATACGCCCATTCCAATTGAGTGCTCGTACTTTCAATTCCTCTTTCCTCAGTTTCTGGGCCTTTAATTCCTCCGCTGCCCAAGCTGCACCTAGCTCTTGGCCTTCTTCGGCGCGACTTACGCTATCCTTATGTTCCTCTACCCTCTTTTTCTGAAAGCGGGCGTAGAGCGTCTCTAAATCGTCATCAATGAGAGTTGAGTCATGAGCAATGTTTCCACCAGGTGTACTGGGATCCGCGGATCTGGGAGTAGATGAATTTTGCCGCGCAAGTGCCTTTTTGCGGGCATCGGTTTTCTCCAGCTGCGCGGTAGCATTAGAGGCCCCTGCACTTGAAGCGGTGCCCTGGGGTAGAGCCGTGCCAGCACTGACTCCAGAAGAGGAAGTATTTGCTGGAGAATTTGCGGCATTGAAGTTGGCGATATCCGCATTTGTGAGCCCTAGGCTACCGCGGAGAAGACTACTAGCAATGCCTGCGCTGAAGCTTGACCATAAACCACTGACGCTCTGTCCCACTTTGACACCAATTCCAGATAAACCTTGCGGAGCCACCGCCCCAAATATGCCCTTTTTGGTGTATGGGAGAGCTTGTGGCTTCAGGGAAGACATCGCCGAGGAGACCAATGGTTCTAGCCTATATGCGATAGGATCTGATGGATGGAAAATATTGAACAGTTGTGCAACTTTTGGAGATGAGACAGAAAGGGGTAGGCCAGTAACAGCCGATAGCCTTTGTCCTGAAGGATTAGAGGTCGACATGAATGGATCCTCCATATATTCTGGAGTGAGGGGACTTTCCGAAGGCGCGGCATTTGGTTGATGTCTGGAGGCAATAGTTCGTCCTTTCAGCATCTGGAACAAGCCGACAGGCGAACCGAGGCAGTAAAGATCTTCAACATTAAAGTCAAACGTAAGTTCCTTTATGTCCTTAGAAGGTTCTGCGCGCTCCTGAGAAGGCCAAATTTTAAGAGGGTTACGTAGTGGCTCGACATTGCCGGCTGTCTGCTTTTGCCGACATAGTATGTCAAACATGATCGCTGATCCAAGGGAGTGGCCGATGACTGCGCCGTCTCAAATTAGTCTAGGGCCGAAAATAGCTTGTAAGTGTCGAGAAATTGTGTAATCCAAACCATAACGTGGAGAAACGATTGCTTAAGACCACTCACTATGAACTTTGCCCTTGAACTCTGGATTTCTATCACAGAAGAGTTTGTAAATCCTGTTTGATTCCTTCAAAACGATCTCCGTGATTTGTTCCCTATAGGCGCTCTGGTACAGAAGAACATCAAGCGCCAGGTCGGAAATGAGCGACCTTGCAAAAGCCATGCCCTCAACAGTGATATCTTCAAGAGAGGGATCTAGCGTCGTGTTAGCCTCTGTTACAAAGTCCCAACTAGCTGGATGTAGCACTAACATTCATCGTCTTCCTGTACCACGTCACCCAAATCCGTTTCGCCTTTCCTTTCTCGTCTTTTTGGAAAGTCAAGTAGATGCCTCCAGCAGACTGGTAAAACCTGAATTTTAGAATTTCCAGGCCCTTCCTGGCTATCGGAATTGAGCGCCTTTAGATCTTCAGAGTGAGCATAAACGCCTTTTAAAGTCTTTCGAAGCATATTAACATCATGGACAAAATTAACACTCTCCATTCTAAAGAATATAGATTAATTCTCTGCGACTGCTTTTGCGAAATGGGAAAATTTTCTTACCTCATACTCAGCATTTGACCAATGCCATGTGTTACCAGAACTAGATGCTCGATCTCGCGTCCCTGTGTCTCACCATCTTGACCTTGATAGTCATCCTGAATCTCTTGCTCCTCACGTAGCCTGATGTGTTCCTCTTGTTTTTCAGGATCACCGGCGCCTTCGATATAAGAGGATAAATGGCGCTTGAGTTGATTCTCCCTTCGTTCAATTTCCACTCTAGTGCCGCTTTCATCTCTCTCGTCACCCGTAGTACCTGGACGCGTGGTAGGCGGGGCAGATCGCCGCTTGAGCGACTTGTCTGGGTTGTCGTCCTCAGTTGGATGAGGCGGCAATGTTGCTGTTGTAGGTGTTGGAGGGCGTTTGATTTCCTTGTTTTTGCCTGACTCTGAATAGCCCCTTACGAGCTTGATCCCATTCATGTAACCCCCTCCAGCAAATCTTTGGTAGACTGTTGATGTCACCCAGCTGAATACGCCATCGGAGGATAGCCACGCAGTGCTTGAATCTTGGTAGGTAGCTACACTGTTCACTATTATCCTCAGAGTCAGTTATGGATATGGTTATAGGCATGATCGGTTTCAGAGAGGGCGAGTGGCTAGGCCCGGCTTTTCACTTGGAGATAGCTTTTACATCATGGTATTCTACCACAAATGAGATATGAGAGTCGCAAGCATTACTCACTGTATGTGCCAAAAAGCCGATATGTTTGTGGTTGATGAGCCGCTGGCGATTGTAGAGGCGGGGGTTTCACTGAGCCCTCCGCCTGTAACTTAGCCGTTGTCTTGAGATTTTCTGTTGACGCCTTGGGGGTAACATTCTGTAGGCCAGAATTGCTCCGCGTCCTATTCTCGGGATATGTCCAAGGCTTAGTCTTCAGATACCCTTCCTCGAGTTGGGCCGCTAAGTTCTCCTCGCAAGGCCTCAGTGATGAGCCTTCTTGATACTATTACACTTAACGTTAGCCATTATCGTCACCAAAGTTGCTATGTCTGCTCATGAGTTTCCGGACCTTGGGGGTGGGGGGTTGTTTCCGAGGCGATTGATTTCAGAGCGTAGTTTGCATAAGGTTTAAGCAACCAGAGCAAAAAGAGAGACTCACAAACCACGTGCCGCGACGAACCTCGTATATGGGGCCAAGCCAGTATACAGGGGCTAATTCACGACGCTCGATATTTACGTCGAATAGGAAATCTTCATTGACTGGAACTCGTAAGCCCGATGTAAAGGCATCCGAGTCTTTAGCGGGCTCGGTGATTAGCGGATCTTCCACTTGAGAGCGGCGGGAGCTAGAGCGTGTGCGCATATGTACACCTTTGCCACGACCAGTCTCCATCTCTTCCAATAACTTCTGGTACGCATTTTCAAGTGACCTGGAATCTACATTCGAAAATGCGGCAAACTTCTTCGGGATGGCTGGCTTGACATTATCCGGCTCCTTCTTGGTCTTCAACAATTGCGGCTTGCGCTTCGGGACCTGGAGATACGATTAGCGCCTCGGGACAAGTAACAGACCAGGAGCACAGACATCAACAGCGTGAAACCACAGGACATTCACTGAGGGGCAGTCGGCAGGATACTTCTTGAAGCTTTGACCATATAAGCTGTTTGTAGAATGATCATCTGCCTTTTGGGCCGGCTGCGCCGCTGGTTTCGGCCGGGGGGCTGAAGAGCTGTCCTTGGGTACTGGCGTGGTGCTTCGAGTCGTCCATGGATTTATAGACTCAACGGCACTAGCCAAATATGACTTTTCCGGCCTCTTCTCCGGCTTCTTTTCCCCATTTCCATCACCCGAGGTGACCGCATTGTCAGGACCTGTAGGCATTCTGCCGAAACGGCCGCGGGGCCAATTGAACACACTTCTATGTGGATAGACGGCTACGTTGGACGACTGGAGCAACGTATGCCGGCGGCGGAGTCAGATGCGAAATACAACCGTAGAATATTTCTTCAGCAATCTGATGTAGCTTGAAGAAAGAATGTTGCGGGGTTGGCTGAGGACGGATATATGGTCAGGGTCCGACGCCAACAACTATTGAAGAGGCAAGCATAAGCAGCCGAAGAAGACAACCAGCGTCAGAGATGCTCAAGAGGGCGAAGATACGGCCGATCTGCAGCTGCTACAGAGTAATCGTTTATTATTAATATGAAAAAGCATGGATGGATTGGTTGACCGGTGGTGGAAAGCTAGGTTAGCTCTGCTCAGGTCGGTAGTCGAGGTAGTGGCACGCATGCTGTACCGTACACGTGGTGATTGTCACATGGAAATGACACTATCAAGCCACCAGCACTCCAGTACTAAGGCACCAACTAGAGCACCATCTAGAACTTAAAAGTTAGGTAACGGTATTCAGCAGATGAAAAGCTATCCCTAGGCACATTATTTGCTTACTTAGATTTGCCCCGTTGGACAGTGGGCGGGTAAGACGTCACTTGGCATTCAGAGAGGTACCTAAAGGTAGGTGGTAGGTAGGTAGGTAAGGCAGCTAGGTGCCTCAGTTATAGGTACCTTAGTAGGTACCTGAAACTGGACTGATAGGGCTACCTGGGCTGTCAGTAGGTAGGTACTTGCAGCAGCCCCTCCTAACAGCCTCCCCGCTAAGCCCCGCACCAGGCGCGCTGCTTGCCGCTACGCTGTGCGGCAAACTAGAACGGTGGGGCACGACTGGATGACTCCCGACCAGAGCCAGACTTGGACCCAGCAAAATTTCAGTCGCAGACTTCATCTATCTTGTCAACCCATTTCCGCCTGCTCGACCGTAACGCCTCCTACGCTTGACCGTTGCCCGTGCTGCCCATGATAATCGCCATGACTATGGTATATCGCTTCCCATTGGATACTGTGCGGTAGCATACTACAGCTTCGAACGGATTGAGCCACAGAGCACTTCATCTAGTTAGATCGCGCGCGCGGAGCAACGCGATCGGCCGTCGCATTCAAGGCAAATCCTGCACCCAACCTTCGCTATTACGCACCCAAGCGAGTACCACTGCTCTATACAGCCGTCAAGATGGCGACAATGACGGAGACAAGTGCCACCGCGCCCATCAAGCACCAGGTAGTCGATAAGCTGCCCAAGCGATTCAAGAACCTAAAGTTTGGCATCCAATCCAACCAGGATATTGTCAACCAGGGCGTATTAGAAGTTTCTGATCGGTCTATGTATGATATTGATAAGGGGCGCGAGCCGACTCAAAATGGTGTGCTCGACAAGCGCTTGGTGAGTACTGCCCTTCAATTCAAGGAACCTGCGAACTCGTGCCTTCTGACATCTTGTTTCGTCAGGGAACTTCCAGCAAGACCGGAGTGTGCGCTACATGCAATGAGAGGCTGGCCGACTGCATCGGGCATTTTGGCCATGTACGGCTACCATTACCAGCGTTCCATATCGGCTATATCAAATTCACAATTACGATTCTTCAAAACATATGTAAGGATTGCTCTAGGGTGCTGTTAGTCGAACAAGAGCGTCGAGCGTACCTCAGGGAGCTGAGACGACCCAATATCGATAATATGAAACGCGTTGCAATCTGCAAAAAAATCAACGACCAGTGTAGGAAAACTAAACAGTGTCCATATTGCGGAGCTGTCAATGGTCAAATTCGCAAGGTTGGTGCTCTTAAGCTGGTTCACGATAAGTTTGTCGCATATAACAAATCTACTTCGGCGAAGAAGAAGCCGCCGCCAAGCAAAATAGAATTCGATAACTCCTTCATCGAAGCCAGGAAGCACGTCAATGATCTCGATAAACATTTGAGAAAGGCCTTCGAGGACCTAAACCCTCTTAGAGTCCTAAACCTCTTTAAACAGATCACCCCAGATGATTGCGAACTACTTGGCTTGAACCCTTCCGAAGGACGCCCAGAAATGTTTCTTTGGCAATACTTACCAGCGCCGCCTGTATGTATTCGACCATCAGTCGCCCAAGAAGGAGCAAGCAATGAAGATGACATAACAACTCGCCTCGGTGATATTGTGTTTGCCTGCGGTCTTATTCGCGCAGCATTACAGAAAGGCACCGCTTTGCAAACCATCATGGAGCAGTGGGAATTTCTACAGCTTCAGATAGCGGTATATGTGAACAGTGACGTTCCAGGACTTAGAGACAACGGAGTGACGAAGACAATGCGTGGTTTCTGTCAACGCCTGAAGGGGAAACAAGGGCGCTTCCGTGGCAATCTGTCAGGAAAGCGCGTTGACTTTTCAGGCAGAACTGTTATCTCCCCTGACCCGAATCTAGCAGTCAATGAAGTGGCGGTGCCAATGCTTGTCGCCAAGAATTTAACGTACCCTGAGAGAGCGCATCGCGACAATATCGCAAAACTAAGACAGTGCATTATCAACGGCCCCACCATCTGGCCAGGGGCACAAGCAATTCTCAAAGTCGATGGTGACCATCCGCCGTTCCGTGTGTCGCTCCGATTTGGCGATAAAGAGGCTGCTGCGAAGGAACTTCGTATTGGTGATATTGTTGAGCGCCACCTAGAGGATGGGGATATTGTTCTCTTCAATCGACAACCTTCACTTCACAAACTTAGTATCATGAGCCATCTCGTCAAGGTGCGGCCCTGGAGAACATTTCGTCTCAATGAATGTGCTTGTGGCCCCTATAACGCTGATTTTGATGGTGACGAGATGAACCTCCATGTACCTCAAACAGAAGAGGCTCGTGCTGAGGCCGTTACTTTGATGAGCGTCAAACATAACCTTGCAACGCCTAAAAACGGAGAGCCCATCATCGCAGCCACTCAGGACTTTATTACTGCATCGTATCTTTTGAGCAGCAAGGATATGTTCTTTGACCGAAGGACTTTCACATATATCGTCATGCAGATGATGGACGGTGATATGCACATTGACTTACCGCCCCCGGCCATTCTAGTCCCCAAACGATTATGGACGGGTAAACAAATTTTCAGCATGCTTATGAGACCCAACAAATCAAGTCCGATCAAAGTCAACCTGGATGCCAAATGTAAGCAGTACGTGGATCCTCCAGCAGCTCCTCCTGGCCACAGGAAGAGAGCTCCAGATATGTGCCCCAATGATGGCTGGCTTGTTGTTCGTAATTCAGAGGTTATGTGTGGCCGAATGGATAAATCCACCGTGGGAGCAGGCCAAAAAGACTCAGTATTCTACGTCATTCTGCGAGACTATGGCGCGGATGCAGCTGTGACTGCAATGAACCGACTCGCGAAGCTTTGTGCAAGAGTATTGACGAATCGAGGATTTTCAATTGGTATTGGAGATGTCTTTCCCACTACCGCTCTTACTATAGCGAAGGAGAAATTGTTCGTAGACGCTTACGCGGATTCGGATGATTTCATTAAACAGTTCAATGAGAATAGACTACAGAAGGCTACAGGATGCTCAATGGAAGAAACACTAGAAGCTAAGATCTCAGGTGTGCTGAACAAAGTTCGTCAGAATGCTGGTGAGCTTTGTATCAAGTCTCTGAGTCGGAACAACGCTCCTTTGGTCATGGCATCGTCAGGCTCCAAAGGTTCCACCATCAACGTTGCTCAAATGATCGCTGCCGTCGGCCAGCAAATTATTGCTGGCTCCCGTGTGGCTGACGGTTTTCAGGATCGAACTTTGCCACATTTTCACAAAAACACTCGCCATGCATCTGCTAAAGGTTTCGTGCGAAATAGCTTCTATACAGGGCTTGTGCCAACCGAGTTCCTGTTCCACGCTATATCAGGTCGAGAAGGTTTGGTTGATACTGCCGTCAAGACCGCAGAAACAGGATATATGTCGCGTCGCCTTATGAAATCGCTAGAAGATCTCTCTACAAAATATGATGATACGGTACGAACCTCGGGCGACGGCGTTGTCCAGTTCCAATTTGGAGCGGATAAACTAGATCCAGTCGATATGGAAGGAAAGGCTGTGCCTGTCAGTTTCGAACGTACGTTCTCCCATGCCGAAAATTTGACCTGGAGCAATTCAGATCGGGCTTTATTGCCTTTCGAAATACTCGCACTTTGTGATACAATGCTCAAGAAGGAACGTGATCGGTATCGAAGACGTGGCTTACTTCATGGAGAACCCCTCCAATACAATGATACGACGGATTACGGTGTGGATGAAAACGAGGGTGGCCGCAAGTTTCTCGAAACCATTCACCGGCATGTCAGAAGCCTGGCGGAACGATGTGCCAAATTTCGTGTTGCTGGTGGTCTTGATGGCATGCTGACCGCGCCTGATACCCGTTTCCTTCCACTCACAAGTAATGAGCGGGAAGCTCTTGCCACTCTTATATTTGATGTAGATCAAGCAAAGGCCAAGCAGCTGGAGAGGCTCAATATCTCTGATAAGAGTTGGCAAATCAGGAAGCTGGCAAAAATTAAGTCAGAGATGCATGAGTTCACATACGAAGACCTTCTGAACCTGAAACCGGTACTCGAGGACCTAGATTTTCAACGGCCTCCCAAAGCCAAGACCACTATCGAAAAGCAGGAATTTGCAAGGCTTTCGGAACTAAACGCAAGGCTTGACAGGCTAGATCTTGGGTACCTTGCACGAGTGGCATGCAGAATCGAAGAGGAAGAACATGAGTCCGTATCAAAGATGGCCTCGGAGAGAGCAGCCAAAGTGTCCGAGAAAACTCTTAGATATTTCATTGGACTGTGCCTGGAAAAATACAGCAAGGCACACGTCGAACCGGGGCATGCTGTTGGGGCTGTTGGTGCGCAGTCTATTGGCGAACCCGGAACTCAAATGACTTTAAAAACCTTCCATTTCGCCGGTGTAGCTGGCATGAGTATCACGCAGGGTGTCCCACGTATTAAGGAAATCATCAACGCGTCCAAGACGATCAGTACGCCAGTCATCAGCTGTCCTTTACAGAACCCTAAGAGTTTAGAGGCTGCCAAGATCGTCCGAGCGCGTATTGAGAAAACATGTGTTGAAGACGTCCTTCGCTACCTGGATGATGAATGGCAACCTCATCGTTCCTTCATTACGCTGCATATTGACACTGAAACATTGGAAGGCATGCATCTTGGAATCAAACTCGGCGATATTGTCAACGCGATTGCCAAGCAGAAAAAGCTCAAGATTCAGAAGACAGACATGCAAGTGTTCGAACAAGATGCGAGCATAGAAATCACTGTGAAGGCTTTAGATATAGACCCTTCTAAGCGAACAACAAGAACCAAAACTGCCACAGAGGTCATGGCTGATCTGTCCGTTCGCATCAGCCATCTCAAGCGTGTACTGCCTTTAGTTCCGATCTCTGGGTATCCCGAAGCTTCTCGAGCTATTGTTCAGCAGAGCGAGAAAGATTCTACAAATACTGTTTTGGTTGAGGGTTACGGTCTACGGCAATGTATGAATACAGAGGGAGTCCTTGGCACCAAGGTCATGACCAACAGCGTAATAGAATGTAGGGACATTCTAGGTATAGAAGCTGCGCGGACGACAATTGCTAAGGAAATCGGCGCCGTCATGGACATGATGAACATCGACCCCCGGCATATGCAGCTTCTCGCTGATGTAATGACCTACAAGGGCGAAATCCTGGGCATCACCCGTTTTGGTCTCTCCAAGATGCGCGATAGTGTGTTACAGCTCGCTTCGTTTGAGAAAACAGCAGACCATTTGTTTGACGCAGCATCGGCGATGAAGACAGATCCAATTGAAGGTGTCAGTGAAAAAATCATTATGGGAGAGACTATGTCAGTTGGTACCGGGGCATTCCAAGTTGTAAGGAGACTTAATTTACTTGATGAACATTTTACGACAATACCCACGGTGTTTGAAGATGCCTGGGCTCAGATCGAAGACAAGCCAACAAAACGAAGGAAAGGCGGCCTTTAGAGGGGAACTCGTCCGAGACATCTGTAAAAAAAAATGCAATCTCACATTTGATCCTAAACAATGGATTCATACTAGTTGATCCCCTAGTAAAACTTAGGAACACTCAATACCTAGTCTGCCAAGAACCAGAAAATGTGTGGAGCAATTCAATAGCTTGTTGTACGTATTATATACTATGTAGCTATACATTTTTTAGCCGATATGCTGCCCAACAAGGACTTCTTGACGTTTTGTATTATGAAATACTTTACTCGCGGCCGCTATGAGAATATGTTGCATCAACATCGAATATATCAATTCTTAAAACCAAGAGCTTGCACAAATAAAGCGTGGTTCCCGCTCGAGACGTGGACTTTGCATGTTGTATCACTCATCTATTTCTCTCATAATCACTAATAGTGAAAAATATTGCTATCGTTCTCAAGGTAATCAGAAACCAACTTATCCCGATCGGCCGTCAAGCACGGCGATTGATCGATTACAAGGTAGTATTCGGTATTACCCCTTATCGTCCGAGGGCTTGGAGAAGCTCCGTGGTTACCTTGATCGAGTCAATTGGACCTGGCTGCTGTCTCTCTTATCGACAACGGTCACCGGGACTACGGTTTTAAAAGGGCTGTTATTCGCTTGGTGGCTTTCCATATGCCGTGTGTTCATGTTTCATGTTTTCTACATGGCAATACTTCAGTTACGGCTAACCCTGAATTATGATCTGCTATTAACGATCGATAAGCGTCCCATTCGCTCGGTATCGACAGGGTGGGACTACGTGAACAAAAGTCCGCGGGGATCTACGAAATATCCTGTTTGATCAGATAGAGGTTGATGAATCAGAGCTGAAGGTACGTGCTGGTTGTTTGAAGTCGTATCTCGTAGAAGCTTCGGGAATTGATGCGGCTAGGTTCTCTCCTTCTCTAGAATGCATCGTGAACTAAGACCATGGTGAAGAATGCTTAAAACGTACGGTTTCGGTCTAATTGATAGTCGCTTTAACCTATGAAGCCAAGAGCTTATTCCCGGGTCACGGACCTATTAGAAGGTATGTGAAAGCAGACGTAATGTTATAGAGTATTAGTCATCATATTCGTAAAATATGATGCAACGGGAAGAGGTCGCAGCCGTTACCCAAAGAAGACCCGAGAAAGGAAAATGGTAGATCATTTGGATCGGGACCAAAATTTCTCAAAAACAGGAACGCGCGTGTTAGGGCTGCATAAGCAGTTTCAACGCTTCTCAAGCTTACCACGATTTTACCTAGTCTGTGTGATGGTACCGTAATGGCCGAATGCTGATTTTCACATTTCGAAGTTGCCCTTGACTGAATGTCAATGAACGTTGCGATGACTTTTGAGAAGAGCCCATTCTCCTAGCGCGATCGTGAGTCAACGACAAGCATACGATGGTACTCTTCATAGGCGAAGATACCTTTGACTTAGGCCCTGCGTCCTCATTCGTCCGTCCCCGATATCCGAAGGATTTGCTAATTCTCCGACTGGTCGATCCACTAAGCCCTATCGTAGGGTTTAATTGCAACGGTCCCATCCTCCAGGCTGCTGCTTACACAATCCTCAAGTGCTTCAGGTAATCCGATCGTACCCCTGGCGAAAGCTTGAATCGTAATCAGGTCCCTGCTCTTCCTGCAGTGTACCTTGCTTGAGTACCAACAATCTTTCGGCGACACATCTCACACTTCCCAGTCCCCCTTGTTGCCAGCTCTCTCGATAGTATGACCATATTATTTCGTATCATGAGATAACCACCGTTCGTCCGTAATTCCTCTCCATCCATGCACATTGATTTGTCAAGCCAGGATCGTCACATCTTTCGAGGAACCCTTGTTAGGTAAGACTCGGCCTCGAGCAGTTGGTAATCCTTCGTTGTTTCTCCAGGTATTCCCCAGGTATTCCACACGTAATGCCGATCTCACACCTCCACCCCCCATGTTTTCTTGCTTTCTGACAGTTGAATCCTGCCAGGTCAAACAGACCCCTCCCCCAACACCGACTCATACCCCGCCCCTGTCTGCGTCCATACAATGGCAGCGTCGTATCCCGTATATTTCGATGACGGTTGACGGTAGAGTAATGGCAGGCTCAGCTCGGACTGCGGTAACGAAGGAGCTTTCGGCATCGAAGTGAAAGTGCCCCAGAGCTGACAAACAGAGTAGGAGTGAGGCGCCTAAGCGAGCTATTTATAAATAGTAGAGAGACCTCGCATCAGCAAGATAAGCACGGGAAGATGTTTAACAGCCGAGTACTACTGCCGCATTAACACCACCATCGGACAAACGACGCTGCTGCCGCCGGCCACCAGTCAATTTTCTCCGAGGCTTGATGTGGTGACTCAAGGGCAAGCCAACGAACACGTATGCCGCCGTCCGTAAAGTTCCTGCAAGACGTGTGCCAGCCGATTAGCGTGAGGAGGCGTTAGAGCGCATGCCCACAATGGGTGTCTCGGGGACTGTTGCATGAGATGACGATAGATACTTGAAGTTTCGCTACCATTCACTTAGTCCTATAGGCCCTTCGGTGCATGGCTGGCCAGGAAGTACAGTGACACCCTCGAATCGTAGGAGCGCCCTCCAGTCATGAGTATGCATCTTACCTCAGTGATTGAGGTAGTGGGCCTACCTAGTCTTTTCCAGATGGGCTGCTCCAAGTGGAATCGTTGAGGCTTGATGACGTTTTCTTTCATTCAATATGTGTACGCGTACGGCAGATGCCACTGTTTCAGATTTGAACATGCAGGGCCGTTGAGGGCCGCCACTGGTTCATAACTGAGGGCTGATAGTACCTAGTCCACAGGGCTGGAACTAGCCGGACCAATGAATGCTGCGAGAATGCAGAAATAATATCTCAATCCAAACGATATACACCTCTCTATGACGTTGTTTGAACTAAGCAAACCTGCTAGCAAGAGTGTTAGTCGTGAGGACAGCATGGCCGGCTCAGTCAGAACCATGTTAAACATAGCCTCTCACGATCCCATCAATGTAAAAATCATGTTAGCTCGTGCCTTCTCACTACAGGAACAGCCTCACCTTCACCATGAAATTTCCAGTTCTCAAAAAGATGGAGATATCTTTAGATGCCTTGTCGTAGCCCACCACTGATAAACGTTGCGCGACCTCCTTCGTCCCGCGCGATGAGCAGTGGCAATTCAGGACTCTTCGCTGTGTTGAGAAGATGAAAATAAAACTATGTGACACCCTTTTCATGCACAGCCTGTCGCGGAATAAGGCTTACTTTAGCACAGGGGCCATGTTCAAGAGGAGGCCAGTTATGAGTAAGAAATCGCGCCTCATATCGGCGCAGTCCTACTATGTATGCTTCGCTGTTACGAGTTTCGCCCGAGGACTATCAAGGAAGAACATGGTGCAACACTCCTTGCTATGTGCCATAAATATCTACGTGTTCAAGTTGTGTGCTGAAGTCTTTCTGCATCAGATGAAGAGGCGATGTCAGTCTATCACTGCGCTAGCTAGCTGGTGTGCTGAACCGTAAGCGTATGCTATATCGTCTCGAAAGACTCGACGTAGTAGAGTAGCGCTGGAGATTTTCGTACATAGCAAGCCATATGACGCTGAGATACCAGCCAATCAGGATTTTTCTTTTGAATACAGCTAGGTTGGCGATACATGTTGCAGCAAGCCGCAGCGTCTTGTCGTATTGCCCCGAATTTGGGGGTCCGGGGTAGACCAGTGAGCAGTTACCGGGATCTCCAAGGTAACTGATATTCAGCTTATCACTCAAAAGCGCCAATATGCTGCGTATTCTGCAGAACATGAGATTTTAGGGGCGTTGGTTCTCCATTCGGTTATAACTGCATTGGCCTGCAATCGTTACCCAGCATCTTAACCGTTGATCGCTAACCGCACGCCGATCCGACGCGGACAGGTAACAGCATGCGGTCACAAAAGAACAGCGCTGCAATCTCCAGTGAATCCGACCGTGCGAGAAGATATCAGTAAAGAGTAGGTAGAATACGGAGTCACCGGTAGGAAAGCGACTCGATAGCTGCGTCCCAAGCTATAGTAGATATCGCGATGCATCTTGTAGGCAGGGCTGCTCGGCTGCAGATCTACACGGGATGGAACCGCAGATGATGGCCAGCGACACCATGAGGCTGGCTACCATGTGGCATGACAAGCGACTGTAACCCTCGCGCCCGCAGAGCAGAACGCATAGCTCTTCGTTTCAGCTCAGCCGTGATCGCTACCAATGGTACGCAGCGCGCTCGCAGCCAACCACTGCATCATCCAGAACTTCGGGTCATTCTCGGCACTTTCGCTAGGCTCCGACGTCTGTGGGGGGAGCATGGCCTGCATTTGCGGCGGTCCCCAGCTCGCCAGCTTGACCATGCAGTACTTCGTACGTTGCTCCTCTCTCGGCTTTCCTCTCTGCTCCTCTGCAACTGTCGTGTTCGGGACCGAGTCGGGACCGAGAGGATGACTCTGCGCGGCTTGTAGTACTTTGGGCAATCAATGCCTCAGCTCTACCATGGTCACATTGGTCGCACAGCGCGAGCTACCAAAAGTTCCAGGTTCGATTCCTGCACATTGAAAGCGCGCGCGCATACACTATGGCTAAACTCTCTATCGTCTCGCACAGCGCCCGTCCAGCAAGGATTGACTGAAGGAATCGTCACTGCCACCGACATACCGTACGTCTAGTCTGGAGGCGCGGGGGAGGAGTGGGCTCTTTGGTGATACCTCCCGCCACAAGTGAGTGACTGAGAATTGCAGTCACGGCGATCAATCCGTGTCCTGTGCGCTGTCTCATCTCTCCCTTGAAGGGATCGCACTGAACTAGGTAGAGAGAGACTGCCGATCCACATCTGCCGTCCAGATCTCGCCTAAGCACAGACTAAGCATAAGAGATACAGTCGCGCAGGACAGTCAGAACAATTAGAACAATCCCACTCGCCAAGGTGGCGCACGCCTTGCTGCTGTCTAGGACAGCGAAGTCTTGGCAGGTCACAAACCGTTATCGTTCGTCTCTCGCGAGTGAGCGACAGGCAAACAAAACCTCTAGAGGGTGAATATATCGTCAGCTTCTCCAGAATAAGCCACCATTGAGCATTTGGGAATGGCCTCGTAGCACAAATCACACCGCCAGGCCTCCAGCTGGACGAAAACGACACCATCGAATTCCATCCCGAGGCCCGTGTCGTGTCCAACGGCGGAAGGGGCGGGAACGGCGGGAGCAAGCTTGTTCGACCCAGAGATGCGGTTCGGTCACACATGGACACGTCGCACTGCGAAGCTCACTTGCCTCGTGGGCCCCATATCACGTATTGCCTGCCGTGTCTCACTAGAGGAGGCTGATGATACGCTAGGAGTCCACATATCTACCACCAGGCCCAAGTATTGGCTCTACAACACGAGCAGATGTCTCTTCGCTATCCGTCCGGTGCTTGTGACAAACCCGATTCGTTGTTGACGGACGTAATAAGCTCTCAAGACAGATAAAATCATCGCATAAGACATGCACCAATGTCTAATCGAGCTGAACATAGTAGCCGTGCGTGCTATGTGGAGCATACAAAGTAAATGACCGAGTTTTTTGAGGGGATGCTCCAAAATCTATCGAGGACACGGCGGGGCACCTAGCCATCACATTAGACGCCTATGTATCTAGATAGGCTGGCGCGCACCAGGTACAGTATGCAAACAATACGAGGTGAGTATGAGCTATAAACTATGAGACTATTCCATTGATCTGGACACTATCGACACTTGTCTATGGGGAGGAAGGGGAGAATTGGAGGGGTCCTAAAGACGACGGTGCAAATTATAGTTTGTGCTCCGACTGGCCGGTGCGCGCTTACACATTCACATTTGCCGTGTTCGGTCTCACGTCGTATCGTATCGTATCGTATCGTATCGTATACAGGTAATCACAGAGATGCTGTATGTAATCACAAGGTGAGCTGGAATGAGTAATGGATGAGTATGGAATGGCGTAATAAGAAATTCACATGATGTTGCAGCTAAGCTGTGTAGAGGCACGTCAGGCCTTATTCAGACACATATAGCCTAATCCTGACCGTGGGTACGGCAAGGCTATGTAGGACGTCTATAGGACGTAGGTATGTTCGGATCTCAGCTCATCCAAATATACCTACCTATATGCAATTCTCACTGTTAGGACTAAGCCCACGATGGCGGTTGAGGTGACGTGGAGGGAAGGAAGGACGATGGATCTGGACTAACCTGGTGTCTTCGTATCGTGTATGCCTGGCTGTTTGTAAGTACGATGATGTCGATCTAGGCTCTTGCCAGCTCACCCAGTCGGGCAGGCTAGGCGAGAAAGCTCGACTACCTCTCTGGCTCACCAGCACATCTAGAAGTTGACTCGCCGAAAGCCAGAAGTCCAAAAATAGCCAAAAACAGACGATAATCTGGTGATTGGCTCGACACGCTCTCATTCTTCGCATCATCCCACGTTATCACACATTATCACGACAGATGCAGATGTATAGAAAGGCAGATATAGGCGGCAGGTGTTTATCGCTCATCTATGCCGTGTTGAGGCGTCGTCGTGCTCAGCGATAGATAGTAGACGAGTGTGGCCGGGAAGTTTAGTTAAATCCTAGATTAGGTATCTAGGGCGAATGCAGGCGTCAGCAACTGGCAGGCGAAGCTGGTGAAGAAGGTGAAGAAGGTGAAGCTGGCAAGTTCTCTCTCAAGTACATCCAGGTAGGCGCGGCGTATAAGTCAGGTAGCCTTGCACTAGCAAGTACCACTACCTCTTAGCCCACAATTAGCATAGCTCAGGCTAAAGCGGGGAACTCGGGCTGTAAATGTGCTGTAGAGGTCAGAATAGGTGAATGAGGCGCTTGTCTACGTGTGCCACGGCCAAGTCCATCGAGACCAGACGGGTACTTACGGCTACCTGGGTAGGTACATATGTACATTTACTACGTGTAGTGGGTATCCTCGCTGCCTCTCACTCGCAAAACCACACACGCGAATTCAAGACACGATCTCGAGACACGATCTCGAGACACGGCCAGATACAGTTGGGAGTTGGCAGCTTACTATTAGAGACAATTCAACTCATCGCGAACACCCACGGCGCCAAGGCGATTACTCATCGCTTGAACTGTACCTAGAGATCTCTATCAGATATCCCCCTAGGTACCTAGGGCATGGCGTCAATCTGTTACCTCCATATAACCTCCTAATCCTGTCGGACAAGAGTTGGATCTCGGCTCTCTCCCTCCCCTCCCTTGACCGGGATATGGGTAATCTGGCGTCCTCCAGTATACCGGTAAGTCCAGGCAGTGTGTGCAGCATTGCCCAGGTGGTTTGAAATAGATATAACCCTTACCTACCTACTTCTATAGCTATCACTGATATATACATCTGCTGCATATAGATGGTGTGCTCATACATGTACACTGAGTATGTACACATATTGCCTGTATATGCACCCGGCATCAAGCCCCAGCTGAGGCCTTATCGTCACACCCCGGCGTTGGCGTAGCGGACATAGCTATACTTACAGAAACCCGGGCTAAATCCTGCAGATCGATGCACCTCTCGGTAGAAAGAAGAAATGCCTGCAGCACATAGCAACCATCTAGCTGGTCGCCGAGCTTCCAATGAGACCTGAGGGGTCAGAGAGAGAAGCCTGCGGCACTCCTCCCACTGCCAGTCTAAAGTCTCTACCTGGATAGGTAGATACTGCCCCCTTGAACAAGAGGTGGAAGACAGCTAGGCTTATCCTTCCAGAGTGTGTTTCCGCGAGAAATTCTGGTGCGCTTGAGCATCGCCACAGGCACGTCTGACGTACTTCGTAGACGCAGGTGCAATTAGGTAGGTATTCAGAGCGCAGTACATGGTCTTGTATTGCTACTATACGTAGCACATGGGTACGCCTTTGGCTTCTCTTCCATACGACTGCACACAGAGTACTCGTGTGCAGACAACCTCGTTTCTTAGGTTTTGCAGATCGACGCAGATGCCGAACATTCTCTTGGTATTCTGCCACCAACCCATGCGCCAGGCAAGTTGGTAGGTACTTACATTGCAAGGTGCATGTATGTCTCTGCCTGTATGTGTGCGAGTGGGTGTGTCATCAGCCCGCTCATCTTCTGTTATGCAATTCAGTCTGGGTGCCTAGGTATTGTCACATCTTGCCTGATGGCTAGGTATCCCTACCTAAGCAGAACTATAACCATTATTACGTGCAGGTAGCAGTACTTCGATCTGGCAACTTGGTAACCTATGCTATCAGCGGGGTTCGGGTCTGTTTTACACACTTCATCTGTGATGATTAAATCGCTGCTCATGTTGGCGATGGTATAATATACCTGCAGCCACAGGACTGCCTGGGACGCATTATACGCCCGCGTACATACAGATATAGATAGTATACAATACCGTCGAGCTTGGTGGCGCCAGGACCCTGGACCTGAATGCGACTGAATGTACTGCGTTGGTTTTCGCTTAAGATAGCGTGCCTAAGCTCGATCCCTGGAGACATAAGACCCTCGGCTTGTTCTCAAGCAACTATCTTGGCACGAGTGAGGCTGTACTCCCCATCCGTAGAGACACAGAGGGCCACAGACAGCTAGAGCAAGCTTAGCTGCACCTGTATCTCTTCTACCTTTGTTTAAACCTGCTGCTCTATGGTATGGCTTCCTACCTACTTCATATTAGAACTCTGATGTCCAGCCTGCCGCCGCCGCTCTTGCTCTCGTAGATCCCGGTTTCCCATTATTCCAACACTCCCACCTCAGACTTGGATCCAAGCTCAGACTTTGGCTAAGACTTTGGCTCAGACTTCAACATTGACGGCTGCTCTAAGTTCGAAGCCAGCCTCGACTACCCCGCCACTATCCCGCCATTTGTTCAGGCAGCTATTCATTGGCATGGGAGCTTGTCGAGACAAGATGTTATGGTGCACATATTGTGGAAAGGCGTTCACGCGGAAGGAGCATCTCGAACGACATCTACCTAGTCGTCAGTGACTCCCCATCATTGTCGCAAACGCAACGGGCGATTAATGGTTATCTACAGACACAAACGTCAAACCTCATCGGTGTGAGGACTGCCAACTCGGCTTTACTCGAAGGTGCTATTACTCTACCAAACCTCGACGGCGGCTACCTGTCAGATGGAACTGCTAACCGTGCTTGTCGCCATAGAGACCTCCTTGTAAGACACCACGCAACATATCATACTGCAAGAGACGACTCGATGGGGCCTACGCCAGGAGGCCACCCTCCGAACGCAGGGAAGACTCAAATTGCTTGTCTCAACTGCGCCCAGGCAAAAACAGGATGTGATAAGTTGCTGCCTACATGTACTCGATGCCGAGAAAAGGGTCTCACCTGTGAAGTTCGATATGCTAGGCGGTCCACGAAAGCCGCTTTCCGGAACTCCCAAGCATCAAGAAAGCAGTCAGTATCTCTAACGGCCCAGCATGCCTTGCCTCCATCACCACTCATGATGACAACGCCTATTACCACACCCTATATTCCTGCGCCAATGGATGGCAGTCAGGGGCCTTCTCTTAGTGACCCCCAAGTGAAAACACCAATATCACCGCATACCACATCCATCATGATAGATCCTCGCATATCACAACATGGTAACTTGCTCGACAGAAGCCCACAGTCCAACCTACAATCCAGACCAGACCTTCCTTTTTCGCCACTTATGCCTAGGGTGGACGACTTCGTCTCATATAGCAACGAGTTCATGGGTCAAGATATCAATTATGGTACATTTGACGACATGAACTATGAGATGTATTCCAGTAACCAATACCTGGCGGATGCTTTGATGCCAGCGTTGCAAGATTTGAGTCCGATTGCAAGCTCGAGTTCCGAATTGGTTGATTCAATCATAGGATCAGGGCCCACGAGAAGCACGAGTATCATGTCATCCAAGGATGTTGATCAAATCATGTTTGACCCTAACTCCCCATCTGACATTCCAGAGTTAGAAACTGGCGCTCTGATCGCCTCTCAGTCCGGATGGCCGATTGTTCGATGCAACCCTGTCATATACTCGGGAGACTGTCCACGAACCGCTATAATATATCTGGAGTCCTTAGAAAGGAAGTCAAAGCAGAAGGATACATGGAACGCTCTAGAAAAGTACTTGAGTATAGCTAGAATGGATGGCACTGACCTAACATCAGTAGTACCTATCAACTCCTATACTAGGGACCATTTTCTTGCTAAAACTCAGTCTTTCCTGCATAAAGCCCTGGAGATTCATCGCCCTCCCTTCCATAATCACAGTTCTGGCTTTCAGAATGACGACAGACCGAATCCTGGGTCTAGCATGAGCCTATACCTCGTTCTTCCGCCGAATAAGATACTAGAATATTTCTTACGGAGTTATGTCCGCAACCTTTCCTGCCTCTATTCACTTGTACCATCGGGCCATGTCGACCCCAATGAGATGATACTTGGTAATCATGCTACATGCTTATTGGTCTTGCTCATGGTTGCGCAAGGTGCTTCTGCTGTCCCAAGCGAAGAGGCGCGTACCCTCTCGGCCGGTCTCATTGAAACTTGTAGGATCTCATTATTTGACATAATTGAGAAAAATGTCGAAATGTGCGCAGACTTGACGATAAATCGATGCTCTCTACTGTTCACCTTATTAGGAGCCTGGAGCGGTGACAAGTGGCTTATGGATATTGCCATGGGCCAACGGGGAATGTACATTTCGGTGAGACCCTCCCTGTGCTACCCTGATACACTCCCAACACAGGAAACATGTTTATTGACTGAGAGTATCTGTTAAGATGTTGAAGCATGCCGGCATGTTTGAATCTCCTATGAGTGCACCATCCCCTAATCCGACCAATATTGAGGCGGCATGGCGCTCTTGGCTGGATCGAGAAACAAAGAATAGGTATGAGTCATTGGTCATACGCTACGCCTCTTGGAAGTTGCTACTCTATGCGAGCTGGTGTATTGTGGAATTAGTAGTCAGGCTGACAGCTTTATCTTTCGTGCAGATTAGTCTACAATTGGGTCATGGTAGACCAGGAGCTCAGCCTCTTCCATGACGGGGCGCCCGTGATTACCGTCAGCGAGCTTTGCACGCCGTTGCCCGGTCCCGAGCAGCTGTGGATGTCGGGAAATGCTGACCAGTGGATGGCCGCCATGCAATCCAACATCAACTGTCCTCCTGCCAACGCCAGTGCACAGCTGCTCGGCGCGCCATTGCTGGAGCCCACCCTCTTTGCCCTGTTCCAGGAATTTCTGCATAATAATTCAGAAAGCCAGAAGTGGGGTGCTCTGACACCTCATCGGCTGAGGCTGCTTTTGCATCCATTACAGTCGCTGCTGTGGTACCAACGGGAGTTGAAATGCTACCTACCCGATACGTATAAGCTCAGGGCTATGCCATCAAAGTCTGTAGACGAACGGCCTCCAATGGAGCACCAGGCAGATACACAGAATTTGCTCCAGAGGTGGTACAAGCTAAGCAGGAACTACTTCCAGGCGCACCCGAAATGTGTTGTGAGCAAGACCAATCTGGTGCTTTTCCACCTCATCTCGCTAAACGTAGTGACCAATTTTTCTGCAATCGAAAAGCTCGCGCAGCGCGAAGATTCTGCTGCGAAGCATGGCCCCTACATTCATAGGATAGAGGAGACCGTTTATCATTGTGGACAGGTGGTTTCTCTGATGCGAGCCATACCTGTAGACCGGCGACCGTTATGGTGGAGCGCCGCTCTCTACCGAGCATTACTTATTCTCTGGGTCTACAGCATTCTGAGGGGAGACGCATCCTTCCTACAGAATTCGGAAACGGGGATACCCCTCGTCATCGACAAAGTGGCGATCGACGACGAGGCCCTATACAACTACATGTGGAAAGAGGGCCCCAAAGCAGTTCCCGTGCTGTCAGGGCCGAGCAACTCCACCGTGAATCTCGACAACCCTTTAAACGTCCTCAATTATGCAGTGAAGATGATCGACGAGGGGAACAGCTCGCGCTTCAGCGACGGTATCAAGCGCAAACTCGTAGAACTCGCAAAGGCCTGGAACAAATCATCACCTCCCGGTACACATCAGTTGCTCGGTATATAAGATCAACTAGGGTTTTGTTTCAAAATTTGATATATATACCTTCACGTTATTACTATCCAATCGGACCTTAGGAGGCCACTGATCAAGGAAGTATACTCAGCAGCAACCGAATACATGAGCACAGTAGTCCACACACTACACAGAAGCCTAATGAGTCTTTAGGAGAGCTCAAAAACTGTATTATATTATATTCATCACATTATTTTGAAGTGTTGGGCTCTCTTCCTAAGACATTGGTATGCATTGGAATCAGTGGGCGGGATAGGAGGCGTCTAAGATCTGCATAAGGGGTTCAACGATTACTACGCAACGATACTCCAGCACGGCAGAGAGGGAACACCGGTCGCTAACGTTAAACAGTTCACTCTGAATGCTTTTGTTCATTCACTCTTAGTATCCTTTCTTCAGGCATGGCGGCGTTTGCTGGCGAATGGCTCGGTTTGTAGTTTGAGGAGTCTTGCCTTGATTTTTAGATACAATCTTTGAATTAACACTTTATCTGTGCTTCACGTTGGCCCGAGCTATGGTCCTTCTCGCAGAGACACCATTTTTTGCGATTAACCCACGCAAGAAAATTCTTTGTATTCTTTTTGAGTTCCAGTTGACGAATCTCTCCCAATATCTCTTCGCATCAAGCGTTGATCATGCTAGTCTATGCGAGTTAATACTGCCCTCTACATTACGGTGGGTCGTCTTACTGAATTAGTTCAGACTAGGACGCAGCCGCATCGAAGCTGGAGACCAGCATGAAGCTGTGTTCTGATGCTCTAGACTCCCTAACTACCTACATGCTTACATACTATACCTAGGTTGGTCATAATTCTAGACACCCACCCCGGTCTCCTGCCGCATGATCTTTTCGGCCTATTGGCCACGGGACCGATTGCTGTGATTGGTCTCGGCGGCCGGTGAACGAAAATGAGGACGAAAAACCGTTCACCGTCGAAGATGCCGGCTGGTCAGCGCTGGAAGGAAAACCGAGTCCAATCGCGCTACATACTGTATTCGGAAGGGGGCCACTTCTGTCTTTCTTCTGCTCCTCTTCATTGTCCGTCTCTCGCTCAACTGCCTATCTATCTACCCAAGATGGTGCAGCCACATAAAGCGTTGTGTTCTTACATCGAACAGGACACACCTTCTTTTGTTTCAACTATCTGATGTACTTTGCGCGCCGCAGCGGGCGAAGACATCGGATGACATTCGGTATTCCGGGGAGGATTTTTGACAACCGTGCCCCCACGCATGAATACCGAATTGATAGATAAGTGTGGTGTGTATGTTAGTTAGTGCCGTCAAGAGTTCACACCAATCCCAGATTAAAGCCGGGTCGACCCGTAAACGGTGTCATGGACACCTCCCAGGTCTATGCTTGTGTCCGATGACAGGGAACTTTTGAAACCAGCCCTACAGCGCAAGCATATGGGATTGTGTGTAGGCGTTACCCCAGAGTCATAATTGTGGCGTTTTCTTACGAGTGCTATTTATTTTATTTATTCGCAGAACACCTCCAGCACTCTAGTGATACTGACGGTCGACCTGTTTCGGCTCGCAACATCGGGGCCCTTGCCGGTGACCAGTTGCGGCGTATTACTCTATATTAAGCCGACCGGTGGTCAGACTGGTGGCAAGTATTAGGCAGCCGATTGTGGTAGCAAGAGGCGAGTAGGGTCTTCGCAAGCCGGATGTCTCGACTTCGGTTTATGCTTGCCGTAGCATTGACGTCATCGTCTGAATATTCCTGAGAGAGGAAATAACAGGAATTAACGTTGTATATCTTCGCGAGATAAGCACGGGATTCGTTACACATCATGACGACACCTCACTATTCGCAACGCACGATGTACTGGCCTAATATTTCTGAACATGGTGGAAATATATCGTTCCACTGCACCCGTGGTTATGGAGAGTATTTGAGGCCAGTATGGCATGATCCTTGTCGCTAGGTGACTCACTGAAATCGATTTCCGCTGTAGTCTCTTTGCATACACAATACCAACTGTCTAGGGGTGAGGGCCCGTTTTTGGATGATTATGTGAGCGTACTATCCTTGTCCCAGCTTGCAAACCTGCTGGGACTGAGTTTAACTGACTAGGTAGCCAGAGCGGTGTCTTGACGGTCGACAAAGCAAAACCCGATATAGACACCTCTCGGGGAATACGAAGATTCTCCCAATTTTCATACTCGGCAGCTTTTTTGTTGATGTTCGGGACACACAGCAGATAACTACTTGTTATCTACGCATGGCCAAGCCATTGAAAGCGAATAGATAAATCGTTGCCGACGTACAACAGAACTTCGAGAATACCGTGATGTCCTTCCGGTAGTACAGCCAATCCTGGTATTATCGTGACAAACTCGGAGTTAGGCAGTAGAAGTGTAGGGACCCCTTGCCAAGTGCAATGCAAGCATCTGCATGACCGGGCAAATGCAGGGGTTATTACTCGCATACCATCCCATGTCTTCATCGGTATCATTGCTGGGTAAGGGGGGTTTGATGAGCCCACCCCCCCCTCGAAAGTTGCAGCATATACCCCTCAAGCTACACTACTGGGTGGTGGGTGGGTGAAGAACGAAGATGATCGACAGCAAGCCTCACGTACCTGGAATTTCTCGGCACCAACACGTCGGTACGCAAGTACAGTAAAAGCATCATTCCCGCCGCGCCTTTCCAATCGTGGACAAATGAAATGACGGGGAATCTCCAGCCAAAGTTATTCTTGGTGGTTTTGAATTCAACGCAGAGGGATAGGACTTACCTACGTAGTAGACTTTGGGAGCGCACGGCCAAGCGTGTGTGGTAGCTCGTATCAGTGCCGGTCCTTGTGGGACCCTATATATAGCAATGTGAGTAAGAAGCTGTATGGCGCAAAGCCCCCGGTTTCACGTTTGACGGCTCAGCGAACGGTTTCAATCTAGGAGCGGAGATGGCGTTCAGTCAAGCGACACACCATCCATCCTCACTCATCAATGCGATCAAGTAAATACCGATGGTGGCAACCTCTGGGAGAAGGCATACCGATCCTGGCAGAGCAATGTAGAGGCAGTTTGCTCCATGTGCCGAGGGCATCGCGGCGCGAACTGCTGAAGAGGCTGAAACGCATCTTTGTCGTCTGCAGGTCAAATGACCTCGTTATGGTCAGGGATTCACACACAGCGCAGATCTTGCGAATCAATGCAACACCCCGTCGCTACCCGTCCCAACAAGATGGGTCGCAAGACAGGACAATCAATATACCAGGGATGAGGGATACACCTTATCTTATGTAGATGGGCGAGGAGAGTCGGCACAGTCTCCATGGAGCAAGCAGCGGAAAGTTGGCACGGCGGTTCGCAGCTACTGTAGGTACGTGGTGGTGGGATGGATCCAATCAATCTCATGTGAAGATGTGGTAGAGTGTTCGACGAACTAATGGCTAAGTACATATGTCGCTTAGAGAACTTATCTCTTAATTCTCATCCTGCTTACCTAGGTATCTACTTACCGTCGTGAACGTAGGACACAGGTCCCTTTATTTACCCGGGCATGTATCCGATTAACCTTATCACGTATAAGGGTCCCCTTACTTGAAAATAAAAAGTTTATATGCCTTTGAAATACTTATCCTGCCGTACCAGGTATATCAGATTGTCCTTACATGTGTATGTGCATATGTAGGGACTAAGATGAGGAGGCATCATCGTCCTCTTTGAGTTTAACTGCGTTTACTATCGCTCCCGTCAATTTTCTCAATCGCAGACTCATACGAGGCCATTGGTAATTTGCATGCCTATCTTTGAACCTAAATAGTAGACAATGGCATTTCAGCTGCAGAGCGCCCCAATGGATTTTGCTGAATACGCTTGGTCCCATCCATGCCCCAAGCTCCTCCAGCTCGGGAACCCGGATGTCCGATGGGGGTCACTACAGGGCCAGAACACAACTTCTAAGTCGCCCTCCCAAACGAAAACACCGCTACTACGGGCTTCCAGGCTGCCGCATAATGAGGCATTTGGATGATATGCGCCAAAGGCTTTGTTAAAAATTTGTAGGTGTTGATTGTAACTTGCACGGGCTTGGAGGCAAATCCATATTTTAAGTAGATATTGTCAAAATAGGGTGAAGAAGGGTTAGTTTTGATACCGGACTATGGATTTTCATCGGACGCCATGCTGTCCGACCGTCTCCGGATATTGGCCATCTAGTCTCCATCTCCCTGCTTAAACTTCCCCAAAGAGAGTCCTCCTCCGTACCGGGACTCCAGAGTTCGATGGTAAGTCCGCTATAAGAGAAACGGCATTTTGGGCACCTTTATTGTAAACAGTGCTTTCTCATAAAGATTTTAAAGCATCCCCTGCAGCAGGTCACACAGACTCAATATTTCTATACCAAAATACCCTCTTCTAGCACTTCCTTGCTATCTTTTCCCCTTGACCATAGTCAATCGGTTAATATGTCTCCTGCCACTACTTTAGAGCAAGTACCCACCGAGCCGATGAGCAACCAACTCAGGCCCCTGACAGGCAAGGTTGCCCTGATCACGGGCTCCGGTCGCGGTATTGGACGAGGAATCGCGCTGGAGTTAGGTAAGCGTGGCGCCTCCATTGTTGTCAACTACGGCCGCAGCTCCAAATCCGCCGAGGCCGTCGTGGAGGAGTTGGCCAAGCTAGGCTCCAAGGCGGTGGCTTTCCAAGCAGACATCTCTAAGCCGGCCGAAGTAGCTGGTCTCTTCGACAAGGCCTTGTCTCATTTTGGTCACGTTGATTATGTCGTCTCCAACTCTGGTATGGAGGTATGGTGCGAGGAGACCGAGGTGACCCCGGAGCTGTTCGACCAAGTCTTCAACCTAAACTGCCGGGGCCAGTTCTTCGTTGCACAACAGGCGCTCAAGAACTGCAGCGAGGGCGGTCGCATCATCCTAACCTCGTCCATCGCGGCTCAGATGGGCGGTATACCCAATCACGCGCTGTACGCAGGCTCCAAGGCCGCTGTTGAGGGATTCACGCGCGCATTTGCTGTCGACTGCGGCCGTAAGCGCATCACTTGCAATGCCATTGCCCCCGGCGGCATCCAGAGCGACATGTTCGACGAAAACAGTTGGCACTACGTCCCCGGCGGGTACAAGGGCATGCCAATCGACACTATCAAGGAAGGCCTTCGTAAGATGTGCCCCCTTGACCGCGTTGGCGAGCCGTCAGATATCGGAAAAGCGGTCTACTGTTTGATTAGTGAGGAGGGCGAGTGGATCAATGGTAAGTCTTCCTGTTCTGCTTTTTTCATATCATGATACATGCTATGAGCACATCAGCTTACTTTCTCCAAGGCCAAGTCATTCGATGTTCGGGAGGCGGTGTCTAAACTAATTACCGCGGAAGGGATTTCTCTCTCAAGGCTCTTACTAAGTACATGGCACGATGACGGCGTTTGTTCTTATATGATGCACATGAGTGTTTTATGTAGCCCATTCAACAGTTCGCACGATATAGACAAAATAGATACTAGTATTCATGTCGTGTATACCGTGTTTGTACCAATCAGCGCTAGCAGTTGGTAGCCCCTTTTTCCCATCTGCAAGTGATATTTCTGGACGTGTCTTTTGTACTCGCACAAACGCTTGATCTGACGTGTGTTACTACTGAGAACTTCTGACAGGCACCCCGTGCATTCAGCGTAGCACATTCCGCCCGTTACAGTGCTACCTGTATCGAATATTACTGGATGCCATCCTAGCGTGGCCATTTGTTAATCTTCATCTCGTTGTATAGTTACTACCCGTTCCATTACCAGACTGACACGACTTCCAAATTGATATTCTGGGCGCTCCTATTTATGAGTTCCTAATAGGTTGCTTCTGCTTATTACCTAGGACGATAGGATGGCTAGGCTGATCATCCACCCAGCTCGCCGTATATGGCTCACCCGCCTCCATGATACCTTAGGCAGTATCATTGGCCGGGTAACATCTTTTCTACAATACCATACGGTAGCTAGCATTCTGCCTGTCTACGCCACATTTGCCAAGGGGATGCCTACCGATACAGGATGAGACGAGATAAATGCACATCACTAAGGTAAGTAATGCCGACCAAAGTGGCGCTTCCCCCAGCCGGCCCCCTGTTATCATTCGAAAGTCCCAATAGAAGATAGAGTATAGGTACCTATATTAGTACCTACCCGCGCACTAGGGAGATCGACGGAAAGCTCGGCCCCGTTTCATGGGATTGGGTGACATGGGGAAAGATAGGACAGCGCAGGACAGGGTACCTCAAGAATGGTTCGTATGGTTCCGGTAGATGCGATCCACCTCCATTGCGCTACTGTACCAAGAGGGCGCAGCCGCAATTACGCATATTATGTATTCCATACGGGCTGGGATTCGATGGACTTTTCTCCGCAGCTAGCTAGCTGGCCAGCATGTCAGTCAGTCAGTCAGATCGACCATTCCTAGGCGTGGCTTGTGTAAGCATCCAACTGCAATACACTCGTAATAGATAGATAGCTCTCCCTCCTGTAGGACAAGTATTGAGCAGCGTGTCAGCCAGCCCTACAGCTTGGCACGTTTTGGTTTCACAATCAGCACATGAGCTTCGCTACCACCCTCCAGGAAGAAAGAAAGAAAATACGCCGCAGCTTTACAGGCAACAGCTAGCGAGGTGGTGTATGGGCTTAGTAGGTAGGGTAACTTTTGGAGATCGATTGTTATCCGTTTCCCTCTTCTTTGACAATCGGTTTAGTATTCCATCAGCTGCACCGCCTGGCGAACTCGGTGAGGTAGCAGAGTTGATACCCTGGTTACATATCTTGTGTCAGCTGAGAAAATCTCACGCTCGCATCTCTAAAAACCCACGTTCTCTGTCTTTCATGCGGGGTTCTCGCTTTATATTCATTGCGCGCCATGGTTCCCAGAGAGGACGAGACCATCTTGGCATGCAAAGATAGAATACAACCACAAGTATGGTCCATGGAAGCAATGAAAGTCGAAACACGAAGCAGACCGAGGAAGCCAGCGAAACCGCCACAATGTCATCGGAGAACGGGACCGAGAAGGATTGACAAGCATACACACACACACAGAGAGAGAGAGAGAGAGAGTGAGAGTGAGAGATAGGAAGATGGCATGGGCAATTTTTGCCTTTGTGTTCTCACTCCTTACCCCATACGTAACCGTTTTCTTTTGTTTCATCGTCAATCAATCGCCCACTCAAAATGTTACGAAGCGCATGGGGGTTGGCACGCATCCGTACACCACCTCGCTGCATCGTTGTGCTTGTCTAAGTAAAGGGTATATTGTTATGAATAATCAGATCACTCTACGTAGTTCTTGAGGTTTTGCTTCGAAACAAGAATGGCATCTCATTGACAGCGTTTGGATGTTGAAACTGCCAGAAGCATCCTCAGCAATTCAACCTAACATACCTACCTTATTTCGTTAGACATGCATTTGATGTTACGGGAGGATTTTCTTGATAGGCGACTTATTCTGGTCGATTACACGACATGATCTGTGACCATGACACGACAGAGCCCGTAGGGCTGGCCACCTGGCTGTCTACGCGACTCATTGTAGTTCTCACCACCCTCAGCAGTGCCATCGCCACCACCACCATGGTGATTCCAAATCCCACGAAATATGCCACTTACCTGTTATTCAGATGGGATGGTGGTGTCATTATGTTACACAAGGACTTGTAGCTTTGACGTAGTTGTCTGTATGCATTGCATGCCTTGAGCAGGTACGCGAAGATCAACGACTCCCATGACCATGATGCACACGCGCACACCACGCGCGAACTGGGTCTTGATCCTGGGTTTGCCGCGAGAGGGTCGCACGTTTGTCAGCGCCGTAGGATCGGATGCCATTATCAACCTGTCAAAATGATTAATACGTCCGGGATTTGCTCCGGTTCTTCTTTGCATTCCGTTGGTCGAATGTGCTAAAGCATGATAGATAGTGTACAGACTTTGAGAGATCTTACATTGGAGCCACCGAATACGCGTTCTTTTTTTGTAAAACGGCGAGTATAGTAGATTCTGCATTAAAGCGTAAGACTCGCTCGCGCTACGATTCTGTTGCTTTTGAGAAATTCGTCGAATATATTGGCCTTCTTTTGGTTTCTCTCTCACTTTGGTCCAATTCTCACCTATTGCGCTGTGCTGTTAATTGGTTGATTATGCAGGATTATATATTTGAGGACCAGGGACTGCAGCACTTGGGCGGGAAAGACGACGCAGTGAGACGAGCCGACAAGTCGCAATATTACCCTACTCACCTACTTTATCCACTATAGTTACGCCGAGTCAGCTCCGTTGTTCCTGGGGCACCAAGGAGAACGGGGCATGAGAGAAGAGTTGTCTCGGCTGGTCGGGTGAGATAAGGATGCAGTATACATGACTCTGCAGACCGCTAAGGTGTGAGAGAATATGAATCATGAAGATCACTGCTTTGCTGCGTTGTTACCGTAGGATACAACGTGGATATAACACAACAAAGCCTCCCGGCCTCCACTCGGTGGATGGGAAATGCGGAGGAGACGCGTTCATTTACTATGTAAGATTAGAAAGAGAAAAAAGAACATGCCATGACCGGTTCTTACACAGTATTCTCAGCATCGTGAGGTCGGTCTCTTACGATGATACAAGCCTACAGGCGGTTGGAGAGGCTCGACCCCACAACGCCTGACCGTTGGATCGTACGATTTGTAGCTTGTCAGTTCTGTGGCAGGCAGGCGTTCGCAGGATTGGGATCTTTCTCAGCCATTGGGGCAACAGCTGGGGTATGCCAGGGTGGAATAATAATAGCAGCATGATGATTATGATGTGCATCAGCTTGAGCTGGGCGATAGTTGGAGTAAAGATTAGGTAAGTAGTGAGAGTAGTGAGTGGCTTAAGCAAGAATCTGTACGGGTTGAGAATGCCCGAATATGCTTTGTGGCTGCGTACGGTAGGCTTGGACGAGCAGTGAGTCAATGTTAAAGCTAGGCAATTGTATAAGTAGAACAAGTCTGATTATATACTGGAAGCATATAATAACTAGTAATATAGACAGACAGTTATAAAGTAAGTACGGGGAAAAATGGATGAGACATTCACACTTGATTCAGCTCCATAACTTGATAGCACTATCATGATGATTATTACCTATCTGGAAACCGGTAGTTGATGCTTTGCCGCCGTGCCTGGCACCACCTTAGTCAGCGGACTACATTCCGAGAGAAAAGACGCGCAGAAGAACAGATGTAAAGTGTAAAGTATACAAATTACCGCACTATTAGGTACCTAGTTATTACTATATATGATAGTAGATACCTACCTACCTACTCACTTGTTACGTTACAGCGCATCTAAGCGTAAGTATAAGCCTCGCGGTCAGTTCCCTAGCATATTTTAACCGTACATGCCTACATACTACCTACTTAATGTAATAGTTCCCTGCTCCCTTGTTTCCCTGCAATGGTCCATTATAGTCTATCTGTACGCGTATCTCCACATGCCTGCCTAGTGTAGGATGCCGCGTACCGAGCAGAGCCGAAGTGCGAGAAACATGCCTAGAAACCTTGGAGAGTACCTACTATGTAGGCAGATGGGTTACAGCGGGGGTCGACCACTGTGCTGGACCCTGCTAGGCTACCTAGGTAGGTATCTAGGTAGTGGAGAGGCCCCCACGGCATCCACTGTACAGCAGGGCACTATTACCAAATTACAGAAGATATTGTGGAGCAGAGAGATTACAGTAAAAACACCACGCAGACGAGCTTGAGGTTATACTCGAGAATAAAAAATGCCCTTCTAATTGGAAAAATCTCACTCTCCATTTATGCTTAGTTGAAACTCGGTTTACTCGGCTCTCTCGACTTTCTGCGTGTTGGCGACGTAATCGCTTCGGTGGGCAAATGGCATGTGTTACCTGCCTGGGTATTGTGTGTGTTGGTGGAAACCCTCGTCTCTGTGGGAGATGGGGGAGAGGGAAGGTCTGGCAAGGTCAAACAAACGTGTGGGGATGGCCCCGGACTTCGTCGCGGCAGAGCTCGAGTTCTAGACTTGCTACCAAGACGTCAACGATGCTAGTAGCTTGCTATCAAAGAGGTGGTCCCATCCCATCCCATCCCATCCCACTATCCATCCATCCACCATGAAAATCAAACGTCATCCTGGAGTCCATCTTTTTCCCATTTCGGCATCCGATCCGTGGCAAGCTAAGGTCTAGGCTACATTAGTTCCCGCCGAGTTACTTTGAACCTCCCATCAGTCAGCTAATCAGTCGCAACCGCATAAATAAACACACACACTCACTCAGACACACAACACATACACACTCTTTCCGAAGGCGTTCTCGATTTCGGTAGCCCGGTACTTTTACTATACCCCCTCCGCCATGCGAGAATAAGTAATGCATGTGAGATGGTGATCCTTAGAACGCGAGACTTGCCGTTCTGTCCGTATTCGTCGCCTTGGTAGCCACTGTGGCGGCCGGCCATGAGCTGAGACGTCTACGTAATAGCGTCTTATAGCAATTGATGAAACAAACCGGTCGTGGTCTCTTGCTCGCCTGGGAAATATGCTAGACACCTCGGATAGGCGGATGAGCGCTCATGGGACGTGCTAGAGACTGCTCGTCAACTGGTAATTGTCCAACGTGGAGGTATCGCCTCATATCATTATCACCTGGTTGGGCTGGCCTCGAGACTATTGCATTTGCCCTCGCTCGTCCCAGTGCAAGATGCTAGTTACAGATTCACGTAATGATTGTAGCATAGTCTTAACATATGTGGGTATTATAAGATACTTGTAGCATTCCTTACATAATAACGATAATTAGCTTGACGAGCCCCTAAACTGCAGAATGGGCTCCTAATAAGTTCAAAACGATACAGCACTACTGGCGATTTTCCGTTCGTCCAGTGCGTACCCTCGACCAATGACCCTAACGCCTAAACGCCCAGGCATGCCACCTTAACGCCGAACTCCTTATACCCAACCACCAATTATAGAGGGGTGATAGAAAGAAAGAAAAGAAAAGACAAGATAGAAAATCAAAGTCCCATACTTTGACGCAAGGTAGTGATACATATGCGGAGCTTATTCCCTTCCCAATATCTGAAGTTGAAGGCCTCGTCTCGTCAGGGTAGGAAGGATTGAAGGCCCTCTTGTATATCACCATCCTGCTACTCCCGTAGAGCTCCATAGCCCGCGACGCCAAACTCATGTGATGGCGAAATTAACGTTCATGTCCGGCATATCAAATGTGCCCACAGTGGAGCCGATGTCCATTCTGGTTGTATAGTTGATCATGGCCTTCGCCAGCTCCGGGTTGTTAGCAAATGCGGCCTGAACTGTATGACGAAAGTCGGTAAATAGACCCTCGAGCTTCTGGCCTGCCTGGTGCACCGCGTTCATCTTCGTCCATTTGCCATTTCCTTCAAGTTGGAATGTTCCAAGGCGAGTGTTGTCGATGCCTTGCGGGTCTTCCATGATTTGTGCGGTCTCGCCTTCGGCACATGACCGACGCGTGCGCGCATGAATGTCTGCAATTACCCGGACGGCGACCGCGTAGAGCATTGCGCGCGTCTCTGCTTCACGTTGGTCCGCACAGTTCGAGGACTTGATCATCTTATTGCATTCGTCCAGTGCGTGTTGGTAGCTTCGGAGGAAAGAGTCAAAGTCGGCAGATTTGGATTGACTCAGGAGATTATATATATTAGAAACTCCTTGTAAACACCGGATGAGGCATGTACACGAAGCATCATTTTGTTGACAAGGTTGTATTGGCTGAAGGATTGGTGTCATGGTCGGACTTGGAAAGTAATTTGACCCGAGGCTATTTGGGGTTTGCACCTGAGAGTACGGTGCTGGTTCATGGGAGATCTGGTTTCCCCACAACGTGGACATCGTCATTTGCGCGGGCGTCTGTATTGCAGCTGGTCCCGTCATAGGTATAGGGATTTGCATTGGCGGCGGAATCGACGACATGGCAGCGTCGAATGACTGAGACCGAGCGTGGGGACTTGGTATGTGAGTAGCCGGAAAAGGCATGTTCGAATAAGTTGCCATGTCTGCGGACTGATGCCAAGGTATACCGGAGAATACGTCTGGAGGTGCTGACATTGGACCTTGTGTTCCCATTGTACCTTCGTCTATACCTAGAAGGTGAAAATTGGATCCTAGAAATGGATTTGTATTCATGGAATCGTCGATACTATACGGAGACGGCGTGCCACAATTCGTTTGTAGGGGGTGGGGGTGGAGGTTGACGTGCGGCGAGGGCCCTTCCAAGGCAAACCCCATATGTTCCCGACCTTGTCGACCATGGAGGAGATTTGAATCTGTGCTGGGATTGTGCTCTGCCTTCTGTTTCGTAGATCTAGAAGAGGGCGAATAGTGGCATGCGATTCCGCAAGCGAGGCAGCGGGTACACATAGGACGACCTTTGGAGCATTTGACCTTTGCCAAAAAGCATCCATCGCAAGATTGTCGCATGCGGGGCGCACGTAGTTTCCCTCCGTTGGCGGCCATGGTTCTGCGTCTTTTGGATTTGGATTTTGGCTTTGAAATTGGAGCCTCTTGGCAATCGGAACTGCTTTGATCTACCACTGCCATGAGACGTAACGATGAGTACGCTCGAGATTTAAGCTGTCTAGAAGATAGCGGAGAAGCGAGGGGTGCAGTGTTATGGGCATGCTGTGTAAGAGGAGGATTAGAAGGGACAAGAGGTAGCACAAGAGCTTTTTAAACTGACCAGCCTCCGAAAGGAGAACTAAGTAGTATTCCGCTAAAGCATGGCCAAAACCTATTTCCAAGATAACCAGGTACGAGAGTTAAAGCCGAAGGCTAAGTGAAGATGGATGGCAACAAATACCTATGTACTAAGGTAAAAGAACACGCCAGTCATCGGATGGAAAGATGTCAAATAGTGGGGATGATAAACCCCAACCCCAAGGGCCAAATGTAGCAGACTAGACCTGCTGAGGAGGCGTGTCGATGTCGACAATGTAGAAGGAAGGGATATCTGATAGAAAGGGCGGTTACCCAATGCTTGATTAGCTGCATGCATCGACTGGGATTGGGGCCTGGCTGTAAAGAACGGCTGAGACCTCTCTTGCGTGCCTACAAAGTACACATGCTACTAATTACGACGCTGTCATACGGGCCTGGATGCTGTAATCCACATCGGATGGCTCTCTTAGAGTACTGGAATGTGCTAGGATATGTATGTGGCATCGTAGAAATTGGGACTTAGGTGCATTGGCGTAGACACTGTCGACAAAGCAGCATAATAGGTTAGTCGGCTACAAGTCCAGCACGTAGTAGATGAGTGTTAGCCCTCCCAGCGAGGACTCAAATGTCGAATAGAGTGCTTCGTAAGTGGTGCAGGATAGGCACGGGACTAGGTTAGCCAACGCACTTTCTGAGGCTTACGCAGGTCAAAGGCATGTACTCATATGTACTCGTACGTACAACCCTCAGCGAGCGCCAGACATCAATTCGCTAAGCAGAGGAGCACTGAGACGGAATATCGAGAGAGGGAGGACACCTAGGAAGAGGTAGAGGATAGAGAAGAGCTTAGGTACTTAGTCCAATCCAGTAGGGTCTGGTGTAGGTGAGGGACAAGAAGAATCCCGCGTAAGCTAACCCAGTTTGATGATGGGTGCGTTTATGGTTCATGGGCCGGTACATGGCAGTCCCTATGTGGCCTTTACCGTCGACGAGCCCTGGTCATAGAACAGATCGTGGAGATGTTGCATCATCATGGACCGGGGTAGCTCCAGACGACGCGGGCGGGGGGGGGGGGGGGGGTGGACGTGGGCTTGGGACTCGCAGGGACTCGCAGAGACTCGCAGAAACTAGCAGAGTATGCGTGGAATGCATGCACGAGACCCCACTGACAACTCGAAACGCAGACACGCAGACACGCAGAAACGTGAGTTAGCTTGGGTACGCAGCAGAGGGACCAGACCGGCTCCGAAAGCAGCTGAGCTAGGCCAGATGAGGCTCGGCACCGAGATGTAAGCCGTACGTCGCAGTCTACTGTAAGCAATCTGTAACGATAACCGCTGAGTGCCTACCTAGGTGCTTGGTTAGGTTGATTGATTGATTGATGGATGGATGGATGGCATCTAGTGAGGGCACCATGAGCGGACTTGAAACTGCCTGCCAGTGCCACTGGGAGGCACATCCCCCAGCCAGCGGTGGCAGCGCATACATGGACTGCCAGTCTGAGATGAGATGCAGCTGGGTTCTCCGTGAAAGGTGTACCTATGTGGGTGGAGAGAGAGACGTTTGCTAAGGGGGTACCCAGTAAGCAGTCGGATTATATTGCTTACTTCGCGTCGCCCCCTAGCTTCTGGCTGTTGATTTAGCGAAGTACACACATGCTTGTTTGGGGTGTACCATACTTACTTCGTACTTCGTACAGCACGGATTGAAGCAAAGAAAACGTAGGTAGGCATGGTATGGTATGGTATGGTATGGTACCGGCTCTGGCAGCCAATGTGTCTCTGCAGTACTCTGGGCGACGCAGCAACCAATGTCCAAGGTTGCGAGCGTTGTTCTCCGACTCCAGGTTAACGGCTTAAGGTTAGCCATACACCATACACACACGTACGTACGTAAGCACGGATGATGCCGAGCTGCCCAAACGGGCATCTTAACAGAACTCGAAGCAAGCTCGGGAGACGGGTCTTGCATATCTAGTAGAGGTAATATGTAGGTATGGATGTAGATATGAATGTAGATATGAATGTAGATATGAGTGCAGATGTGGGTGTAGGTGAGGTAAGTAGGGAAACTTGACTTTGGGTGTCTTAGACACTTGGTAGATACCTTATGTACATACGTAGGTAACCTAACATACCAATATCCCGTAAGTACTATCTATCTAGTAGGTATATCTTGCTTGTATGCAAGTACATATTCTCCTGAACGGATACCAGGCTCGTTTGTTTCATATCTGATACTACTGATATTAATATAGCAGCTACAAGCGTTTACCGGGTAGCAAGTATCCGGCACACGTCTACAGTACATTACGTGTGTGTGTGTGTGTGTGTGTGTAGATGTAGATGTAGATAGATACCTTGGGTTCTCATGCTTCATCCTAGGCTCTTATACTCTTATCATGGAACAGACAAGTAAGAAAAAAGAAAACAAGAACGGCCACAACCAGGAGGGCCCTCAGCATGCCACATTATATCAGAAGCTACCTACTGGTATTGCTCCAATCTTGAATGAAGCTTTAATTCCCAGTGCTCGGCATTCTCACCATCAATTCGACGAAGGGCTGTGCCGTGATATTCGAGCACCGTGCCTGTCTTGTTCAGCCCCAACGAGGTGCCCATGCAAATAGCAACCACCCTGGGGCATGCGAATAATCAAATCAAACACAGCTACATACGGCATGGGTACCTATACCAGTCTCTACCTGGAGGCGATCTCGGGAGAGCCGGCGAAGCAGTGGTGATCGAAGGCCGGTACCGATCCGCCTCCTCAGACCTCCGCGAGCACTCAGACATGCACATACCACCTGCATATCGCCAGTATACCACACTGCGGCGCCTGTCGACCTACCATATACTGAGTCGAGTATATTCCCAGTAGGCATGTATCCCATGTTTGTACAGGTACCGGGACGCTCAAGTCGTAGCAGCAGCACGCTGCGCCTTCGACGAGTGGCCTATCGACCTCCTGTAGAGTATACTACTTCATCCATCTACATACCTCAGACCACACCTAGTGATACCTGTTATGCTCGGAATTGCAACCGACTGCGAATATGCAGACCTGCATGCCGCTGCTATGTCGGTTGCCTTTGGGTCATCTCTAGACCAACTATGGTCACAGCCCGGCACTCATCATCTTTCCGGTCGATTACATCACCGACCTAGTAATTGTTGACCGGTTTGAACAAATGAGCAGTTCTATCTAATGCTTGAAGCCATGGGTGGATAGCTCCTAGCTTCAAAAGCATGCAGTAAAGAGAATTCACAGTACGCGTTGAGTTACCCTAACCTGCCTCACCTCAGCTAACGGCTCTCTGGGATGACGTAGCCCAACACGCACGACTAGGGGCACTTTTGGTTATTGCCGTTGTGACACTTTGTGTATGTCACAAGTATCAGCCCAATGATGCATCTAGCCAAAACGGCGTATGTGGTCGCCGTCTTTCCTAGCTAATACAACCCTGGAATAGAAGCCCGGTAGGTAGATCCATCCTTCCAATAAACTACTATCCACGAACTCTGATGAGCCGCCTCAGAGCTGGGAAGACGACGCCTAACATGCTACTCCTTGGTTCTATACTGGAATTTTCATGTTCATTCTCGACTTCATCCTTATTACTAAATTCGGGCAGACTCATAGTGTGATCGGTGGCTGTGCACACCTCGGACATCCGCTATTCTCGTTATACGTGCTCTATCTGATACATATTACTTCATCTCATGGTCACCGTGCCCATCATCGGCGGAAACTAACTGACTAAGTACTGCGCTCCAGGCATCCAACTCAGCAAAACTGTTGCGGAATGGTATGTGTGTGTGTGTGTTGTGTGTGTGTGCACGCATACGCGTCGGCGATGATGGTCATGGAGAACGAAGCCTAGCATAATTGATAAACGCGCCACAATCTAAGACATTAGAACTGGCGTTAAAAGCTCCCCTGCAAGCCAGTTAGCCTGACAAACTCATCATCCACTACTAATAGTGACCGGTAGTTCTATTGTCATTGGGCTCATATGGAATCCGACCTATTAGTGTGCTTCATCTGAGCGCTTATCAACGGTCTACATGTGGCTGATTTGACTTGCTTTTTACACAAGCCTGAGTCAATATCACTTGGCTTCTGCTCCCGCGATAATCCCAGTAGCCTCCCATGCAGTCTGGATGGTTCGTTATCATAGAAGAAACTACTGAAGAAGGCTAGATTAGATGTCTCATCCGGCGCAACGTCTAACTACCTCCGCCGTTGACATATCGGCACTGATATTTTCAGTCTCAACCCCCTTTCTCACTCTTGGCATCATATCAAATCCCTAACCTGGCACAAAAGCTCCGCTATCATCTGTGGCCTCCAGCTCAATATGAAAACCGAAAACCGAATACTGAGCACGAGAGTCCAGTGCCTGTGTGCTACATCTAAGTGAGAGTAACGTTTCCCTCGGACAGGCATAGAGAAAGCCCTATCCGCCGCCCTAGACCAGAGCAAAACCGTAACCCTGCGATGAGGATAGTCAGTTACCCTGTACCGTTTGTCTTGCGCTTTCCAATCACAGTCGGAATGCTCTACATAGTTTGCCGAGTCTCCTAGGCTGCGGGAGATCAACTAGCGGCTGCGATTAATCACGAAGCAAATGAAGCACGTGTAGTCACTCTACCTCGCCATGTATGCAGGGTGCAATATGTAGAAGATCGAACCAATCAATACAACTGATGATCGCCATGTTTAACTTGGTTCTGCATTTCTAGTCTTATCAAGCTTAACATAATCACGCTTACAAGATGCAACAAACCACACGTATGCAACGGCCAAACATGTGAGCGTTATGTAATGGGGGTAGTTGTCCTGCCCATGTAGTTGTAGCACATTGTTGGTATTGCCTGGCCACCATCCTTTGGGGCTATCAATGATAGTCAGGTTGCGATCTTACGTTTCTCCGGCTTCAAGTGCAGAGAACTATGTTTGAGATAAAGTTAAGTCCGCAACCGTGCGTAGGAAATGACACCATTTCGTCGCCCTTTTCCGTCAGGAGAGTGCTGACATGCGCCTGAGTAAATCATGAACTTCGACTTTTACAATCACCGGGTGGCGATAGAGGGGAAAACAGCTTCCCTGAGCGAGGGGGCTTTTCAAGTTTACGACACTGGCTACGTCGTATTACCTATCGGCATATCTCGCGATGTAGCGCCTCCATGTGTGTTTCCTGGACTTGATTAGTGGAAGAGATCTAACTAATGCAAGGTCTAGCTTGAGAGCGACGATAGGAATGGATGCTGTGAAGCAATCTGGATACTCGTAGCCCAGCATCGATGATCGTCATCTATCGCACATCGCCGTCTGCGGATCGAATCCCGATGCCTTGGATAGTGTATGACCGTCACCTAGTACAACTTTGATGCTACTCACGAAGATAACCTAGTAGCCCAGTAGCATCTGATAACATGCACAGACGTCGATGCAAGATCGAGCGCCGTCCAACCCAGGACCCCAACCACTTCCGGCATCTTGCAGTCTCCTCTACGAAGTAGTCTTTGGTTATATTGTAGTTGCACTGTAGGGATGACTCGCTAGGAGTTATATGCAGTGATCATCGTTTATACCCTAGATTACAACAATTAGTTCCATGGAAACCTTCAGTTGTATTCTATATCCCAGCTTTGAGAAGAACCGACCGCTGCCTCCATACAAAGCACAGCTCGTTTTTTCACGAAAATCGAGTTGTTCTATATCCTAGGTATATTGCTAAATGAGAAGCATGTAAATACCTAGCGCAATGTATATTCGAACAACCAACACCAACCTTGACATTGTGAAAGTACCGCGTCAAGAACCCGATAAGTTCACTGCAGTACATGACTTAAGCGAGACGTAACATGTGCATTCCTAGGTGCACGTACATTGAACACATACAGAGGGAAGGACATCCACAACCGGGACTCAAAACTAGACGACACATCCTCGCCCGGAAATATCGCTTCGAGAGTCAAAAGTATTTATTCTGTTTGCTTTTCTTTCCCTCCGTTGGATAGACATGAGTGAGGTGAGTTCAACCCCCACGTAGCGACATCCAGAGTAGGCGACACAATTACAGGCATGGCTCACGACACGAAAGTGGTTGCTCGAAACGCACCAGTCGTGTCGTCCTTGGACGCGGTGACACGCCGCGCGTATCCCCATCTCCCTCATCCTAGTGGCGCGCTGAGGGCTCACCGTTCCCCGGCAGACACAGCGGGGACCCATTTCGGAAACGTTGCACCCCCTGAGTTAGGCTGATCCGACAACGTGGTCCTTGTCCGCTTCATGCGTTCGTGGGACGTTTCCCGTCCGGGGTCTCTGCGCTTTGCCATTCTGTTGCACTGCGTGAGGGGTGTTCGCGCCACCTCAAGTCCAGCCATCTGTCTATATGCTATCTCTCGTGGATGCTCTATCATGCCTGAGAGGGGAGACATCTGGAGCTCTCTACCCACAGTCCTATATTTTTTTTTTCCTGCGGCAAACGCGACCTACCCATAACCCTTCCCACCCCTCGTACGCGTCTAGAGTACTCCCTAAGCCTTGGTGCACAACGTTTATTAGGATTCACGAAACCCCATCCTTGTGCGTCGCGAGAACACGAGCACAGCTTGAAAACCTCCATCCCTGAGCATTCCGATGATGTGGACGAAGGCGCTCTTACACGTGGAGAGTCAGACACCTAGCCTGACAGGTACAAGTGGGATGTTTCAGGTCCTGATATTTCAATGTAAGCCAGCAAGCAGTCATCTTTTGGTGTAGAAACAACGGCTGCCAACAAGTTTGCGCCCTTTGGAAAATTGAGACAGAGAGATAAACAAATGGAAATAGTAAAATCAGATAAAAGCCCTCCTCCAACATAACAACATCCACAATAGTGGTGGTGGCGGCTGCGTAATCTATTCTTTTTGATATGTGCGTCACACACTCGGTCTGCAGAGTGCAATGAGGCGTCCGCTGTGCTCTCGTCGTATTGTCGGTGGAGAGAAAGTGCAGGCTCTTTCACAAGGATAAGCAGTTAGTGAAAGCCAGAACTTATATGCTGCAGTGCGCTCTCGGACGTTTGCCATTTTCTAAAAGGCCTTTGGTAATATTGATGTATAGTTACCCACGTATTAATATGCCTCTCGACCGAAGGGGGGAGAGTGTTCCCGAGCGACCGACCCGGCCATCTCCCTGCAGATTCGGCGACGTGGTGGCGGCTTGTGACACGCTGTTTGGGATGCGCGGTCCAAGGCGCAATATCCCGTGGCTTGTGCCACGCTCCCGCTTTCAACTTGGATCGCACTATCTGTGCTTCTGTACTTATCAAATCCCACCAGCGTCTTTCTTCTCTTACTCTGTTTTGGAGTAGGGATCTTGCTTGTGTGAATGTGATTCGTATCTGCCTAACCTCCGACGAGTCGTATGAGCGGTGAAGACCGCCGGGCCACGGCTTTTAGATTCCAAGGTGTCTCCTGTTTCTTCGTAGCTAGTTGAAGAATCATCCTAAAATTGATATTAATAGACAATGATTTACATGAAGGCTGTTCGAAATACTTATATAGTCTTACGCTTGGCGTCAACAGATGTGGGTTAAGGGGCAACAGCAAGATGTATTCGAATCTCATACTGTGGTGGTAGTTACTTTTTTTAATCGTAGTCAGTCAATGCTGCAATGATCAATGAGCACACTGAGTTCAATATGAAATGGGATTTGCATAAGTTGAGCATTGGAATTCCTTCACATTTAGCACGCTTTGACTTGTACTCATAGTGTAGGTCAACTACAATTCATTGGTAAGGTTATCTGGTGCGGTTCAGGGTAGATCAGCTTAAGATGGAAGATAGATACCAGAACTCTATCACAGTGAAGCTTTACTGGTAGTCATAACCCATCTGTTAGTTAAGATCAGCGTCTGACTGGGAGAGCATAGAACAAGACGATCTCGTAGATATCCTTGTCGGGTTATGGATGACATGCGCCTTTCCAACTCATGAGCATAAAAGCGTTGAATGCCATTGGCTGCTGAATGTTAAATTCTACACGTCAAGGTCTAACACCATATCTATCGCGTTACTTTGCTTATCTGTCATAGAGACGTTGAAAAACATATCGATTGAGAAAGGTGACAAATCTTAACGAGACGTGCAAATCGAAATACTTGGGGAGCTGGAGAAGAGTGTGAAAATGAATGTCATTTCCGTGAGCTTCGACTAAGGTCTAGAGTCGCACTCATGGGTAGCTATATATAATACCTGTCCCCTCTATATCTTAACCCCTCGTCATAACATCATCAATGGGACCCATAGTCATCAATCAAGGTTCCAATGGTATGTCCAGATAATGATCGTAGAGTTGAACAGTCATTGTTCCCTGGTGGCCATTACTGTCATGATTGTATTGGTTCTTTGATAACAAGCCTCAATCAATCTACATGTTAATACCTTCTTTCATGAAGCCGCCAAGCTGCTTGGCCAGGTCGCCATGCATCATGGAGAAATGGTTTCCCGGCATGTGGCGAAATTTCATTTTGTCGATGTCTAGATACTCATCCCAGCGGTTCGGTCCAAAATCCGTACGGTTGTCAAGCAGGAAGAGTGCATGCCCAGTGGGGTAGGGATCAGGGCGAGGATCAGTAGGTTCTTTGCATACTCCATCCTCACACCAGATAGCCATCACGTTTGGACACTTTTCCTTCTGGATAGGCTCGGCAGTGTAGTTGGACAAAGCAGTAACCGAAGCAGCGAAATGTGGCAATAGCCACGAAGGAATCTTCTTAGCCTCAGCGGAGTCTCCTTCGCCAAGCAGGCCAATCTCAGCGAACCAGGCGTGCAGACCAGCTGGCAGTGGCTCTATGGTGATTGGACATGGGGCGTCAATGATAATGAGATGCGATACCTCATCATTTGCCTTAGTAAGCTGGTTCACGATTTCGTAGGCAATTACACCACCTGCCGACCAACCTGCTAGGGCATACGGCCCCTTAGGCTGACGACGTTTCATTTCTGCAATGAATTTGGTTGCCATTCCGTATACGCCACACTTGTACTCTTCCGGGGTCTTCATGAATGGGGAGAACATGCCCCAGACAGCAATGTCGGGACCAAGCTGCGCAATCTCTGTGTAGGAAGTGGCGCTCCCACTACCATCGGGAATCATGAAAAGTTGGCGGGAGGCTGTGCGGTGGTTGCCCTGTAAGAGAACGGACGAGGCCTTGCGGTGGGGATAGGCATCATCGACTACCACTGACTTCGAAACCGTCACAACTGTGGCTTCCTTTTTAACAACGGTCTTAGTGGACTTGATTTCGAGGGGCTTAGGTGCTGTTGCAGCTTTCTTTGGCTTGTCAACTACGCCAAGGGCTCTTTCAACATCCTTGAGAGATGGATTGTGCCCTAGTAGATCACTTGGAATATCTTGGCCTGTTTTTTCTCGTAAGATTCCGAGGATTGACAAACTCATGAGAGAATCCATGCCAAGGGCAGCCAAGTCTGGGGCAGCAATGATTTCTTCGACTTCAACGCCCATTTCAGCACAGATGGTATCCCGGATGAGTTGTTGTAGTTCGCCAGTACTTCCAGATTCGATAGCGGCAGAATCGCCCTTGATCGAGCCTTTCTCACTGTCGTCCGGAGGTGTAGTAACGTTAGAATCGTCAGACTCTTCGTCCTCCTCGTCACTGTCCTCACTTCCACCGACAGTACTGATTTCTTCAGCGGTAATAGTAGTGGACTCAAATTGGGCCAGAAATTTCTTGAAAGCCCCAATTGTAGCGTGATCATTGAAAGAATGCGAGTCAATATCAAGTTCCAGCTCCTCTCTGAGGCGACCGCTGATAGTCAGACCCATAAGAGAGTCAACGCCGAGATCAGAGAATGCGATGTTATCAGCCAGCTCATCGTGACCAACACCGGTTTCTTTAGCGACAATATCCATGACCTGAACGACAACTGATCGCTTGGTGAGTTTCTTGTTAACAGCTGGGAGGTTCTTGGCAGTGACCTGCTTTTTCTCTTTGGTTGGTGCTTCTTTAGCTGGCGCTTTCACAGTTCTCGCAGCTGGGGTAGCACGAACAGGTGCGGCTGCGGAAGCGGCAGCGCCCTGGGGAGGAAGGACAATGTTGAGAACCTTGCGGGGGATAGCTTGGAAGCGAACATCACCAGCGATACCAATGAGCCTAGGGCCATCAAAGACATAGGCATCACCAGACATCATCTTGGTACCTTTGATCTCCTGCATGCGGATGTAGGATTGGTAGGTCTTGGTGGCATCTAGACGTTCGGCAATCCTCATGCTACCCCATCCGTGTGAGATATACACATGCTCGCGAGAATCAACAGCATCAGTGCCGTTGACAATGAAGCCTGAGATGTGGCAAACAGAGTCAATCCAATATGGCGGCGTATGGAACGTGCCATCTTCCGGGGAGGTTTGAAACACAATCTTTGCAGTAGCCTCGCATGTCGCGCTATCAAGGATGACAGATTCCATCCCTCGGTATCGACGGTCGTAGTCAACAAGAGCAGCGAATAGCTTATATGCAAGGCCACGACCGACTTTCGACGCTTCACCACGCGCCTCCGCAGCTTTCAGAGCATCTATGCGTGACTGAATAAGGTAGCTCACACGCTCAAACTCACCAAGCCACTCCTGGTTGTCACCAAAGTAGACTTTGCAGTTAGCATGCTCTGTTTTCTTTGATCCTTCGCCGGTGGACCAGATAACATCAGCAGTGCCCTCAGTGGCGTTAATCTTGACTTGCATGCGTAAAATCTGACTGTCGGCTTTAGTATCGAAAATTAACGTCTTGGGAACATGCATGTTGGCAACATTTGTGCCGACATCTTTGGCATCGGGACGTAAGAGTTTATAACCATACTCGCATATGGTCATAGCCATATCACCGTAGAGCGACGATGGTGTAAGTGCAGTGCCGTTGACAAGATGACCAGAGCAGACCTTTCGCATGTTCTCCTCGGTCATCTCGGTCTCTGTTTCAAGAACTACAATATCTCCGTTAACCTCTTCTTTAGTAATCTTCTGCACTGAGGTGGTAGATAGCTTCGGCTTTGCTGGAGCCTCGATAGCCTTAGCTGATGGAGAAGCAGCAGCTCCACGGTTTTTAGTGATACACCAATCGCCAGTGTACTGCAGCCAGTAATCTTTTAGGTCGAATGAGTAAGCTGGCAAGTCTAGAAGGCGAACGGTCCTATCAAAATCGCGATGGTATTCATTCCAATCCAGATTTAAACCAGCCGAGTGGAGAGTGCACAAGGTTGAGGACATGATCTTGTAGGGGGTTTCGTTGCGACGGAGAGACGGAACAGCGATGGTAGAAGCACCAAAGGCAGCCTTGACCATATTGGCACATACCGGATGAGGCCCAATTTCGAGCCAAACCGTTTTCTCGTCAATGACATTGGACTCCTGCGCAGCAACGAGTCCGCCGAGGAAATTGACGGCATCCCGAGCATGGCTACGTAAGTAGGCAGCATCGATGGGCTGGTTCTGAACAAGCTTCCCAAGCAAGGGTGAAATGACCGGAGTGAGGGGACTGTGGAACTTGACTGAGCGTGCAAGTTTCTCGAAATCGTCCAAGATTGGCTCGACTTGAGCTGAGTGGAAAGCAAAAGGAACCTTTAACTGAGTGCACTTGAATCCAGCACCGCCAAGTTGCTCGGCAACGTCAGCTATCTCCTTTGAGCTACCACTGAGCACAGTCTCACGAGGACCATTGATACAAGCAATATTCATAGCCGTCGTACGATTGGCTAGAGCTTCAGTGACAGTGTCCACGGGACCTTGAACAGCAAGCATAGCATGAGTACCTGCGGTACACTTCTCCACCAGGAGCTGTGCACGAGCACCGACAAGATAAATGGTGTCACTAGCTGAAAGAACGCCCGCAACGTGCAGGGCAGCATATTCACCAAGGCTGTGTCCAAGGACTACGCTCGGTCGAATCCCCCAGGAATTCCAGAGTTTAGCGAGGGCTATTTCGAAAGAAGCTAGGCCAAGTTGGACAATTACGGGAGAAAGTTTCTGAACCTCGGGCTCACTACCATCTATAAGAGGTAAGAATGACGGGAACCCATGAATAAGGGCTAGTTGGTTACACTCGTTGATAGCCTGGCGGAAGATGGAGTAGTGTCCGTACAGGTCCTTACCCAACCCGGCGTAATGCGAACCTTGACCAGTGAACATGAACGCAACCTTGGGTTGCTCTGGAGAGACGGGGACGAAATTCGACTTGAGCCTCTCTTGAATAGCATCTCGCGCTTCTGTCAGGCTGGAAGCGGTCACGTTCATACGCCAGTAATGTTGAATCCTGCGAGCGGTGGTGGTGTATGCTACGTGAGACACAGATGTAGACGGATTCTCATCCATCCACTTCACGAGAGCCTCTGCGTTGCGTATCATAGCAGACTTAGACTTAGCAGTCACAGTTATGACATGATGGCTACGAGGATCTACTGTAGCGTTCTTGTAGCGTGGGCCGTCCTCAAGGAGGAGGCCGGTGTTACCGCCAGCAGCACTGAAGTTGTTGACGAAGACCCGACGAGGCTTCCCGTCCTTTCGAAAGAAAGGTGTTTTATGGAAAGCAATGTTGACGCCTCGTTGACCAAGATCCTTAGGGAATGTCTTATTGATATCTTTCTTGATACCAATATGAGGTGGAATAGCATTTTTCTGAAGCATCAATAACACCTTGATGAGAGCCGTGACGCCGGAAGCAGCTTCACCGTGGCCCACGTTAGATTTCACCGCACCAAGATATAGGGGTCTATCAATTGGACGATGGCGGTTCGCAGGAGCAAAGACATCAGTGACAGAAACCATTTCCGTTCCATCACCAGCCTGGGTGCCGGTTCCATGCATTTCTACATAGTCAACATCAAGAGGATCCACACCTGCCTCGTCCAGGATAGATGAAGACAGCACAGACTGGGTCGGGCCATGGGGGTGCGTAATAGAGATGGCGTCGGCGGAGTGATTAGTTTGCGTGCCCAATATAACAGCCAAGACATTGTCCTTGTCCGCAAGAGCATCATCAAGACGCTTGACGATAACAGAGGCACACCCATCAGCTCGGCAGTAGCCGTCGGCGTCATTGTCAAAAGTGTTGCAGTTGTTGTTCTTGGACAGAAACTGCCCCCGGCTTAGACCAGAGAAAATGTCGGAATTGGTCATACAAGATAGACCACCGACGATGGCAGTGTCACATTCCTTAGCCCACAATGACGTACACGCGACTTGCATAGCCGCGGCACTTGAGGAGCAAGCGGTGTCAATGTTGAGGCTAGGGCCGCTAAAACCGAAGTAATAGTTGATGCGACCTGGTCCAAAAGCTCGCACACCACCTGTGATGTAGTATGTGTCGACCTCTTGAGAGGCGTTGATTTCGCGCCAGTCATCTGAAGTCTGACCATAGAAAGTGCCAATGCGATCAAGTCTTGTCGATGGTGTCCGGTTCGGCACATATCCTGACATCTCGAGAGCCTCGTGCGCTGTCATCAAGGCCATACGCTGCATGGGATCAGTCTGATATGCCTCACGGGGAGACATATTGAAGAACCGTGGATCGAAATGTCCAGGGTTTTTGATCCAATTACCATACGGGGTATGGCTTGTATTGATAGCCTTGCCGGTTGGGTCGTAGTGGGTATCAACAGGAAACCTATCAGCTGGAATCACACGGTGAGCATCGATCCCTTTCTCTAATAGATTCCAGAGCGCTTGGGCACTCTCAGAATCAGGGAAGCGACCAGCCATGCCAACGATGGCTAGCTTACACTTCCCTGTAGACCCATGGTTTCCGATATGGGTAGCACTACTTTTCCGGGAGACCTGTGGTGGCATTCGAAGGACAACCTCGAGTTTGGTCTCAGACCTGAGGTGATTTGCAAGAGTGCTTGCAGCCTGTGTCGGGCCATATGGGATGACCAAGATACGGGATCCGGTAAAATGTCGTGCTTCGTCGATACTTCCATTGAGCGCTCTATGGAAATATAGAGGCTCATTAAGTATCTCGTGAACCACCGCTTTCAATAGCGACTTTGTATTAGTCTCTGGAAAATTGCGCCCCGTCACACAAGACATAACCCCACTTAGAGGCTGAGAACCGGCCAGAACGCTGCTAACCTGCTCTTCATTGAGATGTAGCAGCTGGTCAATGTCAACCGCACCATGCAGATGAGGCGCGTGGTAGGGGCCATAAACGGGGATAGCTGTTCTTGATTCAAATAAGCCTTTGCTGAATAAGGAATCAAGCGTACTGGGCGGTCCAGAGATAGCAATATTGCTCGCTGATACTGCGCTTATGTATGCCCGCGAGGCTTGAGGAATTCCCTATCAAGACTATCAGATGATCGCATTTTACTCATCAGAATAGGACTTACCTACCTCGGATTGGTGAAAATCTGCAAGGACTGTCTGAGCATCGCTATCTTTCAGAGAGGGCATCACGTACGTCCAACTCTCTGATATCTCAACCGACGGGTTTAGCCGCTCAGAGAAAGAACCGACGTGGCTCCCAACACGAAATGCCATCAATGCAACTTCAACGGCTATAGGAAGCAGTGCAGAGAGCGATGGGCTTGTGGCAATGGCCGCCGCCGCAAACAAACCGGTGCAAAGGCCAGAAAGCCTTGTGTTCTCAGGCGCCGAAATATCTTCATGATTCTTCTCAGCGTGGCTTTCAGAGCGTTAGCAACAACGTTGAGACTAATTATATGCATTCATTCTTGACCTACTCAATATAGTGGGCTAGCTGCACTATACACAACAAGGCGCTGTCAATTCCTGGGCATTTAACCTTCTGCCCATGGTAACCTTCGTTCAGCTGCGCTAACGTCCGAAATGGTGGTATATTCCGCCGTTCGACCCGAGGCAGATTCTCTATCTCATCCCTTAACGCGTCACCGGCTCGCTTGAGAAATTCTCTTGACAAAATACTGGGATTCCCTCGCCTTAAGAAATCCGCTAGGAACCCATGTGTGTCTAATGATTGGTCTCCAAAGAGGAGAAAAGATATCTGGTTTGCCATCGTGCAGTACTTCACAAGGCTGCGGTAGTTGGTTTAGGAGATGTCAAGACACGGGACTGCGAGTTCTGTTGACTTATATACGAATTGTCAGATCTCAGGTCAGTTAGCGTAAGTCAACTACAACGTCCCTTGCTCGGTTTCATGTAAAATACTTAGTATTGTGAATAAGCGTCGAGGGGTAGGACAATGTTGGCTCTCACACACGCCCATCCCTAGGCTAGTATTGGCCCTATCCTGGTCCATCGGCCACTGAGAGTTTCACTGAAGACAGACAAGAGACTTCCGTATCACAGGACGGTAAGGCTGTCACGATAGCTTGCTGGGTACTTCCATGCCAGCGGTGATGGGTTCGACAGGAGCGCCCAGGGTAAGGTAAGGTCTCAAAAGCATGTGAAAAACGCCCAAGCTGCTCAAGCCGCTGGCGCAAGATCAGCACCGCAAAGGGGTACCTCCCTTAACCAGAGACCGGTCTATAGTCAGCTCCGAAAACGCCTCTCACAATATCACCCGGCTAGTCAGCTTAAGGGCGGTCCTATACACATCGCACGACTCATCCGGGGGGCGCCGAATCCATAGGTCATGATAGCCCTCAAGCCGTATACAAGAGAATTCGTATTCCGATGTGGGCATGCACAGTTGGTGGGTCACGAGTGGTCGGCCGTTGGGGATGTCCGCACGCCCAAGTCGCAGGTAACTAGGTTCATGGCGCAAATTTAGAGGTTGGCTATGCACCTATGCTCAACTCAGCAACCAGCAGAAAGAATCGGGTATAGTGATGGGACGTAATGGAGTCCATGTCTCACCCAGGATGTGGATATTGGCTATGCCGGTTGGCATTATTCCTTGCGAACTCTCGGCCCTTTGATCGCCGAAATGTATATTATCTAGGCAATTAAATTGAAGCTTGGAATGCTAGCAAATATATATGCAGCCGAGAGGCCTAGCACCCGAGTCTCGAACACTGAGACAGGTATACGAGTTGCCTAGAGTCGTTCTTATTGACGTCAAGGCCAAACCACCATTACCTGGCCCAGAGTAAGAGGAGCGCCAGCACCACGAGGACCGTAGTGGGGAAATGAGGCTACATCAGCCAAGCCGATCTCATCGGTTAAGTCCCAGTAGAACGGCTAGCCCCACGAGAAGGGGCTGCATACATGTATTGCCGGTGCGTGCATCAGCGGCAGAGACGAAGGGGAATATGCGGCGGCGCCAGGGAGGGCCAGCACAACACCCTAGCGCAAGGTTCGTGGCGTGGATCTAGGAACTTCAGCCCCAAGCAAGACAGACATAACACGCCAAGCCAAAACCAGCAGCCTTCTCCAATGTGTCAATTTAGAAATGCAGTGCCAAAATTAAACTCAGCTGTCGCTCAACCACATACGTGCAAGATGGAGATCAAGCATAGCACCTCGGACACTGTCTTGGTGGGAGGTGCAAGGTGCATGTGAAAATAGAACGGGGAGGGGAGGGGAGGGGAGGAGGCGTGAAGCGCCTAAGCTGACATGAATGACCCCGGAGCCCATTTCCAGGGCCAAGCCGTGTGCATTCCGTGTGTGTCGTGTGTGTCGTGTGTGTGCTGTGCTCTACCGACGTGTATAGTATGCGACCAGCAACAGCCCGTCGGCAATGGCAGTGGCGGTGGTTCCTGATGGTGCTGATGAGGAGCGTGCCGAATGGATAATTGGCTGGGAATGGATGGAGAGGTGGCTAGTATCATCGCCACTCCGCAGGCTGACGTCTCGCTCCCACCCTTAGGGCTGATAACCGCAACTCGTTTTCCGTCGCGCAGCGTAATACCAATCCCATCGATCGAGTGTGAAGGTTGGAGCAGGCCGTGTGCGACGATGGGCCATGGATGGCAGAAGAGGGCATAAGATGGCATAAGATGACTGGACAGTGGCCAGATGACGGCCAGCTGAGAGCATACGGTGCCGGTGCCGGTACGTACCGCAACCCCGGCGACAGTGTCATCCCATGGCAGAATATGGGATCATCCCCTCCCAGAAACAATGTGCATGGGTCGTGACGGCAGCTCACGTACGATAGCCAGCTTGCGAGAGATGACGTCGTTGCTATTCTTTCATTCTCGCAGCTGGCTCAATTCGTGTTTCAACCCTCTCTATCTACCAGAAAGAGACGCTGCTCTTGCACCGCCTTTCCAAGGCGTATGGAGTCGAGCGTTGTTGACACGGCCCTCTTTCCTCTTCGCGATACCCCTGTATGCGAATGAGTATACCGCATAGAATGATACGGTAAGGTACTCTCTCATATGCATCTACCTAATTTACAACTCAAACTCCCCAACTCCACAGCGCATGTTCAACCCTCTGAGGACTCCGCCGAATACTACGGATGCCCCATAGGATCGGATCGCTGGGAACGAGAAGGGCCCTACGGATCTTTTCGGATTATGACTTGCTTCTAACAACAGCAATTCTACCATGTCCCCAACACCAACGTTGTGATCTCACTCTCGCCACAGGTATTGGTATCAGTCGAAGGTAACTCTTCGCGAGGGCCGGATCATTTATTCAGCTTCACATGTCAAAAGTCGGACCTCCGGGCCAATGCCGTCGTCAAACAAATATAGAGATAAGCCTATCCCGGAGTCCTATCCCGGGATGAATCTCGATAGGGTCTTTTGCCTGCATAACACGTTGTCTGATCAACTGCAGTGGTAGCTGAGCACGTAGAAATGCTGGGTAGCCTTGTTGGTCGAAATAACACCGGGAGTGTGACTCGCTTGCTTCGCGTTCGGATTTTCGTTGTTCCGTACGCAACCACTGTGAATCGGGTCGTGTCTATGCGTACCGTGGCGCAAGGTAACCGAGCAAATCAATTATAATGTAGCAAGATCACTGTGCTACGGCCGACGTCTGCGTCCCGTCGGTCCTACTGTATGCTTATGCTTGACATGCTAGGGCCTACTTCTCATTCGAATCATAAATAGTAAACGTGCATGTCTCATATTTTTATACTCTTATACTTTTACCCCTTACGCCTCATATCGAGTCAGCTCGCTAACCTGCAGGCATTTGAGACCATAAACTGACATATTCCACGAGGGACTTCAAGTGCTATCTTCGGTGTATCACATATGCTATAGGTTTGCAAATGAATTGAATGACATCAAGCACAGGTCGAAGGGTTTGCCACCCAGTGCTCAAATATACCACGCTGTGAACGAGAATATCGAAGCATTGGGTCCACAACATACTGTGCCAAGAAAATCTCTACAGTAGGTTATGAAATATGAGAGTGTGTGAAAAACGTGTCTTGCCGAGGTCTGGCCATAAGCTGCATGGGCCTCAGCTATCTAGTGATCGCTGAGCGATCGATCAAAGCTAGTCATTCTACTCGTCGTGTCTTGAGGAACGCCTTACACGCAGGAACACGTACACAAAGTTCTCGAACACATCTCTAAGCCAGGCACAATTCGCTGCATGGCAGCCGTCACATCTCACCAGGGTTCTCGACGCCATCCCAGCCCAAAAGCGCGAGAGAATTGCCTGAAAGAGTTCTGTACGTCACGTGAGGATAATTGGATGTAATACGGGAGTCAATGGCTGCCTGCGAACAGAATGTTGCGGTATAGTGCATCATTCTGGTTCGCGAAATGTCACCGAAATCGGAAAATAAAACGAACGCCTCACTTAGTGCCACGCTGTAACACCTGTAATCCTTCTCACCGCCAAAAGAACGGTCATACGTTACTCGAACCCGATCCGTGGCCGACATAAGTGCTGTGTAGTGTATCATGAGATGAACGGATAGCTCGTATCCAATCACTTGAGGCTATGCAAGCCAGAGTGTGAGACAATGAAAGGTCCAAACCCCGACTGGTTCAACAAGGTCCACTTTGATTCGACTTTCGCCGGCTGAAAGCTGCAGAGTGAAAGGAGCATCAAGAATGGGTTGGCTATATTTCCAGTGATGTGCAAATTATGTACTCGAGATTATTCATCCTCAATAGGCGCCATGCACCCGCCTAAAAAAAAAAAACTTCTATTGTATTGTTGTCGGATGAGTGCTAGGTTCCAACATAGAAAATTGACTATGAATACACTGTAGATTATGGAGGCTCTAAAGTATATCATACTCTTTTCTACTTCCCTTCCCATTAATTATCGCTGCAAATATGGCGCCACTTCACTATATCAAGCTGTGAAAATCATATACAACACATTGGTGCCAGCAACCTTTATATAAAATAAATGCATTTATTCCTTCAACTCCGCCTTCTATTTCTAATAGGTAATCCCTTTTTTGTGACGCTGCTTTCTGGCCGAGGCATCCGTTGTCGTTAGGGCGAGATACGTAGCTGTGCTCGACGAAACGGTGGCGGACGTCGATGTTGTAGCCACCGATGACGTTTCGACCCCGTAGTAAAGAGCACTAATGTCAAAGTTAGCTGTTGCATTTGTTGATAGAATGCATTGTCACATTCTAGTCAAAGGCGGAGCAACACTTACCCTATATACGATGTAGGATTAACGGTAACGAATCCATTTGTATTAAACCAGGCTTCATTTCCTGCGGCATTACCCTCCGTAGGTATGTTCTGAGCTTTACAAATGTCGATGTGATCTTGTGGGATTTCGTAGTGGACCAGACGCTCAGGAGCCTCGATCAGAGTCGCCGAAAGGCCCATTTCAACGTGCCACTCGATGTGACAGTGGAGTAAAAAGACACCCGGATTGTTCGCGATGATGCGCAAGACAACATGCGAGTTAGCGAACACAGCTACGGTGTCCCGCCTTGCGGGTGTTGCAGGAACCACCTTGTTCCCTTTCCAAACGCCCCCATCACTTTTAGGGCGCCCGATGATTTGGAATTGATGACCATGTAGATGGAATGGGTGAATCGCCGTGTCATGGTTGTTGATGACAATTTCTAGCACCTCATTATATCCTATTGTGAAGGCACCGACCTGGCCGTATGCCGCAACTTGGGTATTGTTGGCTCCAAGTGACACAACGGAGTAGAGCGTGGGCACCTTTTGATCGATGAAGGTCTTATTATTAAAACATGCGCGGGGATAGTTGTTAGAATCCCTGCAGTAGTCAAAATCCAAAACCCATTGCTTCTTTACAGGGCCAAATGCAGGCTGTTCGTCGAAGGGGATTAACAGCGAATCATCCTGAGGAAAGAACTCTGGTACTACCGACTCCCCATTCAGATTTCCTTTAGGGTCATTGATTAATTGGCCTGTGAAATTGGTGTGGTAGGCAACGGGTGGAGAAGCGTCTTTTGCAGTAAAGTCGGTATTAGTATCCAAAGCAACCAAGAATGGGTAATTCTGTAAGCCGCTGTCGCCAATCTTAATGAGCACATCGTAGCGTTGAGCAGCCGTAACATGCAGCTGATTCGCCGCCTCCTTACGCACATATGTCCCATCGATCATGATGATTTGCATCTGCAGCGCGTTGAATAGTATAAATGCCGAAGTCATCGCAGAGAAGTTTAGGATGCGCACGCGATAAGTCTTCCCCGGCTCGATAGGGATGTGCCCATCACTTCCTTCGTTCACCAAGGCACTTTCTGGTCGTGGTGGCTCGAATTTCGTGTTGTTTGGCTGAATCATTTTCGTAACCAGCTCTTGAGATTGTTTATGATACCTGTATAAACGGGCCATATTGCTTAGCTACACAACCTCGGCCTAAAGTTGACGATATAAGGAAACTTACCAGTCTGAAACCGTGAGTATCATATCCCCGTCATAGTCGTTGATATATGGGTCATCTGGGTTATGAATGATCAGGGGCCCACGGAAACCGTCCGGATATTGACCCATGTTATGTGAGTGATCTGGCCAAAGATGATCAGCATGTGCCTGAGTCTCAATTGAAGGAATTTACCTACACCAGTAAGTACCAGCCTGATTAGCCTATTGACAATCGAGTTAGTTTTCTACATCAATAACTTGGGCCGTGTCTGTCGTACCGTGAAGCTATATGTGATGGAGTAATTAGGGGGTAGAGGGCACTGGCTACTCCCAACAGAGCCATCCATGGCATTGGAATTTATCTGATTGATGCCATGAAAGTGCATACCTGTGGTCTCGTTGCCCAACTTATTCAGGAGGTTAACAACGACGGTATCACCTATCGACGCTTCGATAATTGGACATGGCCATGTGTTGTTGATGCCTATAACCGGCCGGCCAAAACCATCTGGGGCCGCCCATACCCAAGTAACCTCCCAGTTATATGTAACAGTCGCTGCCAGTACACTGACCGCATAGGCCACTGCCACGAATGGAATGACAGATGGCCTATACATATTGGGCAGGGGAAAAAGGAGGTCGTGCTGAAGTTACAGAAATGCCATCAACCAACAGGAAGTAGAGTGCGAGGCACAAGCTAGTAGCGCCTGCTGAATATTAAAAGAGTGTGACTCTGGCTACCTACTGTGCGGTATCTCCATGATCTTATACAGCAGCAGTCAATCTCACATTGGCTGATGGTTCCTATCGTATACGCGTCGAAAGCCGAGCTCAGCTAATTTCTATATGGCTTATCGGGCTTTTCATTTTAGTTTGCTTTGCAGAGGAGCTGAAGACATAATAAACTTTGACGGAACATGTGAAATACTTGATGGAGGCATGAGCGGATCAGTATCGTATGCCTGCGCATTGCATCAATCCCTGTACGATTCGTCACGCTCCCAATTATTCTCGTTCCCAGAGATAAAATCAGAGCTAAGCAGGAGGTCCAGAGACTTAGCTTAGTTTTGATGATACGTGGGTAAACGCTGCATGCTACTCGGAAGTAAGGGGAAAGAACCCAAAGTATTAATGTGCTGGGTGTCACAATAGGGGGGAGCAGCCTCAGCATTAGTCAAAGTTTAATTAAGATGTCGCTTATTTGCCCCGGACGGAAGGGTCAGGGTAACCATCATTTTCAAAGACGTTGGGCTTCGTGTTAAAGTTTTAGTTCGGTCAAATGCTGCTGACGTGATGTAGGTTTGTCAACTAGTATCAAATCGCCTACTTTCTTCTGTTTGCATGCCACTCAACTAGATAAGCTAAGGATCTCGTGCGGGCAGGACCTCCTTCGTCCCAGGGGAATTTGAATAAAGAAAATAATAGCAAAAAGGTGAGTCTGATCACGACTTGATAGAATGAGATTTTGTCTGTGATAATGACGCTTGATGGCCCTTGCATGCCTTCACTATGAACCACGCGCCCCAAAGACGTTTAAGTCCAAAAATCTCGCATATATATGTTGGAGAGGTATTGTGGTATCCAGAATTGAAAATTCCTGCACTATTATATCCCCATATGATCAAAAGATACCTTGTGTTTTTACTGGACCCAGTCCGAATAGGTTGTGAGTTGTCCTGGCAACATCATGCCGTGCGGCTCAGATGAGACGCGACAAAAGTCTATACTCCACCTACACATCCCGATCAAAATGTCAAGTGCCTGACATCTGCGGGCTAGCATTTGAGTGCCTGTCAATTCCAACTGAATTTAAAATTGGCACTTCGTATGTAAGTTCTACGAAACATATTAGTTACAAGTTATAGAACTTACAATGTGACCTAGTTCAAGCGGCTGTAACATATCTCCATATGAAATGAACTTGAAATATTACAATAAACATAATCTTAAAATAGATGTAATAGCTATTAATGAATGTTAAGTCTAATATTTGAACAAGCATGAAGGCTATCATACCGAAACGGAATTATAATGAAGCTAAAGATCTTGCGGGGACGAATCTGATCTGGAAGCAACGGAACCGTCCGAGAAAGTTGACTACATCAGTGTTTTTTCACTCTCTGATATGTCAACCTACCCCCTTTTACGTCTCTCTCCGTAGAAAAGTCGACATTGACTTCGTCACGCAGCTTGATGCCCCTGTCTAGAAAAGCTACCAGGAAAGAAAGAGAGGAAAAGATAACGCCGAGCTGCCAGACTCTCTGTATGCTGAAGGTGTAGACATAGAGGATCTAATCGCGCACCACACCTTGAAACATATTCGTCATGCCTAAGGAGGCTGCGGGCTACAGCGTCGCCAATAGTAGGGAGCAGTTGACCGAAACGGCTGTTGGACACTGCAGTAGGGATAGTCACACCCTAAGTAGTCCCGTAGCTGCGTAATAAAACTCTGTTGCCTGTGCTCGCGGCGTTGTCCTTCTTAGTTAGACCTGCCTGCACGACTGTTAAGAGGTTCGCTATGGGGGCTGCAATACCGACAGACCAAAAGATCTGGAAGACGATCAAAACGCCGTGTGAATAAAGGTTGAGCATGGTGCAGAGCCCGCACGCGAGTGTGCAGAAGGCAAACCTTGCTAGGTGACCGTCATCCTCATTAAATAAAAGATAAATGGAGTGCTTCTTCATGCTCGGATTGGCTGTATTTACGCCTAGTTCTAGCATTTCAGTAGCAACCATAATACTTCGAGGACTAAATATGTGTAGGTCCGGAGCTGTTTCGATAGACTTAGGTCATATAGTCTACTTGCCGCGTGTTATTCTTAGACAGGTGTTATTCAATAGAGTAGAAAATTAGAGGAGTAGATGCTAGGACTCGCCTTTTTATTTGATAATTTATTTTGCATGCTTAGATCTCGAACTCAAGTTTCTGAAGTGAAACTTCATCATATCATAGCGTAGTACCCAGCGTTAAGTAGGTGAACAATGAGATTTGCAGTCGCAAGCGATAGAGCCTCATCGGAGTACGTGCCGGAGCAGCCAATCAGAACATGAAATGACTCTGATTGGTCTACTACGTAGATAGCCCTGGAAGGAGGTGATGTTCGACGACACTTTTGAAGAGACCACTCCGATGGTCGACAAGGGTTCAGCTGCGCTTCCTCTGCTATATCTACGGTCGATGTCTACAGTTTCACCACATAAACACCCAGACTGAAAAGATAAGTTGTTCGATGCGATGAAATCCAGAGTTCAGTCGGGACCTGACGGACTTCGCTTCAGTGACCCAACTCGTGCTTAAGCTTGGGAGCGGGAGCCCACGCGCCCTAGCTGTCTCTTCTCGACCCCGGTGATAAAGATCATGCTAATGTTACTCACCTGGCACGAGGTCAAGGCAGACGTCAGTAGCGGCGATGAAGAGGCGCCACCCTTGAGACTCAGTAATCATTTCACTGTCACCAAAATCTTGCCAAAAAGACCTTGGTGACAAGGAATAATGTATAATCTCGATACTGAAATAACAGGGCGCATGCCACAATTGGCTTCTCGATGTATTGAGACCAGCCCACAGCATCTCCAAGACTTCGGATGTGTCACTTCCTGATGGTGCGAGAGCGCTAATGATCGATTACTTGTGATCAATTGAACAATGGTGAAAAGTAGAGTGCACATTAATACTTGGGCATGTAGCTAGCTGAGTTGAGAGAAGCGAGCCTTTAGTAAAATGCCCTCATTCCGACGGCTTTGCGCTATGTAGGTTAGCTTTTGCAAGCCTTAATGTGCGCGGCAAGAGCTTTTGACAATTTGTCAATTATGTGTCCAAGATTCTGTGCGACTGTGCGATGTTCTGCACTGCGTAATCGCTCCTGAGAAAGAAGCGTCTCACGCAGTGAGATGAACACAGGATCCTTACATAACGTCAAAGACCGAGCCTAGAGAGTTCTATTCTTGGTTGACAGCCGGCATATGCTTAGTTCGATCCCAAGATAGTTTTCGAATGTACTGTTTATCTGTATACATGCGCTTGCCTAAACTTGAACTCCTCCAAACTGTAGAGTTGGTAGCACTAGGCCCAAATCAGCGATTTTTTCTGCTGGCGATGCAAGCATGAAGTAGTATAAGAGAGATAATGTGCGTAGCCACCTTTCATACAGAAGAATGTACGTTGTTCAGTAAGGTGTCATCAGAAGAACTCCATGCTTCTGATAGTCTTCTTAAGGGCTATTTTGAGCTCTATGGCGTCTCATATTATCCTGGCCATTGGAACTTACGGAGTCAACGACAGCCATATCTCCTGAAATGTCCGAGAATCGAGAGTTACTAGTGAGTGAGCTCCGGATGGCGGCTTCCATTGCCGTAAAGGTAAGCATCTGACTTGGTGCGTTCAAGGAGCCCTCTTTCGTCTCTTCATGATTATCTGGTAACTGTATTTTGAGTTTTACGAGTTCACGGCAATATGAATTTTGTAATGAGTTGCGCTGCCCCCCTGACTCCATTACTCGGTCGGCAAACATATTAGGTGTATCGTAAAGCCCTAGGGAAGTCTGCCAAGGGAAAGCCACTGTTTCTAGCGACAGCTAGTCTTCCACTATATTATTATTCCCAGTGTCTACCACGCGCTGGCCATTGTACGTGATATTGGCCATGATTATACTGAAGTCAATACCAGAGTTCTGCAATCATTAGCATCTACCACATGAAAAGCGCTCGTGTGGCGGAGGAAAATAATAGATGGCTAAGCATACAATATTGGTACTGCTACTATTGACTGCTTTTTCTCCAGGGGTGGCGATTTCGCTGTTGACCATCGAGGCGGAGGCGACCGTCGGCTGCCGTTGACGGAGGAAATGAAGCCCTAGAAATTGTGTGATAATCCGGAACCACAAAGGTCGTCACATAAATGGTGCCATTCTTGAGGCAGCGATCACAGCCGTCCACCTTTCAGATTTGAAGATCACATCGCACCCAGAACTCTCGGAAACACCAAGCTAGATCGGCGGATTTTGTAGAGCATGGGGCTGTGTGAATTCAAACCTAAGAGTTTGGTGTTGAAAATGATGGTCTAGCGTTTATGTACCTAGCGAGAAGGGAACAAGAAGATACAATATACAGGCAGCCATCAAACAATGCTTGCTACCAGGCAACAACAGGGCCCTCAAGCTTGCGTCTTACGACAGCTCTCGTGATGTTTGAGACCTAGGCTCGCTAGATAATTACTTTGATGATCCCGCAGGACATAACCCACAGGCTTTAGATGAGGCTATACGGCTTGGAGAGGCACTACGGCTATTTGCAACCCCACCCCATCTTTATATACGATATAAAGCGCTTCGCGCAAAGTTCTAAATATAGCCATGGGGCGGTCGCTAATCGATAAGCTTATCCCGGCGAGTCTGGGGTAGCATTGCCCAGTATCACCGACTTACGACTTACTGTTCATGTAAGATCTCATCTGCTTGATTGTGATGACTGTTCACCTTCCTTTCATATTCTGCGACAGCTGCCAGTAAAGCAACGAGCTTCTCGAGTTGACCGCAAACCCTCGTTTCTTCGTGGAATTGCCATCTTCATCCCCTCACCTGTCGAAAGCCGATGACTCGCGTGAGAATACCCGCAGACCCAGCATGAAAGCCATATACGCGGTTCCCGCATGCCTTGCGCTGGTCTATCGGGCTTATTCTCACAATTCGCTGACACCTTTTGGCATTTTCGTTGCCGGCCTGACAGCTGCCGTCCATGCCTACCACCCATGGAACTTACCGTTCGTGCTGCTGATCATCTTCTTCCTCGCCGGCACACGCGCGACCGCTGTTAAGAAGGAGGTGAAGGCCAGCTTGACTCTGAACGCCCAAGGCAGCGAGGGCGGCGAGGGCCCACGAACCCATGTCCAAGTCCTTGCTAACTCCCTCATGGCCTCCATCCTGACCCTTCTACACACCTACCAACTACACCAGAGGCGCGAAGCTGTCTGGGATGGTCAGACCCCAAGTGGCACCTACTGCTACAGTTGGAAAGGTGACCTCCTAGTCGTTGGTATCATCGCCAACTATGCCGCCGTGTGCGCTGACACGTTCTCCTCTGAACTCGGGATTCTATCTCGCACCGAGCCAAGACTTATAACGTCGCTCAATCTGCGTAAAGTCCCGCGAGGTACAAATGGCGGTGTCACTGTCTGGGGTCTAGTTGCAGGGTTCTTGGGCTCGACGATCATCGTAGTGACGTCCTTGATGTTCCTGCCCCTGTGCAGCGATCACACAAGTCGCGATGTCGCCGGTGGTCGGGCGTGGTCAAAGACTGAAATAGTTTATTTTGCATTGGGAATGACCATCTGGGGCACACTTGGAAGTCTGTTGGACAGTTTCCTCGGAGGATGGCTGCAGCGAAGTGTTCGAGATGTAAGGACCGGCAAGATCGTCGAAGGTGAAGGGGGTGCACGCGTTCGTGCGTCTGCCGATACAAAGAAAGCCACTCAGCTTGTCGGCGGACAGGGCTCGAGTGCTGTTGGAAGTACATCGGCAGTTGATGACAGCACATCCGCCAAGGACCCCTACAACCCGAAAGATAAGCATCGCAAGGCTAGCTTCGGTGACAACAAGCCTACTCGTGTTGCAGAGACTGGTTGGGATTTGCTCGATAATAACGACGTCAATTTTCTCATGGCATTCACCATGAGTGTTGGCGGGATGTTAGCCGCGTCTTGGTATTGGGACGTCCCCATCGCCAGTATCTTACAGAACTAGCAACATGTTTTGAAGCAGCCGTGCATCAAGCTATATATAGCTTCATTTACACACATAGCTTTTGAAGGCGTCTTGATAGCAGTGCTTATTTTGGTCAAGAAAAAGAAAGGCGATCTTCATGTACCTGACTTACGTACATTAGAAGGACTATACAAAAACAGCATACCCTGGTTCTCGCAATAGATTTAGTGCTATTTCCTGTTTCCCAACACCTCGCTGTACGAATACACCCTCATCTTAGTGTCAGAGACCCGATTCCTCAGGCCACCGCCTAGACTTAAGGCTAGCATAAGCGAATCGAGTAAATGTAAATCGTGCAATGGTACTCTGTTCCACATTCAAGTAATAGCGGTCTTTCTGGCTACGCTTCCGAATGCACGTCGAACTAGAGACAAGATTCGCAATCTTGCACTTTTCTTGTGTGACTTGTTTGTGCTGTAGCCGTTGGTCTGTTCGTCATCGGCTTCGGGAGTATCGTTGGCTTGCTCCTGGCATTGCTGCGCGAGCTGCCGCAACTTAAGCAGCTCTGTACCCAAGAGCATGAAAAGCGTGTCTACGTTTTCGCCGGTTCGTGCCGAAGTCTCCCGGAATGCACAGCGTGTTCTGCCTCCCCCGAAATGGCACGCTAGTTCGTAGCCTTCACCCTCGGTCACCATTCGGTAGCTTTCGCCCCTACTATCTTGGTCTCCGTCAGCCTTGTTGCCCGCGAGGACGATGCTGTAATACTGTCGCTCGTCTACTACGAGTGCTTCATGTATTCGTTGATAGAGCTCTTGAGCGAGAGCGAAAGATTCGCGAGACCGCACATCGTATGTCAAAACAGCGGCCTCCGTAATGGCCACTGCGTGCCGGAGGTAATGTCCTTCAGACAATTGACTAGGTTCCAGCTCGAGGGCATCGACTACGTACGTCTGCTCCTTTATCTCAATCTTTCGCTGGCATCCACGCTCGTATTCTGGGTTTGGTGGCTGGCCTTCGCCAGCGAACATGTCTTTGCAGAACTTTATAGATGTTAGGAGCAATGATATTATAAGTTGGCTAGGTAAGTAGTTACCCTTGTCAATATGGCAGTCTTGCCGCAGCCTTTGGATCCCAGAATCAGGATGCGAAACCGACCGGCTAGAGGCCGTTCGGGAGATAATGATCTTCTTCTCGCAAACCCTTGAGCATGGCTAGGCTCCCATTTGAGCAGTGCACGGATATATTGTCTCTCATCCTCCGAGAGGGCCATGGACTCTTTCTCGTCACTGTCTGACATCGCCAAATCGATACTGATGAATTACGTCCCAAAGTAATGATTTGACCACGATAAACTGTGATGCTGAATGTGTCATTCTTGTGAATTCTGTCGCGAAGAAGGAGAAACAGCCCTTTTTTTAGCGTTCAGATCTGCGTCCTACAGTCGTCATACCCAAATAATACCACACTAGATGAGCAAGATAACTCGTAGGCTGTTGTTTTGGTTGCGCTATCCTATCCAATGCTCATTCGACATTCGGTTACCGATACCGTAGAGAATAGCATGGCACCTCTAGGGATTCGGGAGAATCATGAGACACAGATGTGTATCTTGATAGGACGATTTGGTTCCCTCCGAGACGTGCAACGAGAATGATTCCCTCTGTGCTCATGTACGACAGGTCGCTGTCCCTCGTCTCGCGCGATCTCTGGTCACTGTGTGAGGTAGAGTGACGATGAGACGGCAGTGATGGCCTCCCTCGATATTACCGTCACATTGCAGGATCCAAAGTTGCAGTATTGGGGGATATCATTCGGTACGCATGCAATACGTCCATGCGCATAGACTCAGGAAATGCCGGAGGTGGGAATGCCAAGAGTATTGTTTACCAATTGCATAGGTCATTGCACCGTATCTCCCAGTAGCCATCAGCTCTGCAAGATCGATGCCGATTTTTTTCGTATAACGAAACCGCAGACTGGGGACTCTGTGGTGGCGTTCGAGACTATCGAGATGGAGCAGATTGCCAGCTCACACATTACCGTCGTGCAGAGCAACAGCAGCGTCATTCTCTTCCTGTGCATATTTTGTCCTACAACAAATGAACCTGTTTGATGCACCACAGTAAATAGTTTTCGGGACGAGAATGTTCTACTACCCGGGTCTCTCTTTTCAGAGCCCGTTTTGAGTTTTGATCCTACCCATGACCCTACGGCTTATGCTGCAAAGCCCAAGCTGCCCATGCCATGCAATGCTGTCTGTGCTGCTCTCATCATACCGGTAGTGCTGGGTAGAGTTTCACACGCCATGGTGACAGAGACATACATACATTCTCCCATCAGAGGCGTACTCCAAGTGACTGACATTCAGCTCTGTCTGATACGGTGACAAACTCAGCTGGCAGGTGTGACATCTGCAATCCCATCTCGAACTCATGTATGATGGATCACATCTAGATACTGTATGTTAATTACCTCCTACCTATAGTACCTAGGTAGACTAGGAGTAAGTACTTTCATTCAGGGTTGTTTGTTGGCGAGCGCTTAGAAGGTACGGTAGGTACACTAAGCAAGCGTAAAACCCCCTGTACGCCAAACCTCCAGCTTGACCCAACTTGACTTCAGCCGTTCCTAAATTGGGGAGCTCGGCTCCACCACCAATCCTCATCGCTCGGTGACGAGCTGAGAGAAGCGCAACTAGAGTCTCTAGGCAGCGGTTAGGTCTGTTTGATGTCTCGGAATGAGGCCTTCTTCTTTCTACCTGGTCGTAGACATGGCGACTTGGTGTATACAGCATACCGGGATCCTTGACGCCTAGTATACCTACAGCTTCCGATCTGTTGCTTCCTCAAGTGATAGATCGTGACAGGCCTGGCTGTGAACTGTCAATACCTAACCCTCTCTTTGTATGTTGTTTGGGGTGCATCGCATGGCTTCCAGATCCACCAGCACAACGATTCACTCATCTTATACATATCCTACGGCTAATAATCCAACGTCGCAGCGACCTGCTCCAATCGTCTACCCGGTCGCACCGCATACCTACCTTGCGCGCCATACCTAGCCCACCATCGAGCCGCATGTAGGCGGGGTATTGTGCTCTAGAATTCAAACTTCACAAGAATCGAACGATCGTGAGCCGGCCGCTTGGTCAAGGAGGAGGAGGGCGGTTCGGTGTTGTTTATAGAGGTGTATAGTAGCGCATCGCAACTTGGTTATTCCACCATATCCTTTTTGATAAAACAGCGTTTCCCTAGCAATTCACGACACCCCGATCTCCAAACCCATTAGCAACCTCGCTTTCTCAGCTCCCCCGTCGTGCAAGCAGCAAGATGCCATAGCGGCCATGGCTTCGTATCCTTATTTCTCGAGCGATCCGTACCGGAGCCATGCCGATCAAGCTTTGAATCACAAAGTATCGAACTTATCAGAGAGCTCGGAAACACAGGGCCCTCTTCGCGGCCGAGAATCCCTTGTATCCCTCCAGTCCTTCTACGACTCGCCACCTCTCCCGCCACCGCAGAACCACACGTTGGAACAACAGGAGTATGGAAGGGGGCAGTGGTCAGTTCCTTTCCTAGGGAACAATGGTGGGCGATATCAACCAGTTTCACGGACGCCGTCGAGCTTCGGACGGTTCAGAAGTTTCCGTGGAAGGGTACAACAAGATACCATACATGAAGATGAAAGCGTTGATATGTCACTACTTAGTGCGGCAGTGCCGCCAGCTCAATGCGGCTCCTATGAGGCAGTGCCGAAATCTGAGTCTTTCGAGCCCGCCTTCGATATGACGTCTTTCTCCGGCCCCATGGGCACTCAAGATCATGAATTCCTGAAATCATTGCAACAGCAGGAGGCGAGCGGGAGGCTGACTGGTGGCCTGGGACAGGGAGAAGGCCCAAATACAACTATCAAGAAAGAATACCTAACGTCTGCTACTCCCTCCGCCGCGCGTAGCTTCACACGGTCTTTCTCAATGAGGAGGAAACCTACCGTGAACCCACAGTCGAGCTGGAAGAGCCTGGGACAAGAGGAGGCGAACAAGAGAGGAGAAGTGATTGAAGTGATCATGGAGGAGCATGCAGATGTCGACCTTAGTTCCATGATTGGCCCTCATACTGTCAAACTGGACCAAGCCACATCTGCGACACCGCCTCCTAAGAAGGAAGTGTTTTATCCACGGCCTAATTGGAAGCCTTTTGCGATGAGGTGGCCATATTTGCTGTTCATGATTCTCCTGTCGGTGGCTCTTGCTATCGTGCAAGAGTTCATTTATCAGATGTCAAGACGTCCTGGCGGGCTGCTTCACTTTACAAGTGCCAGGGACCTCAATCCCGGATTGTACTTTGTTTTCAAATTCGTCCCTACTATCATCACTGTTACATACGGCGTTTTATGGCAGAACACAGACTTCGAAGTCAAGCGTCTGGAGGCTTTCTATCAGATGTCCAAGGATGGCGGCGCCTTAGCGGCGGAGTCAATCAATGTCGATTATATTACTCTATTCAACTTTGGACGGCCATTACTTGCTCTCCATCGGAAACATTACGCTGTATTCATCTCATCAGTGGCCACTCTGCTTGCTGTGTCTCTCGTTCCGACTCTCGGCGCTGCTGCTCTTGTCCTTAGTCCCGATCGGGCCACGCGATTATCTAACCCAGACGAGGTTAAGATGATCACAGTCAGCGCTGTTCTGTCGCGCCTGCTTACTGCAACATTTTTCTTTATTGCAATCCTCGGGTGTATCCTCTTTTACCAACTGACAACGAGAAGGTCAGGGCTACTCGCAGATGTGAAAGGCATTGCGGGATTGGCGTCGATGGCAGTTGTGAGCCACATCATGGCGGATTTTAGAGACATGGATACTGCAAAACCAAAAGACATACACCATAAGTTGAAAAACAGGCGCTACGAGCTGCGTAACTCGTCACTATTTTCTAAAGATTTCATGTCACAGCGTGGGAATGATAGATACAAGGATGCTCATCTATCTCAAAACCCTCATCCTCTGATGCTTCGGAGAGAAGGGTGCATACCCTTCATAATCGGAATCGTGCTGTTCCTCATCCTGGTACCGGTGTTCTTGTTTACGCCAGCCAGTGTCATTACATACGAAGCACCCTGGGCTGTCACGGCATTGGCCGTCTGCATCAAGCTAGGCTGGGGAAGCCTGGAAACATCCATCCGCATGCTAGAGCCATACTACATACTGGCACAACGCCACGCACCACCCAAGACTCTCACACTCGACTACACCGCAATGCCCTTCGCCGTTGTAGCGTTCCGTGCGCTCTTCAACCGGCACTGGATCGTATTCCTCGTAGGATGGGGTACTGTTCTCGTTGAAGGGCTAACCATCTTCGCTACGAGTTTAGCGCAAGTCGAAGGCAAAGACCTGCTCGACCTCATCGCAGCGGACCCGGGAAACCTGCTGAACAAGGAGCTGGGCAGCGGCTCGGAAACGGTGCGGTCCTTCGTTGTGACGGTCGCTTTGACAGGTTTCATACTGAGCTACCTGATCATCGTTGCGAGCTTCGTCTTTATCCGCCGGCGCCACCCGTTCCTACCGCGTCAGCCCAATACCATCGCCAGCGTCTTGGCCTTCATGCACCAATCCAAGATGCTGTATGACTTTGTCGGCACCGCCAAGTTCACCAACGTACAGATGCGCGAAAAGCTCGAGGCCCTCGGCAAGACGTACGGCCTTGGCTGGTTTAGCGGGCGCGACGGCCAGATGCACTGCGGTGTCGACGAGGAGGAGCTCACGGGCTCGTATAAACACGGCGTCGATTACTCGCAGGGCAACATGCCTTGGCTAACGGATTGGCAGACGTTTTAAAGTATCCCATACTGTGGGTGCTACGTTACAGTTGTTGTTTATCTACGGAATATCGGGTGAAGGGGAGGGAATGGATGGTTGGTGATTTGCATTTTTCTCTTGAGTTACGTGTGTCACTCGTCTTTGGATCAATTAATATGGCATGCATGGCGTTCTGCAGTTGGGTTACATGAAGTGAATCTTGGAAATAGATACGGTGTGCATGCGGTATTTAACTACCTAGTTATGAACGGACAAGCGGGAGTGTGAAATAACGCATTGGCATGTCTAGGCACTGGCTTGGGTGGTTGGGACACGTGATGGGAGAGGTATTCAATTCAAACATCATCTTGTCATGGTTTCAAAATTTCCTCAGCTCGCGGCTGACTAGGAGAGGTTCACTAGGGCATGAAAATCACGAAAAATCAAGCATTATTTTTAATCGTTGATCGCAAGCAGTTAGCCACAGTCAGGCTTTCAGAATTTGTTCAATATAGGATGCCAATAAATTATCATGACTGATATGCAATGGGTGCACTGTAGCACAGCATTATCTAACAATTATCCTCGTCGCCACAACGGAAGTATATATGCAACGCAAGGTAAAAACTGGTGGCTCTTCTTTTCCAGATTACCAACCCAGCAACTTAAATCCACACTGCCAACTCGAAAGTTTTCCGGAAACAAAAATTTTCGTAATGATCTAATTCATCAATGGAACTGGTCCTCTGTAACGCCCTGGCCCATGGCGGCCGTTGAGCTGATGCCGCCGGTAACCATCTTCTGGAGTTCGTCGACGTAGGTGGCGCCGCTCCACTTCTGGTGCTTGACGACGTCGACGCCGGCCTCCATCTCCGGCTCCTGGACGAGCTCGCCGTACGCACGCATGCCGTTCTTTGCGTACGCCTGGGCGAATCGGTCAGCTGCCAGCGCCGTTGTGTGCAGACCTGCCAGCGTAATGAATTGCCAGCAGTATCCCAACGCTGCGAGCCGGCGGATGTAGGTCTCCTGTTCCGCTCGGGGCATGGCCGTCTTCCAGTTGAAGGAGGGCGAGAGGTTATATGCTAGCCTATATTGAGAAAGATCAATCAGTATTTTGCTTTTACGTTGGACTGAGAGAAGAATTCAACGTCGTGGGGTTTCGGTCGCGTAGATAACGTGGGAGGGCATATCAGACGTAACACTTACTTCTGCTCCGGCCAAACGGCGTGGACTCCGTCGGCAAACTCTTTCGCTTGCTGGTAGTCGGGCAGTTTGCTCTCCATCCAGATGGCATCGCAGTACGGTGCGTATGCGACGGCGCGGTTGATGGCGCAGTCGCAGCCACCCTTTAATCGGTAGTAACCCTCGCGTACGCGCGGAGCGTCCCAGTTGAAGTAGACGTCCTCACCGAGGATACCGTGGGCAACGGCGCGAGCCTCGGAATTGCTCTTGCCCTTGGCCTGCGCCAGGTATTGCTTGATCAACGCCTTCTTGTCTCCGGCCACAGTCCGTGAAGCCGTGATGGCATCTACAACGGCCTCGTCGAAACGCTTCAAGTTGGCCTGCTTCAGCCACGCGTCTTCAATAGCTTGTAGTTCTTCGCCGTTCTTGCCAGCCTGCTCGGCAGCGATCATAAGGTCGTTCAGAGGTTGGAGGTTAGGATTCGTGGTGCCGATGATGAATGCGTGGTCTCGCGGGTCGATCGTTGTGGTGATAAGCGTTGCTGCCTCGGCGTCGGTACGCGCGATAGCTAGCAAATCCGTGCCCATAATATCGGCCTGCGCGCGGATCGCGACGAGACGATTGATGTGTTCGCTGATGGGTACGAGGACTTTACCCGCCATGTGTCCGCACTTCTTCGTGCCGGGGGCTTGATCTTCGATGTGAATACCAGCTGCGCCTTTCTCGATGAAGAGCTTTGTGAGCTTCATCACAGCTGTTAGACCGCCATGTCCCGTATCGGCGTCGGCAACGATGGGGCGGAGATAATCGATATTGGCGAGCTTTGAGCGTAGAGATTTGGGTGCGCTGAGGCGCTCTTGACGTTGCTTGCGGTCGTGAAATAGCTGAGCCATGAAAAGATGGCTTACTTTGTTGGGAACGGTGGTCTTGCTCTGGGTTAGCATTGGGTAGAGTGGACTGCTTCGTTGTACACTTACATAGGGGTAGTCAGCCAGGTCAGGACCCGGCTCATCTGACGACGAGGCGGTAGATGATGACTGCCAGCCTGAAACATAGACAGTATCCAGATACTTAGCCATCTGTGTGAGCGCCGTAGGTTCTAAGCAGCCATAAGTGTAGCTTGCATCTCTATTCTACACCGTTGTCAGTACACTAGAGGTGGAGGCTGGTATGTCAAGGGGTATGTATCTACCTTGAATCTGTTTTCCAAGATGTCCCATAACTTTTTCGACTGCGCATTGCCAGGGTACTGAACTTGCAATGTGCCGCGTTTTGAGACGATCTGTTCCGCTGTGAATGGTCGCTTGGTGTACCTCCATCTTGAATCACTCCACCACCTCTTCACAGCCTCAACCTCTTGAGCGAAAAGCTCGTCTTCGATGTTCGGATCGACGGCCGGGTTGATCATGTTATTCGATGCCATAATGAATAGCTCAAGTGTATGATGTAGCAGTAGACTTGATAGATTAAGCAATTCAGCTCTAGTAGTGGTGCGCCTCTCAAAGGAAATGTGAGAGTGTGTTACTCGAAGACAATGGAATGTGGTGGGTATCACGTAGAGTTAGGAAAGCCTCAAAAACAAATAGGGATGCGCCGAGAAATTGTAGTCTCTCTTCTTGTGGAATCCAAGAAATATGGCAGTTTGGAAATCAAGACTTCACGTGTAGGCGTTCCCTACTATAAGTACATGATCCCCTCGAGAGCCAGTTAGTCATAAAGCACACGCCCAGTCATAGCTCGGTGCGAGTCGGCCAAGCGGCTGCGCCAGGGCCATCACGGCCCGGAGGTATACATGCCGTTGCTTGTGAAACTCGCAGTCGGCCATAGTATCTCCCTTCCATCTTCCCTTTCTGTTTCCGTCATAGGCTCTCATGTGGCTGGCACGGCGATCAGGCATAGGCCTCGGGAAAGCACGCGACGCAACCCTCTGACTTGACGTCTAGTCTACATCATTCTCCGTTCGGCTCAAAGGGAGTTCCTCGCATGCCTAGGCACGGTGGACGCGGTGGACGCGGATGGAGTCCTTGGGTCGAGAGAAAGCCGTGATTCGCCAATCTACCGAGCTAGAGCGGAAAAGCGTGGGAGATGCCTCTTGACGCTCTCGACAAGGCTATGCCAAGCGAGGATGGTATGGAGATTTCCCCGCAAATTCCCAAGCTGAAGTGAGGCCTAATCTAGAGAAGGCCTAGTGCAGAGCCAGGTGTTAGATATCTTGCGGCATCCTGGCCAGCAATGGCGATGACGCAGCGAATACCACATGCCGGTGCTCACTTTGGCATTCGTGTAGTGCTAGGATATTCACAGTCGGCGCAATTTCGAGAGTGCGCAATGAGTTCAACCAAATATGGAAGCAGAGTTGTTGAAGTTTAGGCTACGCGACCTCATCTCGGTTTCTCTACATTGTTTCTGTCTCTTTCTTCATTTTCTGGCCTGGAATTGATCGTCAACAATACCTTAGTAGCAGTAGCTATCCGCCACCCTGTCTCGCCTGTGATGTTTGTGGCTGGCATGTGAAAGTTGGGGTGAGTTTACACTAGATCAGGGCGTCAATATACCGCCATTTTAAGTCATTACCAACTGCTCCCCGGATATAACCTAGATAAAACCTGGATAGAACCGGGACACCCCCGGTCATAATCTAAAGTTAGCTGCCCTTCCAGTTGTGCCGTCGCAGAATTTGAGCGGTTCTAGACCAAGAGCCTCGGCCCAAGGGCTCAATGTCCGTCTCCCACTTATCGCTTATCAGCACCTCCAACTCGGTTTTGGGTTTCACATGGCATGGAAACCGGAACGAGTCATGTCCAGTGGTTGTTGCCGGAAGCCCAGCCGCAGTCGGAGTGAGGCTCAATTATGATAAAGGCAATCGTTTGCAAGGTTGAGTCAGAGGATTCATTTGTCCGCAGCCACTTGCCTCTGCCACGTCAAGTGCATCGAATGCGTGTGTGTGTGTTTGGCCTGTTCGTATTCTCGTCGTCTTCACATTTGCTTGATAGTTACGAATGCTGATTCCGGACACCTCGTTTCAATGGTCCCAGGCAGACCAGTATTGCATATATTGCGAGCGATTTGTCAGTCGCCTGTCCCGATCTAATACGTGGCGACAGTAGAGTGATTACGTCGATCACAGCAAGCCTGTCTGCCTTCTTGGCGGATTTTGTTCTAGGAGCATACAACTCAAAAAAAAAAAAAAAAAAAAAAAAAAAAAAAAACACGGCCGGTGTTTCTTGCGCAACTGAATTGACACGGCCTACGCAGTTTGCTACGCTCGGCAATGCTCAAAAACAAAACTACATGAGATATATATGTATCACATTCACTGCTCTCTAACAGTTAACGATAAGTTTAGAGGATTGCACTTGGCGATTTGCACACAATGATAGTCATGCACGTAGCAGAATAACACTGCCCGACCGGTAAAAATGCCAGACCTATCTCATTCGAGATCTCCAATTTTCTGTTTACTGCGACGAGTCAATGATCAATAGACGTGGTACTGCAACTTTAAGTGGTAGACAGCAAGCCAACGACAGCGACATGCGCCGCCAACACGTGGCTCAGCACATTCAGGCTGCAATAACGCCCAACATCCCATGTCTTTAAATCGTCGCGCACGTCCTCATCCGAGTTTTGCAGACATGACTCTCTAGAAGCTCTCGCTCCTGCGTAGCGATGGCAGAGCATGAAGTGGTACTAGACCCAGACGGTGATATTCTTGTCATCGTGCCTGGGAAGCGCCTCGAGGCCATAGCGGAAGAGCCGAGCTCAGTCACTACTGACACTGATGGTACTAATGTTAATGGAGTCGAACATCCAACGGAAGATTCCGTAGAAAGGCCGTCAGAGTCTTCAGCGGAAGTCCCAACAGAAGGCCCCGAAAGTACCGAACCGCATCAGCCCAATGGATCCGTGGCACGCGGAGAGGAGCAATGGCAGTTCAGAGCCTCTTCGAAACATCTCTCCCTAGCCTCCACGCACGTCAAGATGATAATGTCGGGGGCTAAAGAGACACACGACGATGGACTGGTGCACTGGAAGTTCGACGGTTTCGACGTCGACGCGATTTCCATCATCCTAAGCGTCATCCACGGCCTGAATCGCCGAGTGCCGCGAACAGTCAGTCTTCCAATGCTAGCCCAGATTGCTCGCGTGGTGGACCATCTCGAATGTCATGAGGTGATGGAGCTCTACGCAAGTATTTGGATGGAGCACATCGGAGACCCTGTCCCGAACCCGTCACAAAAGGACTGGGATGATTGGATTTCGGTCGCAGGTGTATTCCACAGCCCTGAGATCTTCAAGAATTGGACACGCGTGGCTATTATTCAGAAGCTTACTTGTCCCCCTTCCTTAGAATCGCCAATATTGTTGCAAGCTTACGGTATGTGCACATCCCTTGTAATAACCTGGTCTCAACCGTGTGTTCTGACACTTGCACTACAGACGTGATCAATCAGCGGCGACAGCTACATCTTGACAAGATCGTGTCGTGCGTATACGATCATATGGATCGGCTGAGCGAGCAAAAGGTGTGCGCTGGGGAATGTGATGCCATACTACTAGGGACATTGATCCGCCATATGCGCGCCAACTCACTCCCCAGCATCCGCCCAGCATTCCCGTACGAGGGATTCAGTGTCGGCAGCGTGGTGAAGACTATCAGGAGTCTAACGGTGCCGGACTGGTATGGCAGAGTGAGCGATTCCGATGAGCACAGACAGAATCCCTTCGAGTTCTGGGGCGCCACTAAGAAGCCCCCGAAATCTCTTCACAAAAAGGCCAAAACAAAGGTGAAGAAGAAAGTACAGTCATCTGACATGTGGGGAGCTCCGGGACCAGTGGAAGAGTATGAAGAGTTGGAGGACCTGGTAGTAGTTGAGCATAATTGCGGGTTCGACGAACTGCGTGCCCTGGTGAATGGCTTGGAGTCGGAGATTCAGGGTCTCGACCTTGAGCATGATTTGAGCATTGGACAGGAAAAATGATGTAAGTGTGTGTAAGTGTATTTGCAGGCCAGGGGTAATGAAAAAGCCGGCAGGACGAGGAGGGCATATTCATATTGTTCAACATTAATAATCCGGCGAATGTAACGATCAACTTATTTACACCTCCAGATTCAAGTTTTGGTTTTCTGAATTCGTCATACTACGAGCCAAGGCAGCAAAGCTCCAAAGCTTTGCTGTGATAGCTAGACTTCTTATCTATCTCTCCAGCTAAGTTAGGGAAAATCCGGCATGCAGGTTACGAGCTTCTACTACTTTGGGTTCGGCGCGAGTAGAAGGGAAGGCAACGACGCAATTATCTGAGGGACCTAAGGTGCATACCTACTACATAACATCGAAGTATACGATGTAGCTGGTTGGTAGGTATATACATCTCTTGCGTGTGTCTCTACTTCATTCTCCTTTCGGATACATCCTCCACGTCTTCTGAACCCCGGATTTCCCGGGAATCTTCCTTTCAGTAAAACGCTTATTCGAGTTGCCTTGCAAACTTGCAACCCATTTAGGACGGGAAACTTCGTAGACCCTTCCAGTTTCGCCAGGTATATTTAACATTCGTTTGCGAAGCCCTGTAACTTCAACCTGTTTCCCTCGAACACAGACCATGACAATCAAGATTCACACCCCAATCGCCTCGATACATTCATTCATATAGCCTATCCAAAAGGCCAACGGACTATAGATATGCCGAACCTAGGGACGCGCACGACTCTAGATCCAGATGGCGACCTTACCGTCATTCTGCCTAGCCGCGACAGAGATGGCAGAGCCCGAGTAGGAGAGCGTAGCGTTACCCAGTTTGTACCCAGAGGGTATCTTGGGAGTGGTTATGGTTATGAACCAGAAGACAGTAGCGACACCAGTAAGATCGAATGGTACGAACTCGACGATGATATGGAGTCTTCCTTCAAGCTAGACTACGACAGCGACGACAAGGTTATTCCCACGACATCAATTTCCGACTTTAACGAAAGACATTTTCAAACCACGCCCAACACACCTATTTCACATGACTCGCATCGTTTCAATGTGTCCTCGAAGCATCTTATTCTAGCTTCAGCACATGGTACTGCACTGACACAATTGTTCGAGCATCCGAGGTATGCGCCGAAGTACGCGTGGAGGCGTAGGCGCCACAACACCTTAGTATTGCCGGCCTTCGACCTCGAGGCAACGGGCATAGTTCTGAAGATCATCCACCACAAGAATCGCAGAGTCCCAAAGACTCTTGATCTCGGCATGCTCGTTGAAGTCACGCAGGTCGTACATTACCTCAAGTGTTTCGAGGCTACAGAACCCCACGCAAGCCAATGGATCGCGCGCCTCGAAGGCAAGATCCCGCCCTCCTACAACGTCGACTTGCTGTTCTGGATATGTATCGCCGGGGTGTTCCGCAACGCACCGATCTTCGAATACTGCACGCGCATAGCCATCGCCCAGAACCACAGCGGCATCCCCACGCTAGGGCTGCCGATTCTGAAGGAAGTGAGTGGTAAGTACCCAGGTCCGCCATTTGAGGAGATGTCTAACGTTGCGGTTCGGTCTCTGATTACTGAATCGCGAAAAATAGCCGAGATCGAGAAACGCAGGGTGCACCTTCTAGACGAGATTTTCAAAGCCGTATACAGATTCAAGGACAAGTTGACAAAGGATACCTCATGTTCCTCTGAATGCGATGCCCGTAAGTAGTAGCAACCGCGCAGAAAGATACCGCGTCCTACGAGCATCAGAATTAACTTTTCCATGTTCAAGTTCGGTTAGGGATTTTGATCAAGCATTTACACCGCTGCTTTGGCTCGCTACCAAAGAGACCTTACCACAAGATGAGTGTTTCCTGGGCCGTTGAAAAGATCGCCCAGTTACCTCGGGCAGCCTGCCTTGCCCGGTTCAAGACATGCGGTAGGGCTATACGGCATTCTGGATTCGACGGGCTTGTTGAAATGGTGAACAGCTTGGCGGAAGGGATAAAAGGCCTTGATCTTGTGAATGACCTGCTATGGAGACCAGCCTAATGTACAATGTTGATTGATCCATCAAGGGAAATAGCCATTATAGCGCTATATTCCCGCACAGATCTCTGAAGTTTGTCTCCGAGTTACAATGTGTAATATCTAATATTGGCATGAGGCGGGGCCCCTGTTAAACAAATGGTCGTGTAAGAATACGCAGGCTGTACTGAAACTTGATCATGTAAAATTCACTTTCTATGCTAGTCTACAAGCTAAAGCTAGCTTGCAGTGGTCTTTACAGGCAGACTATGAACACCAGAAGAGCGATTACACCGGATCGTTGAAAAACTTCTCTTCTCTTGCTTTCTGAGCCTTCTCATATGTTTCCCAGGGTGTGACAGTACCGAGTGCCCGCTTCATGTCGGTGTTAATGAATTGAAGGCCATAGACATAGCTGGCATTGACCCATCCGAAGCTGCATAGATAACGTTAGAACCAGACGCAAAGGTTATATAGCTTGCGTGAAACAAAACCAACTTACCCTTCTTTCGCTACGCCTTTGAAGTCCAGCCCCTGGTTGCCGTACTCGGCGTCTACGCGGTGAGGGTCGACCGGACGTGTAACATCGTATTTCTCTACCACAACGCCGTTGAAGTCGAAGAATGCCTTTGTAATCATGAACAGCCATTTATACGCCAGCCTCTGCACGAGGTCCGCATACCCATATCGATAAAGGCCGGTCCAGGCGAGCATCTGCTGCGGCGCCCACCCATATGGATAGTCCCACTGTCGATTTGGTCTCTCCAGGCTGACTTCCCCGCGGGATTTCTCCGTTCCGGAGAGCAAGCCGCCGTAAGCTTCAAATTTTGGCACGGCGCTACTCACCACTCTAGCTGCCTTAGCAGGGTCCGGAACGCCTGCCCATAGGGGCCAGAACGTGGTGCACGATTCATAGGTGCATTGCGCCTCTTTCACGGTATCATAGTCGAAATACATTCCTTCCTGTTCATTCCAGCAGTATTTATCAATGGCAGCGCGGCGTCGTCTCCAGCGGCGATCCCAAGTTGCTGAAGTTTCGACTTGACCAGGTTCCATCGACCCGCTACACCATTCGGCGGGTATCGTAAGGTGATCACCAAAGACGTTGCGAATAGTACGAGCAATGTCCATCTCATATTTGAATAATAAAGAATTCAGGTCAATCGTGGCGAGATTGGCACAGACCTTCTCTAATCGGTAGGTGGTATCATGTCCGGACTCTCGCACTGCTCGGTCATGTAAGAAGTACTCGTCTAGATCCGGTTCGACAACCTCCCCGTGATTGTAAGCTCTCACAAATTCCTTGAAGGGCATTTTGTGCTTTTCCACGTAGGGCTCGAGGATATGCACAAAGTGGCTTGCTTCGGTTTCCGGAGGAACACCACGCCCTTCAGGTCGATACCTAGACAAGCCTGTCTTCGGATCTAGCCGAGGCTCCGCCATCCATACGGTATAGTATTCTTTGATTGCAGCAATCATAGCGTCCCTCAGAAAATCTTTCGCGCCTGGCTGATGTTGGATCTTTTCGTATACTCGTAATGCCATATCTGTCAAAAATGGCGGCTGGGATCTCGTGAGATAGTAAGATCTGGTAGCGTTCAGAATTTTACCGTAATGCCTGATACAAAAGCAAAAGTTCTGAACCATCGCTTTGGCTAGATGAGCTTTGTCGTTAGCGAGAAGTCCTAGCGACTCCATGTAGCTATCCCAGCCGTATAGCTCGTTGAATCTTCCTCCCGGCACGACGAAAGGAACACCTCTTAGGGTCTTCTCTCCCGTGTTCGGGTCAACGTGTTCTTCCATTGCAGTAGCCAAAAGGCCGGGACCAGGATTATCATTTAAGTTTAGTACAACATCTGGAGTGATCACTTCAGGGAGCTTTTGAACGTCTAGTCGAAGCTCTGGTCTCTCGCGCGCCAGTTGAAGATAATACTCATATTGTTCTGGCGCACCGTGCGGGACATATATGCGTGGTCGTGGATCTTCAGTCCAGTCTTTTTTGTCCTTGGCAGCAATTTCAATACTCGAGGCATCAATGCGACGAGTTAGGCCCTCCCAAAATTGATTCTTGATAAGCCTAGATAGACGGCTGACGGGGTTCTCATTGAGGCGACCGATATCTAGGATGATCCGTTTTCTCCCATATTCTTTAGCGAGAGATAACTCTTGCAAAAGGTTTGAAAGCATATATGTCCCTCGAATATCGAAACGATTATGGCCGGCCGACGCGGCTGTCCCTACCGACAGTACCTAGGAAGGGAGTCAGTATTCGGATCCCTTATGATTCGAGTGCTCAGCCACCTGGCATACCTTCGGACCTTTATCTTCGATCGTAATCTGCATATTATCATCGGTATCCTCTTGGGCCCGAAGACTTTCGAGGGTGTGATCGACATCGATTAGAAACTGACGCGATTGTGGAGTGCTAGCCTCGTCTTACAAGAACTTCAGTTAGCTATCCACTAGAAGACTCTTCTTAGCGAACTTGACATACCGTGACTACCGCGTCTGTGTCTACCTTGGAGCCCCAGCAGCTCCAACTCTCGGGTCATAGTGGTCTGATCTTTGGTCAGAAACGGTGCTTCGAGCGCAATGGGGCATTGGATTATATAGCCATACATGAGACTGCGTGTTATGTCTTTTGTGAAAGCGATTTATGTGCCGGGCGTCGGAGGTATAGTATGTCTTCGCATCATCGTATATGCTCAAATCATCGCTAGCAGCGCTCGCATCTGACCGGCGAGGTCTGATCGGTTCGTGTGCAACGTGTTCGGGCATTTTGATCGAGGTTCTTAGAGGGGATACGTCAAGAGACGGTGTGGTGATTGGTCTCGAGATGCTATGCAACTTTCGTGTCGGTAGGTCTAATGCTACGACTGATGTCTAACTGGTTGGCTTGCGGTCGGAAATGTGGTAATTGCCCATTTGCCGTGTCTTCAGGTCGACTTTGATATGATGCCTGGGTATATATGTACAGGATACAAGGCTTAGTCAGTGGAAGCAGGAAGCTTCAGCTGGCTGGCTAAGTATACAGGAAGGAACAAGTGGGAGGCGGCACGACGACTGGGGGTTTGAAGATGGACACGATCCTAAAGTAATAAGTAAAATAATAACTAAAGGTATAAGTAAAGTTATGCTTGGTCGATGGAATTTAATACACGGTACAGATACACAGCGCTCTTGATGGCTCAGTAGTAGCAGGCTGCGATGCTTGCCAGGAATGAATGAGCGGTGGTTTTTGTTACATTCTATCTATCGTGGAATGGCAGCAGGTTAAGGCCACCAAAGACGGAGAATGATGTCAGTGCAAGCCAGCCGCTACCGGTATGCAAAGACAAGCTCTTCACGATCTCCACTTGCTGACCTTGATGCCGACACCTACATATTCACTTTGAGTGTCGTCCGTCCGAATTCTCCCAGCATCCTCTATATACTCGCAGAAGACGGCTTATTATGTCTCTTTAGACCACTCCTTCCTCCCAGGCAATTGCCTGATCCGCTTCATTGCCTTGGTAAAAACACGCTTGGTTGAATTTAAATTTTTCTTTTCTTTTCTTGAACTCGCTGGGGTTTCCACGTCGTCTCCGCAATGACGGCGAATTACCCCACTATAGAGAACAAAAAGGCTTGAGGTCCGTCCCCTCACCTAACGGCGATAACTTACTCTTATCACGTATGTGTATTTAAACGGCATATTCATTATCAGAGTGATACCTACCTAAGGTGAGTCCTGAGGTCCTCTTGGCTTTTTGCTGCAGACATGGCCATAATAATCAGTTTACCTACACTGCCGGTATGATGATCTCTTGATCACAGATTAGAAACAATTTTATCACTTGGATGATTCGTTGAATGATATCAGACCCTCGCTTCTAAATTCCCTGTCCCATTAAAAGCATATGTGAGGGGACAGTGAGCTCTTGCGATACCGGTATTGGAATCCAGATTTTCTGTCAAGGTAGCGCACGCGCGACATCTCACAAAATACTACAAAACATATGTACGCGCTGGATGATGTGAGCAGTCAGAAACGTAGTCACTCCTGGCTTTTGTTCTTCGACTGGGTGAATTTTCCCTATCTAGTCTTCGTAATTCTCTCGAAGGGCTATCACGTCGTTTGCTTGCCGATCAATATTGGCTACAAGGGGTGTGTATGAGCAGTGGCGAGAAGCGGCTAGCTGCCTCCGTAGGTAGAGATTGAGACCATTAGGGGTTCCCGTGTCCCGTCTGCATATGCATGGCCATGCGACACGCGGCACGGCCCCGGGGGTTCTGAGGCAATACCAGGCGAACGAACACACCCCTATGCAGTGTGGTATTTTGGTCTTGAACCGACAACCAATGCATAGTGGCTGTGTGCTTCGTAGGTTACAGGCATCCAGAATTCGGAGAGGGTGTGTTACATTGCTTTCCGCGGATGGCAAACCTGGTGACCGGATATGAGGAATAATGTAGTAAATCATTGATAGGGCATACGTTTGGTGGGTGGTAGCTGAACCCCTTCACATCTCACGTCGGCCAGATCACAAGATCAATGGTGTTTCAGTACCACCTCGTCAGTGTGGTCATAAAAGGTATATACGGCATAGACTATGTAGTTGATGGAAGGCCTCGGTTTCCAGATTGACAGCAATCTGTTATCAAGACGCTTTCTCTGGCCGTCGATTGATGACTGAGACATTTCATCAGAATGGGTAGGTACATGTAGTCGTCGGCTGTGGAGCAGAGGTTGATGTTATCTACTACGTACTTGTGGCGTAGTTTTCCATGGTCGCACGAGACGTGCATTTGGATGTAATCTGGGCGGTTGCGATAACCTCAAAGATAAAGAAAGCATTAATGCAACCTGGTTCATATCCCCTCAGTTGTACTCAAAAGAACACACCAACCTCTAGCTGAACTGGATTACTGTAATATCTACTATGTACTATGTGCCATTTGAATCACGATAAGTGCAGCGGCCGAAGTTTTCTCATGCCGTCTCGGTGCTCTATCGCATCACGTCAGCACCTCCCATCCAGCGTCCACCCAGCGTCCATCCAGTCCGCCATTTAGGCCAGTACTAGCGGGGCCTCCGGTGACCCAGGAGACTGGGCGAGCCGCGACGAATTCAATCAAGCCCTAAGTAAGTAGGTACGGTACGGTAGACCGACTTTAGCTACGTGGTCTAGGTATCGTATCAACTGTGATCGGCACAATCTAGCCACGGCCAGTCTCCGAACGACGTGACCGACCCCGGCCTAGTGTTGTTGACATTGCCATATGAGTGTGAGGCTCGCCATAGATAGAGTTTTACTAGTAAAGAAATGTTTTTTTTACATGTAGAGTGATCTTCTCTACTACCTATGTACGTAGCCGTCTCGAGTTCCGCCTTGCACTGCCCTTGTAACCGATCATAATGATCTAGGTATTGCTGTTCGCACTAATCCCACGATTTCCGGTCAAGATAGCCAGATACCCGATCTCTTATCTACGGGAAAGGATCTGAAGCAGGGTGTTGAGCAGGGCAGAGCATGGGGGCCGCTGCCTCCTGTTATTAATTCTCTTCTTGGCATTATCTGGGTTGCTCGGTTGCCGGCTGGTCCACCTTGAAAATTTCTAATACTTATGTCATACTTCGCACGCGGTTGAGAGAATTTCCTTTATTGAGGGTTGTTGTTCTGTAGGAAAGACAGCGCAAACCGACTATGATATACTTGAGGGAGAACGGAGGGGGGTAATGGAGAGCAGCTTCAGAAGATTATGCATGGATTCCATCGTCTCTCGTATTCACGAACCCACCCTACTGCACCGCAAGTCTGCAACCTGCAGGCTCCTTGCTGCACCGTTTCCTGTTAGTGTCCTTCCAGTGTCTAATTTTTCTCCCTCTCTGCTCCCTCCTTCTCTTTCGCCCTCGCTAGCTTTGGCTACATACTTACATAGTACGGTACATGCGTGTCGTGGACATCATAAATCTCATGTAGTGTAATCAATTAATATCGCGCCAGGCTTTCATAGACGTCGCCAAAAGGCCAAGAGCAGTCTGGAAGCGGGCGCTAGAGGCAGCTAAGGTGCGCTACCGTGACCTAAGTATCGGTTTTTTTCTCAATATTCTCCACCCGACACGGTCAGCTCGGCTACCAGCGTGGCACTCGTCCAGTCTCGCCCTGAGTCTCGAGCGTCGCCCTCGCTTGTCGTTTCGCTTCAGCTTCAGCTTGAGGTCGTCTTGGGTGGCTGTTCGATCCTGATGCCTTTCTCTCTGTCTGTTCCTTCCCCCTCTACCTAGGTACCTTCCTACTGTGGTGTCTGATGGGCTGTTTTCGTCAATAATTCCGAAAAGGTGTTTTTCACGCTTTATGATGTAGGTAATCTACACATGTAGTACAGGACATGTCTTCCCATAGCTTACTCGCATGGTATCATGAATCATTCAAAGACATAGTGCCGATGGAAAATTGCTATTCTCAGCTTACCTGTATCATGCACAGATTAGCGCCATGAGCTATACCTGATGAAAGAGTTCCCGTCGTGAGCCAAGCACGTTGAATTCAGTAATGAGGGCAGATACGAACAACCATCTGTCGACTTAGCGTGCGAGCTTGTGACATTTGTTGCAACCGGCGCCCGCACCAATTCAGTGCCTACCTACCCAGTCCGATGCTACATGCAGGTATAGGTATATGCCTTGAAGCGCTTTGGAGCACCTATCTACATGTAGGCGGTAGAATATAGGTAGCAGACCTAGGTAGTACATCTACCATGTGTGCACTCGGTTAACTAAAGCCAGCTACCGATCAATACACAGATTGAAGTAGACAGCCAAGGACCGTTGCGCTCAATACCAGCTTGGCCGTTGATAAAAGCGAACGAGAATGAGACTGGACCTCACCTACTCCGGGCTGCCCTACACTAAGCGGTTCTCATTATTGGCGATTCAGTCCATATTGGTAGCTAGTCCGAGCCAGAAAGGGTGGCACACACTCCCTTCTCCTCTCGGCTGTTCGCGACGTGCCTTGGACATCTGTACATCTGGACATTGGATGGCTTGTCTAGCTCATCTAGCTCAGGAACCTGGCTCGCCTGGCCAGTCGAGGCCCACGCGACACGACCCGTTGGATGGTCTGCGCGGTCTGCGCTACAGCTCCGTCGGGCTAGTGCGGCTGGAGTGCCCAGCCGAGAACTGATAGCGTCGTGCAGCTCTGGCGGTGCCGCCAGGTCCAGTGGTCCTACAGGTAGATAGCTATGTACCTAGGTACACTACTACCTAGGTAGGTATACTACCTAGATAACCACCCTGTTCGGCTCGATTTGTCCGCTATTGCTACCCAGATAGGCCTCGATTCAGTTGGCTAGGTAGTTCGCTCAGTTGGCACCCTAAGCAAGCCCACTCGTCTAGCTCGGCCACCTGGGCCCCCTGGCCCTCTCATAATTAATACCACCCGCCGTCTCTCTTCATGTTGCTTTCTTGTTCTCGCGAGCGGTGGCCAGGATAGAGCAAAGTCGTAGCCGTTCGTTCGTTTTCCTTTCTGTCTGCTTCGTCTTTCGCTCTCTTCGGCTCTTGTCGGTCATCCGTCGCCATGAGCTTCCTCAAGTCGTACTTCGCTCCTGGCAAGGACCAGAATGATGGAGAGAAGAAGAAGGGCCCTGGCAAGAAGCCGTCGCCGATCACTGAGATGACTGAGACTCGCTTGGAGGGGCCTGCTCCCGCCCCTACGCCTAATTTTTCTATGCCCGGCACGCCAGCCCGGAGCTTGATGGGATCGCGACCTGCCTCACTATATCCCACCGGTGATTTTCGAAATGCTCGCGAGAGCCTTCTCGACGTCAAAGCGGATGTCATGTGCAGCTGGTTATACCAGCAGCAATTGGAGAGACAATATGCCACCGGCATATTGCCAGGTGAAGGCGTTGTGCTGAAGAAGGGGAGGAACAACTACGCTTGCTGTCCGCCTCAGCTTCGAGACATGAAATACAGTTTGTACGACATGGCGATGGAGCTCAACGTCAGGGTATGTTGTTCTTTCATGTGTTGTAGTATGCTACTTGACATTGTGCTAACTCCACCTACAGTGTGCTATGACTGTCAATACGAGAATTATCAACGTTATTCTGGCTTCGAGGCGGACGACTTACGAGTATATTCCACTTCCGGATGGCTTGAGGTTGCAGGTGCTACCGAGCATGCGCGACCTACCACGGTGTCAGAAGCACCACTTTGCTGCATTCATCCAGGATCTTCAGATTATGATTGTTTGGGATGATGAACCTAAGAAAGTATTGGCTAGAGCTGAAGCTTTAGAACGCCAGTTAATGAGGATGATCTGGGGAACAGGACAAGATGAAGAAGAGGAGACAGAGGGCGAGAAGGGCGAAAAGGTCCAAGTCGGTGAAGTAGAGGTCACGCCGATTGATCTTGAGGCTGCCGCCAACGCACCCGACAGGCGGATAAAGCTTACCAGTGCTTTCACTGTCGGACTTACCATGGCTTTATCCGTCGCCACCTTAGGCCTGGGTTTTAGGAAACTCAGTTTTGAACTCGCGACCGATGGCGATTACGTTCGACTCGCCCTCATCGCAGTTGCCCCTCTTCAGCTATGGGTTGGCTACTTCTTTTTCCAAACTATTATCGTCAATCTCTTCGAAATCTTCGGGCCTATCAGTGCCGTTAACCAAAACAGCAAGTTTTACTCGGGAACAGCGCCAAGGCGACTCGATCGCGAGCATCATACACTGCCCCACGTTACCATTCAGATGCCAGTTTATAAGGAAGGCTTAAAGGCTGTCATCGGTCCAACTGTTCAATCGCTTAAGCAGTGTATATCGACATACGAGCTTCAAGGCGGGTCTGCCAATATCTTCGTCAATGACGACGGTATGCAGCTCATCTCGCCAGAAGAAGCCCAAGCCCGTCGCGAATTCTACGACGAGAATAACATTGGCTGGGTGTCTCGACCGAAGCACAACCCTAACCCCGAGGAAGGGGAACAGGTTTTCCTTCGCCGAGGAAAGTTCAAGAAGGCATCTAACATGAACTATGCTTTGATGGTCAGCAACCGTGTTGAGGATAAGTTAGCTCAGGCTCAAAGATCTGCCACATGGACACAAGAAGACGAACACGCTGCCTATGAGCAATGTCTATCTGAAGTCTTGCAAGAGGACGAAGGCCGGACTTGGGCCGAAGGTAACATTCGCATCGGTGACTACATCCTTATTATCGACTCCGATACCCGTGTGCCCGAAGACTGCTTGCTAGATGCGGTCAGTGAAATGGAGCAGTCTCCTCAGGTTGCTATTCTGCAGTTCTCATCCGGTGTAATGCGCGTTAGTGAATCGTTCTTCGAGGGAGCGTAAGTCTGGTTTCTTAAGCATTTACACAGACCCTTTACTGATATGTTTGCAGTGTCGAGTGGTTTACCAACCTGATTTATTCTTCCATCATCTACACTGTGTCAATTGGCGACTCCGTTCCTTTCGTCGGGCACAACGCTATACTTCGCTGGTCCGCCATACAAGATGCCGCGTCGTATCAAGATGAGGATGGGTATGAGAAATACTGGTCTGAATCTCATGTCTCGGAAGATTTCGACATGTCTCTCCGTCTTCAGTGTGCCGGTTACAGTTGCCGTCTTGCTTCGTATACCGGTGAAGGATTTCAAGAAGGCGTGTCTCTGACGGTGTATGACGAGCTAGCGCGTTGGGAGAAGTACGCCTTTGGCTGTAACGAGTTGATGTTCCACCCTTTGCGTTATTGGCCGACTCGGGGTCCTATAACCCCTCTCTTCCGAAAGTTCCTAGGCTCTAACATCCCCCTTCCCAAGAAGATCACCATCTGCAGTTATATCGGAACGTATTATGCTATTGGCGCGTCGTGGATCATCACCCTGTTCAACTACTTCCTCACTGGCTTTTTCTACGGCTTGTACGACAAGTACTACCTGGACTCTTTCGCTATCTTTGTTTCGGTTATCGTCGTGTTCACTGGATTCGGTAACCTTGCGCTTGCTATTCTGCGGTACCGTCTGAACCAGAAGTCTCTCCTCGGAGCCTGTAAGTTTTTCTTTCATTAGTTGCATCTTGTTTCAAAGCTAACGCTTCTCCGTAGTCTGGGATAACGTGAAGTGGATTCCTGTTATGACCATCTTCCTAGGTGGCCTGTCGCTGCACGTGTCCCAAGCCATCTTGTGCCACTTCTTCAGCATCGACATGACCTGGGGAGCCACAGCTAAGGAAGTCGAAGAGGTCAATTTCCTCGAAGAGATTCCCCGATTATTGAAGCGCTTCAAGGGAACGTTCGTGTTCTCTTTTGGCACTGTTGGCCTCATTATTGCCGGCCTCTACGGCTTCCCCGAAGCTTGGCGCATCACCTACTTCGCCTCCATCTTCCCTCTTGCCTGGCTGGCGGCTTGCCACTTCCTACTCCCAGTCGCCCTCAACCCGGCCCTGATGGTGTTCGCTTGGTAATCTTCGCGTATTACCGACCAACATTAGCCGGGGCACAATACCGATAATGTGTAATTAATCTTGTTTATTTTCGAACCTTACATACTTATACCTATTGGATAGCAAAGGAGTTAGCATTAGATCGGGACCAAGAGGGCGTTCAGATCTGGATATTTAACGTTTGGGAACGACGGGGTTTACTTGGGCTTAATGAACGCATGGGATTCACCTTGTTCTTCTTCGTCGACGGCAACATGGTGTGAATATGAATGTGTCGTCGTTGGCGTGACGGGTCGGATACGTCTGGATATACGCTTCGCTTCATGAAATGTGTGTCAAGCAACTATCATATTTCCTTGCTAGACTAAGAAAATAATATCAACATATCTTGAAACCTTATTTCATGGTGGCGATTCTGTGAGAGCCATTACATATGACTAGGTGTGCTATGTTATAAATCGAGAGGCGATGAATGAGAGGAATGTTGTACGGTATAAGATGAAATGCCATAGCGGACCCCGTGATCAAACTCGACGTCTCGAATAATCGTAAAACAGGAAAAAGCAGGTCCTAACAGGTTTCTGTTATCATCTGTCTCAGCTTTGGACGCAGCTGCCCCACAGACTACTGCACGGAGGCGATGAATCGCGGTATGATAGGTACGATCTCTTCATCGGCTGCATGCTGCACGATGGCCTTCTGCTGTCACTTAATTTATTAAGCGCGTACTCATTCTTCTCATTGGGAATGAGCCGGCTCTCATCGTGATGAATTCGTCTCATATCAGACAGGGCGCGAACCCCCATTGCTGAGCAACGCGAGTCATCGGAATGCAAGCAATAAGATACTCACCACGAGTAAAAGGGTGCGAGATAGCCTATGGCCAAGTGTCTGGAGCGATCGCCATGCGGCGCTTCGAGACCGATCTCCTCCTGGGCAAGGAAGCCTGGTTGCAGAATCGCGCGTGATGTGAGAGGTTCTTGGCATTGTTCATCCTGAAGTCTTCGTTTCCGATAGAGATGCTCGTTTACATACCTGATGCTAGTATTGAACAAAGAAGCGGAGGGAAACTTTTGGGTCGCGTTAAGTCATGACTCGCTATGAAAACCGTACAGCGCACCGCGAGATTGAGGATGACGCTGTTGAACCCAATCCCTTCGACCCCTCCATAGAATAATATGCCTGGGTCGTAATGCAGATTCATCTAGCAATGATTCCGCTCTGGCTCAACTGCTACTGTTTGTGCTCTACTTGACTACCAGAAAGGCAGCCAGTGGCATCAGATCATCGGACTATGATAGCAGGAAACCCGTCTCCCTTACTGTGAAGAAGTCTGCACAAGACAGCGGCTTAGATCTGTTGACTTTATTGTTTAGATTCGTTTTGGAGAGATAAGCAGCACAATACACTATATACGTCGGGTCACGATTCCCACTACTAGTGTCAACCTCACTCTACGAACGTTTTTAATCGAGCACAGAAAATATATACGCATTTAACCTAGTGTATATGCATACGAGGCCCTGATAAGGCCATATCCATGGTGTTGTATATCCGACGGGATTTCACAAAGTCCTAGGAAACCCAGTAAGGCGGACAAAAGGCTCTGGTATTGCCTGCAGGTACCGGCCACCGAATTGATAGCAAGACAAATGCCAGCGATAAGGAGAAGAGTGGCAATACATCGGCTTTGTGCAGGAGATCAAGGCCCTCACGACGAGTGATTTGTGGATTGAGTAACACAATGACGGAGAAGCTCACGTGCACGGTGGCCGGAATGGTTCCGGCCACAGTCGGTCTACACCGGGCTGGGCACGGCTTATCCAAGCGGAGCCTATCAATCTATTACTTACTAATTACTCATTCCCTTCCTTCATCTTCACCACCGCCGCACTCAAGAGTCACAAAAGAGCGATGAAGCCGACGGGATGGATCTACTAAATGATGAGAACTCCCCACATAGCCGAACTTTCACAGTTCGAGATGTCAACTCCTTCCTGTTGGTGCTGAAGCCGCTATGCCGCAATATCACAGGTCTCACTTCAAGCTCACGATAGTTTCACCGAGTAGGAAGATCGATGAGAGCACAAAGTATAACACTTCCGGTGATTGCGGTATGAACAAACAAGGGAAGGCTCGTTCATGTGCCGGACCATAGAGCGAAGGGGGTACTGATAAGAATGTTCCCCAGAGAAACGTCACCAGCCCGACTTCGGTTATCTGAGTCTAGATGAGGCCGGAATCAGTTCCGGCCACAGAGTATATCACCAGATTGGTGGCGGTTATGTTACGTCCGGAATCTTCCCCTCACCTCTTTCAAAAAAAAAAATCCACTGTAACCTCAGCAAAGATTATCAACTGTTGTCTCGAATCATCACACTGGGCTATCCAAAGCGCTTCAACCCCTAACTCCTCAACATGCTTATCCCAAACACATCTTTCGAAGTCCTCGAAGACACGAGACCACATGAATTGTCGTTGCCAGCGTTCATGGTCTCAACCACACGAGGCTTCTTGCCCCGCGCGGATCCTGTCGTCGCACTTCCTCCCAAGTTCGATGCCGTAGAGGAGTTACTGCGAAGGAGTATGCTACTATTTGGATCATTCTTCATCTCACAGTATGAATCACTAACGCCATCCTAGTGCCCGTTTCGACCCAGTCGGGGCATCCTGGACTCCTAGCTGCAGGTCAGCTGGGTGACGCGGTACAGGAACTCCCCGACTTGACTGGGGAGATCGAAGAATACCGTGATAACGTTCCCATGATGAACGCATTATATCGTGACTATTCCTTCCTCGCCTCAGCATATCTCCTAGAGCCTTGCCATATGAGATTCATGAAAGGTGAGCCGTATGGGCTAGCTCGATCGTTTCTGCCAGCTCAGCTGTCACGCCCCATCGCACGGTGCGCAGAGCTGTAAGTTAACCTAGCTTTCATATAAGATAAGCAATGAATTATAACTCATGAGTCCCTTCCTTTAGCACTGGCTTCAAGCCGTTCATGGAGTACGCTGGCTCTTATGCGCTCTTCAATTATCGTCTTCAAGATCCCAATAGGGGTCTTGAGTATGACAACTTGCGTCTAATCCGCGCGTTTGAGCATGGGCTCGACCCATCTTCGTCGGAAGCAGGATTTGTTCTGGTGCACGTCGACAGTGAGTATTTATCTAAGTTAATATTTCATCCGAGATGACTATCAGTATACGAAGGCGTCTTTATGCCCCAACGCTGAATCTAGAACACCTTATTCATATTCAAAGATAACCCGAAAACCACTTCATGCATGTTGGTTACTGACTATAAGTGGTAGTGGTGAAGAATTCCGGCCCCATTATAGCCGGAGCCATGTCAGCCCTCTCCGCTCTCGCTAATCAAAACGGCGCGGACCGCACAGTACAGCGGAAGACATTCAACGACGGCCTCCGCACCATCTTGGGTGGTATGAAGAAGGTCAATACTGTGATGGAAACAATGTGGGGTAAGTCGAAGCCTCGCTCATACACGAGTTTCCGAACCTTCATCTTCGGCATCACCTCGCAGTCTATGTTCCCTGAAGGGGTAGTCTACGAGGGCATCAATGATGGCAAGCCTATGAGCTTTCGTGGAGAAAGCGGTGCGAACGACTCCATGATACCGCTCATGGATAATTTCTTGCAGATTCAAATGCCAAGCACTCCCCTCACGGAAATCTTGCAGGATTTCAGAGAGTACCGGCCAAGCAACCACCGGCAGTTCCTAGTTGATGTGAAACACAGCTCGGAAGAATTAGGCGTGAAAGACTTCGGGCTTGGAACTAACCCCCACCATGTCGCTACAACAGAGCAGAAGGAGCTATTGCTCGAATCGCGGCGCCTATGGATCAAGCTTCTGGACCAGGTCCGTGACTTTCGATGGAGGCACTGGTGCTTTGCACGCGAGTATATTCTCAAACAGACATCACACCCCACTGCCACAGGCGGTAGTCCGATAGTTACATGGCTTCCCAATCAGTTACAGGCAGTTATGGAGGAGATGGTGGAGATTTACAGTAGCGTCGAGGGCCAAAGTGGCCCCACGAATCTAGGAGAGGAGTGCCGAGATATCATGGATCTTGTCAGCCGACAACAAGATATGCTGCGTAAAGAAGTAGACAAGTACTGTCAAGAACGTGGCGTAAGCATTCATAACTAAGATGCAAGTGGATATAGGGATATGTCATTTCATTAGGCTCTCAGGGAACTGACGAAGTCTATATTGCAATCAAAATAATGACACGTTGCCATCGCCCATGTGTTACGTGACCTTAATATATTTTGAAGATTAAGCTAAACTAGCATCGTGGAAGCCATTCGGAAGCAACTTGGCCTCTACATTCCTCCGCCATCCCCCACCCACTCCACTGAGCAGGGTATTTCCCTAGACCCGATGGCCGCAGTAGTCATCTGTGTCTACTGTATGCTCGTATTGGATTGGGGATGATTAAAAGGGTACGAACGACGCGACGCGACGGCTCGATAAGGCCCCTCTCCCCGATGTGGGTAATGGCGGATTATCGATACGTCTCGACTTGCTACGTGTTTGGGCGAGTTCGCATATGCAGCCAACATGTCTTCCTTATGAGATTAATCTGTGCTTTTCTTCCTACGGATTGGTGCGGGAATATTTAATCGCCATCTGGAACGTATCCTGACCCCCACCAGGGAGATAAAGGTTCTCCATCGTCTGAGGGGGTTGGTGGATCGACGTCACATCACCAAGGGGGAGTCAGGAGGGCATTGATAATCGTGTCTGGTTCGCTCCCATAGTATTGATACGTATGGCTGAGGTCAGACTAGTGTCTTCGCCGAAAGTCAGAACTCCTCCCCAGAATGCAGGTAACTGGTCTATGCCTTTTCACTACTGCCGCTTGCCCCTCGACCAGCGGCGGATCATTGGTATATAATATACCAAGAAACCTTACATGTCATGGCATCATGGTTGTTAAAACTGCCGAGACTCGAACTCCACCTCATGATTGTGTCTTGATAATAAGACATACGCTCGGATCCTCGTGTTTGCGCTACGCCTGTATCACTGTGACGACATCCACCAACTTGGCTATCTAGTCTCCACGCGAGAGCAAATCTACCGAGACTTCTCCATTTTTCTCCCCGGATTCACAAATCAACCATGGGTTCCATTGATGAGATTCCCGGGGTTGTGAATGCGCTCCAGCCATCAATTGCCGAGAGGCTTGACCCGGTATACTTGGATATCTACAATCGCTATCAAGGTGAGCAATTCGACAGCACCGCAGCATATATGACGAGACAGGCATCTCATTATACCCTAGCTCCACGTATGAGATGTGATCAGGTGCCGTATGAGGTCTATAAGGAAAATAAGGAGGCATACAGCTTCCCGACTGCCAAAGTCACGGGACCTCGGCCCGAGGTAGCCAGCAACACCATCTATCGCGTTCCCGTCTCACACCCGGAAGGCGAGGTTGACGTCCAGGTTTACGTGCCTACCGCCGAGGCAATAAGCAATGGGGGCCTTGCAAGCTCCGAAGGACGCCTGTCCGCCCTCGTTAATTTCCATGGTGGAGGCTTCGTGATCGGCGACTTGAATTCCGACGAGCCACTCGTGCGTCAGCTCTGCCAGGGCGCCGGCTGCGTCGTCGTCAATGCCGACTACAGAACCGCGCCCGAGTTCCCGCATCCGACGTCGGTGCTGGACAGCTGGGACGTGCTGAAATGGGTTTTCGCAAAAGCCGATGAGCTTAACGTCGACACCTCCAGAATCGCGGTGAGCGGGCTCTCAGCAGGCGGGTGTATCGCGGCGGTGCTGTCGATCCTGGCGCGGGACGATCCCACTCTTCCACCATTGAAGCTACAGATTCTCATCGTGCCGCTCGCCGACGTGCGGTATGTCCCGGTAGAAGGATCATGCAAGGGGGGTCCTTATGAGAGCTACGTCAGCAACGAGTTTGCGCCAATGTTGCCGCTATCACGGCTCGTCTGGTTCTACAACTACTGGCTCGGAACGGGGCCAGAGAGGTCCGAAAAGGCAGAGGATTTCCGCGCATCGCCGCTCCTTGCTAAGTCTCACGAGAACCTAGCCCCTGCTTCAATCCGGGCTGCGGAAGTCGACCCCCTAGTCTCCGAGGCGAAGGCGTACCATGAGAAACTGCGGGCTGCGGGTACGCAGAGCAAAATTAAGATATATAAGGGGCAGGGGCACACGTTCCCGCAATGGGATGGGTTCAATCCGGGATCGAAGGAATTCGTGCAAGATTGTATCAACGATCTGAAGGAAGCATTCAAGTTGTAGAGCAATGAATCTCCTAACTTCTCCCAAGATGTTGAAGATCATTTCCCCTGACTACGATATCAGTGAGAAAGTTGAAGTTCTCCATTATATGAAGCGGTTGAAGCCTCTCTACCGTAGATCCGCCATGGCTAGAGCAACATTTGTTTGCAGAGTCTACCAACTCAGTTTCAACAGATATTACCGCTTCTCTTCGGTAGAGTGATGAGGATGCAGAAAATGGGTTGGGACTTCTTGAATCTGATCATGGTCTGTTTCCTAACTTTCTGATGGAGATCTGCGGATATGTTGCCGATCTTGAGCAGGCGTATACTAATTGAATTGATGAAATATTTCTATTCGTGAAGAGCTAAACCTGCTAGTACGTGTGAACGCTCTTCTGAGTTTCAATGAATTTGAACTTCTATTCAATATGAATGAACTAAAATAGACTTTCCTCTTATCTCCCTCTTTCCATAAAAAAGGGGGGGCGGGAGACATTGTTGACTTGATATTTACGGTATAGGGGTATATCCCTCTGGTTAGATATAAATGGTATGATTAGGGTAAAGAAAGAAGTGAATTAACTCTAAGGGCTCGGAGGCAGCGATGATAAATCAGCGACACCCCCGAACCGAGTTATCAATATTGCACACCTCACCACTGATCGTTTTGAAGTAAATTTGCTGAGCCAAATATACGATACGAGAGAAGGCTGTTATAATGAGGTGTAATAGAAAAAAAAGGCCGCCAGGACCGTAGATTTGAGGGGCGAAGGCAGTAATACATATAAGTGTGAGAGCGGCGCGAGTCTCCTTCGCCTATTACAACGATCGCGAGAAGACTAGTTCATTTCAACCGTATTATCCTACTAAGTCATACATTGGTCCAAGTAATTACCGAAAAGTGTTGTCGTCAAGTTATCTGAGCTAGCCCTGGATGCCCGTACACGGAAGTCAGCATACCAGTGGCAGCGTGACAACCGACATATTCAAAAAGCTGTTGCTCCGGCTGCAGCACCAGTACCTCGTGAGACAAGCGCAATGTGATTTGGTTGTTGAGTTTCTTGGCATAACGAAAGAAGCCCCCGAAAATAGCAAGGTGCGTGGGATGTTCTCTGCTCCAGCGTTCCAACGACGCCAGCTCGTCGAAATATGCGAGCCCGAACGTGCGGTCGCGATCCGCCTTTGCCGTCTTGGCGTCCACGACGTCCATGAGACGACAACTGTAACACCCGGTCTCATAGCCGTAATCGCGGATGTAGTCCATCCCCTTCACCAGCACAGGATGCATCTCGTTGAGATACAGCTCGCGCTCCGCGGGGCTCGTGTCCGCCCACTACAGTTCGCTGGAGTCAGTAATCATAGGAATTAAGATGATTTTAGGGATACGTACGTCCTGCGCGGAGCGGATGACAGCCAGATTCGGGGTTCCGGGAACGCGAATCCGACGCTTTGCGCTACCCGCCGAGTCTTCCGTCTCTTTCGCGTTCCAGTCCACTTTATCGCCGTCGAGGGGATTTGTCTGCGACGCAGGCAGGCGGTCGCGCATGCTACCCCAATAGCCATGCTCGGCTATCGCACCGCTGAAGCTGTCCCTCATATGCGCCGCACCCTCGCCTACCTCGTTATTGGTATACACGGTCTCTATCCTATCCATTGTTGGGAAGAAAACTTCGAGGAACCAGCCGTGTGATTCGCGCTCAGCGTCAAGCGCGTCCCACCATTGTTGGAATCCGCTTTCTACAGCCCATTGCCTGTACGCTGTGATGCTAGGCCAATAGGCGATAATTGCCTCATTATAATGACCTCTGGCATCCGTCACCGACGTGACTTCACTGAAGCTAGGTCTTGTCGAGATATCAGTGCTGTCAGGTTCTAAGAAAGAGAGAAGTTTGGCCCTGGCTTCGTCGGCCTGATTGCTTCGAGTCGAGAATTGCGTTCCCAACACCGCCATGACGAGGTCGGTGACATTCTTGCCCCATCGAGTGGTGTAGACTGGGTATGCGGGGTGATAATTCTGTGGCGTTCTTGCTGGCAGGGTCCTCTCCTGCTGAAGATGCTCTGCAATGGCGCTTTCGGTCATGACGACTACTCGGTATCATTCCACGAAGTATGAATGACGACGCATGGGACAATTTCTGCTAAATCGAAGCTAGGAAAGGGGAGTAAGATGTACGTGCGTCTGCCTGAACTGTGTCTATTCAATTTCGCTCTAGGGATACGACTGTCGAAAGGTTGCGAAAACTACTATTCAATCGGGTATAACGTCGCACGTATGTATAAACAGGAAGTACCTTAGCCGTACTAGATGCTTGTTATCATACATATGTCGGAAAAGAGGTCGCTACTGGTGCTCATGAGACTCGTATTTGCGCCCTCCAATCCCCAACTCCAACAGAACATTCGGCCTCTAATATTTCACCCCGTAGTTCCATTCAACCAGAAACGGCCTAGCTGGTAGGTGCCTTCTTTTTTTCACAAAGCCTCTAGCTCCTAAGCTACCCTCGAATTTGGAGCGCCAGGTAAATTCGCTGAATCCAGATTGGCTTCTGAATACGCCACGGCTTCATCGGCGCACCCGGTGAGAATGACCGGATACCGCGCGAAGAAGGGGATTGGTATTCATCAAAAACAACAGCCTAGCTGAATGCGAAAAGGTCACCGACGTATATCTAGCTATAATGAAGCGCATGAATGCTGACTCATACATGTGTCCCAGAGGCGTGAGTGTTATGTGATAATGCCGCAATGAGCAAGTTTTATCAGTGGTGGGCGAGCCTATGGAATGTGTGGGAAATACCAGGGTTTTCGGGCACCAGACTGAAGACGAGTCACACATAGACAATAATCATGAGAGCCCAATGTTTTAGATCGCAGAATCTACCTCACCAGATACCCAAGAGTCAAAGTCATCATCTGCATGGCAGCATTTCGAACTGAATCCCACCTCCAAACGCAATGTCTACTCTGTTAAGACCCATTACTGTAGCTCACAATCACAGATTATATCGTCTGCGTGACCTTTCTTTGATATAACTAGCTAATACTTCCCTCTTCATCTGTTCGCGTGTCGTGAAGTAAATGTAAAGCGCGAGTGTTTATAAGTATATATCTAGATTATCTATCTAGTGTCGAACGGAGACCTCCTAATCCGAATTCTATCTTCTCTTATAAAGATCCTGTAAGATTCTAATAGAAATAAAATATAGTCGAAGAACTGGGAATCAAAGCAGAACAGGAAGAAAGAAAACATGTTCTCTGTCAATCGCAAATCCTCTCTATACGCATTCTTGATAGTTACTAGCGATTCGACATAAAAGGTATCTCGCTAGTTGGCATTTGAGTGAAAGTTCCCTCCTCCGAGTTATATTTGAATGGCCGGAGCGAAATCCCATACGGTTCCTTCAACAGCAGTCAGTCGTGCGATCCTCTCATGTTAGAAGTACAATCATGACACGAAAATGAATAGAGAGATGCAGCTTACTATATCGAAGCAGAATATGGTGTCACGAGGCATCTGAACCTCACCAATGTTCTCTCTCTGGATGCCGAGAAAATAAGTTATCAGAATTCGAAGGACAGCGCGGTGCGTAATTAATATCAGGTTGTCAGTTGTCCTCTCGAGCTCGACGATGAGGGGTCGCAACCTGACGATCAAGTCGACGTACCCCTCGCCGCCTAATCCCGGCCACCGATAATTGAGCTTATCGCGCCTTCGCGCAGCGTACTCGTCCGGATACAGTTTGGAGATTTCATCGAAGGTCAAACCTGCCATTGCGCCGGCATTCATATCATCAAGCATTTTGGTATGTGTTTGGCCGTATGCCTCGGTTGAGAAGAGACGTCCTGTTTGGACAGCTTGTGGCCATGTAGACGTCCAAACGGAGAACTAGGAACCAAGATTTGAGCCAAGGATCTTCATGACCATCTCAGAGTTGGCAAAAAGTGCTAAGAAAAGCTACTTACTTGAGATGGGTCCGGATTATGACCAGAAAGTGGTTCCGCGTGCCAGCTCTGTCGCTGGTCCTCGATGAAAGACGCTAGAGCTGCCGCGTACAAATGTCCCCGGTCGCTCAAATCCGAGTGACGGCCGATCCGCCCCTCTCGGTCATCGAGGCTCTCACCATTACACGAGAGCCAGATCTGACGTCTGGCTAGATTGAAATTGAGGAGATACTCGACGATCTGAGACATGATATAACCCCGAATGAGATGCGTGTTCATCTTGCGCCCCGCATCCGTCATCTGCACGAACGAGAGCCCCTGCTTCTCCTCGACCACCCCCAGCGGCTCGTACGCGTTCTCATAGTGCACGACGCGGAGCCTAAAGTCAGCAAGTGAGGTCTCCGGGTCTTTGCCGACGTAATCAGGCCCCGAGAGCTTGAGCCGGATATTGGCCTCGCGCAGCGCGCCATCGGAGCAGCGGTTCTCTAGAAACAGGATCTTCAGGTCCTCCTTGCATTGCCGTCGGATGTGGCTCAGCACGAGCTGGCGACGCGCGAGTGTGCTGTTCGTGGCGTCGAGAATCCCTATGTTTCCTCCGGAATTAAATATCCACTCAAGGAGCTCATTGAGGGTTTTGATGGCTAGCTGGTCTCGCAGTGACACGCACTCTGGGCTGGTGGGGTCGAAGAATGTCGCAGCGGAAGTCGACAATGAGCTAGTGGTCACCTCGGAGTTGCTGCTGGCTGCTTCTCTGCGACGATCGCCGACGTTGAATACGCGTGTCTTGTGTTGCAGCCAGTTCAGGTATCTTGACAGCTTCTTGGCGACGTAGCTTTTGCCGGTTGCAGGAAGGCCTACCATAACGATGACCAGTTTTGGGTCTGTATCATGATGCGGTGTAAACCCGACCAATGCTTCGGTAGAGCTTCGCGGGCTCGTCGAGGCAGTCATGGTGCTGTTTTGTGACATGTTGTAATGAGGACTGATCCAAGGTGGCCGAGTCATTGTGGTGATGGCGACTGTTCACGGCTATTATAGGATTCCTGGAAAGAGTATTGATGTCTACCTAACGGTTCGCCTCAGTCAGGCTCACTGTCTGCATCAGCTTGTGATAAGGTGGTAATCTCGTGATAGGCTTTGCGATGGGCCAATGGTTGTTTAATCATGCGATATCTCTCATCTCGGCGATGTGCGACCCTAGGAACTCTGAGCTCTAAGCACGCATAATCTGCAATTCCGATAGCTCCGATATTTCCAACCGTGTCAAAAGATAACTCCGGGCTGATGATTTGACACTTTTCATCATTTATCCTAACTTCATTACATCTTATACCTCTTTTGTAAGGGACTCGAAAACAACGTGGCACACCAATTCAATGACGACGCGGACGTTACGGTTTCAGATCTCAGACACATCTCATCTCAACAGCCACTAGTACAAGTGATGAGAGCCAATATGGAACAAATGTCGCAGGGGGTATGGAAACATGTAATGTGACGATCGAGATCGAGGTGTTTTTTTACCTCGAAGGTTATGAATGGCTGTAGCTTTAATCAGAAAAGCGCTGCATCTGAATACACTCATGGAAATACTCACTTATCCACATATCATATCTAAGAAAGTTCACGCTGTCGAGCAGCCACTTGTGATAGTGGATGGTCTTCATCAGCTTAAGGCTGGAACATCATCTCGACACTGTCCATTTATTTCGTATTTGCGGCGGTAACTGCTAGGTTCACATGTACAAAACTTCGAGGGCTACTAATAATTGAGACAACTGACGATGCTATCCGCGTCACTAACAAGTGACGTCAATGTCTCATTATCCATACGTACCTACTGCTTGCACTGCGCTAGCTCTAGCTGTCCTCGCCGATGCCCTTGTGGTGGCCTGTGGAGTGTCTCTTCGCTGATGTCGCGGTGGCGTGAATCGAAGTCGCTGTTGTTGAGCTTGCAATTAGCGATGTTCATTTTTGTTGCTGGCCGTGTCACGCGTTCGGTTCGCGGCACACCTGTTCAGTCATGGTTGGATACCGCCTTGTTCTATAATTGCGTACGTGAGATAAGCCCCAACTTTCAGCTGAATCGGTCGTAGATTGTCGAGGACACAATCGCGTTAGCTGATTGAAGCAATCAATGTTGTATCTGTCCTATGTTTACCGGTAGGCGCATGGCAGCTACCTAGTCTAACAGAGCTAAGTGCATACCTACCTCTATGGAGTACTCAGTGGCCTAATCTACAGTGAGGCCACAGGTGCGTGTAGCACAGGTGGCGGGGTCTTTGACCTTGCAAGAAAAGGGTGTATCTAATCCACCTAGGAAATAGAATATCAAGAGCACAAGTGATGATTATTACAACAGCACGGGACCTAACACTTCGTTCTGCTAAGCACATAATTCATAACACACTTGAGTAGGTAATAACATGATTCTTTTCTTAAGGCGCCTGAGCCTTTCACAGCAGGCAGCCCGCACAAACCAGTGGTTTCACCCTTGTGACTTAACTCTCTTCCTCAGCCAGCGTCTCCAGCAAGTCTCAACTTACAGAATACTCTCTCTTCTCCTTTGGGGATGGACACCTATGGACTTCAAATACACAGAAACTAGGATTCACTAATACAATATCACCATCAATGAGATGTCCAGGAGAGTTCGATTCGACATGACCACGCATACCATCAAGCGAGAGCGCTATGTCAGACCTTCCCAAAGAAGCAACTCACTAGACATTTGACCAATCGTAGTGTAGCGCCGCATAAGCAACACTCGCTCGCCCTGAGCACCTACCTATCTACTTATGATATGCTCGACTCAACATGACCAAGCTTGTTCAGAGGCTGCCTTCAAAGTTCTTGGACTTGACTTAATGTAATTAGAACACCTCTTTCTTGTGCATTTAGCCAGACAGCGAGTGATTCTGCCATCAAATGGAGGCCTGAGATAGCGGCATGCTGTTGATCAACCCTTTCCTTGAAATGAGCGGCGTCTCTAGGATTCACAGGGACCAGACGAGAAAGCCCATTCATCAGGAGCAATGCAATCCTAAAAAGCGAAGGTTTACGGGTATATATCTTCGACTCGTTCGCTAAATGTGAGTTAGTTCAAAGGCACGAGTGGCCTATCAACGCCTACTAACATGCCTCGATTGGATTGGATTCGGACTTCACGTAACGACACACACAAAAGGGGGGGGTTTTTCTTTCCCACGTTGACGTTGAATAATCATAGTTCATCCAAGCTGAATAGAACTAGACCATTAATGGTCATGAGGATATGTGATCGTCCCATAGCCGTCCACAGCCATGCTCTTCCAGAGAGTTAAACGAGGTAAACAGAAATAGCAACCCTAAACCAAAGCCCAAGCCCGACCCGATCCCAAAACACATGGAACTATTTGGTACCAGCCAATAGCAGAATGAAGATCAAAATGCCGCCTGATACATGCCTTGTTTGTTTGATTGTTTTTTCTCGCTTTTTCTGGCCTTTTCGGTCTCATTGTCCAAAACTTCTATAAATCCTAATCGTGGGAGGTCCTGGGGTATCAATCCTCCAGCGCCGTGGTGTATTAAGGACCATTGTAGTATCTATTTCTAAACATGAAGACATAAGGGTACAGAAATAGAACACAAAGATGAAAAGAGAGAGGAAGAGAGAAAAGAAATAGTTTAGTAAATAAGAGTTAGAGTTAGGGAAGGGGAATATTGAGATCAAAGGGAAGGGAAGGAAAGATTCGGCAATGCAAATGGGTATAGAATACAGGCCGAGAAGATTTAGTGCGGCTGTGATCGAGGCATTTGCATCTGGCCTCCCTCAGGTAGACTAGGTACCGGAGTGTAGTAGGTATCCAGGTACCTTGGCACTGACCTCGTATTAACGGAAAGATCGTATCCTTGAAAGGTATAGCCCTGATGATAATTATGAGAGCTCGGGCGAGTCTGAACCTGCGGACTATTACCCGAGTAGGTGTTGATAGGAGTACTTTGATGTCGCGAATGTCTAGGGCCATATGAACTTGGGTATCTCTGCGAGCTGAGTTGCGCGTATTCGAGCTCGTTCTGCGCATTGTGATTATGACTAAATGTGAAGCCAGGGCTGCTCGTGGGCGGCGGCGGCAACGAAGGGGTGAATGGAGGCTCTGGTAACGAGGACGAGACAAATGTTGGAGACGACAATACATTCATTCGGGCATCATATCTTCCGCGGGGTGAGTAGTTGACGCTAGCGGAAATTGATCTATGGTGCGCAGAACGCCTCGCGTTTGGTGTTCGAGGCATGCGAAACATGCCATGGTATGATGAACCAGCCTGCTCATGTGTATTAGGAGGAACATTCGAGCGTGTACGGGAATGTCGATATGATATCGTCTCATGTTGACCACCACATGGCTCTGGAAGTGGTGGCAGATGAGTATAGGATGAATAGATTGGCTCAGGTATAGTATCGCAAAGGGATCGGGCCCGCTTGTGTCCGTGGCCACCAGATTTCCGCCTGGAGGGCGTCTTCGCCTTTGCGTCCTCGGTGCTGTCGGCGGGAATGTTTGGCAAGATCTCAATATCTGGGATTTGGTCCAGTTTTCCATTGCAGACGTCGTCTCGAATCCGGTTGGCAATGCTAATGATCTCCTCTGTGACATAAACCTGATTACACTTTTCTCTGAGCCAGTCGGGTACAGCAGTACCAGTATGCGCCATAGGATCAGCGCTATCATCTTCTTCCTTGCTGTTGCTCCTTTCACTATAGAGTCTCTTCTTGCCTTTATTGTACATTTCATCTTGAATCCTGGTTTGTTCACGCTTGCGCATCGATAATGTCCAATCTCGAACGACTAGTGTGCTATTGTTCTTTTTATTAGTGTTGCTCCAGTCCTGGATACGAACAATTTGTTCTATGACCAGCTCGCACTGTCGTTGCGAATAATCACGCACGTTGCGGTACCGACTGCGTTGATAATGCTTCCTACAATAGTGTACCCAAATGCGGTCCGGGATTCTTCGAGTGCACAATTTATTTCGCCCGAATATGTGGGAGATAGCCTTTCGAAGGGTAGAGCCAGTGTCACAATTCTTATCGTACATGCAGTATATCTGAGGTGTGGTTTCAGCGGGCGTGCAAGCTGGAGGGCTGATGCTCTCTGCTAGGTGATTTGGCGCCTGTAGACGCATTTGAGACGTTAGTGGTGATAGCTGAGACGCCTCGAGAGGATGATAGAGAAACTGGTTATACGAGTGGCCGCCTGGATGGTCCGGTGCCGAAACGGCCCTTTTATGTCTCTGAGACATTTCCGATGGCGATGGGACCAATAAGCTGGGGTTGAAGCCCCCTTGTGTGCTGCTAAAGTCAGATTAGAACCAACAAAAATAAAAGTCTGATGTGTTCATTGCTTCTTAGGGGATGTGGAAAATGGCATGATGGTAAGTCAGGGTAGTTACCTAAGAGTATCATGAGCTCTGGGTTCATCACGGTGTATCAACAACTTAGGAAACAGGAGAGCATCTGAAGGAGATGCAGGCCGATTAGACTCGTGGATGGGCGATTTCCCCACCATCGCTGCCGGCGATCCTTGATCAGATAATATGAACTCCCCTCGGCAAGGTTGCTGAGGGTGTCCAAAACAGCCGGAGGATTCCAGTTTTGGTTCCGTATCTGAAGCCTCGGGGGACCCATCCCCGTTATACATATCGCAAAACGTAGAAGTTGACGAGATCCGAGAGTGTTGAGGCGTCGACGAAGAATAGCATGAAGATGTGCTGCTTTGACTATCTGAATATTTGTGTTTTGGGGACCGACGAGTACCCAGATATTCCGTTCTGAGAGCCAGTTGTTGAGCTGACCTTACCGGCAACGAGAGGGTGTAAGGTGGCGATATCCCGCAAGTGTCCGTGTCCAACAGCTTCTTGCTGCCGATAGCAGAATTTTCACCAAGTGTTCCTTCTGGCCACCAAGACAATGGTCCAGTAATTGATGGTGTTAACTCTCCTCCATCTCCACCTCCAGGCGCAACTTGTATTGTGCCTGAAGTTGGTCCTCCAATATTGGCCGCGGCAAGCTTTGCCGAAGGTTCATTGAGCATAGTGGTTATATCCATGGAGCTATGCTACTTCCTAAGGTGGTGAGTATAGGGATTCTGTATTGTTCTCGGTTGAGAGCGACCTTTCTTTTTTAAAAGGTAAGTTCATGAATCAATGACAACCCTGAGCTCTGACAAGCAGACGGGTGAAAGTGTTGGTGTTGGGGGTCCTATTGACCAAGCTAATGACCTTGGAGCGCGCGATAGTAATGGGTATTTGGGGGTAGAGCTCTTCCTGGTTGGTATCTGTATATACCCCCGAAAGCTCGGCGCCTCGGCGCGGTCGATCTCAAGGACACGATGATGTGCTCTGCCGTTTATGCTTGAGACGCCGATCCAGACACAGGTTCGTTTCGATCCGCGAGGTACCTAACGGCGCGGCCGCCGTCCAAGGGGAGTGTTGGTATGGGGTATGATGTCAAGCCGAGTAATCCGATGAAACTTGGGTTGACTTAGGTCAGACGACCAGGCAAGAGGAGCTTGTGTGGCATATAGGGTGTGAAGGACAGATAAGAACAAGAGGATAGGTAGTAGTTGAGATGAGAGGTATGGGGTATGTGCGGGATGGCAGTGAGGCAATCCAGCGCATTTAAGGGGACAAAAACTGAAAACCACAAGTGTTTGAAGCAGTTTGATACAGGGTATAGTAAGGAGGAGAGCCGAACTCTTATCCTTTCTTCGGAAGAAGCATACTGAACCCTTGTGACCTGAAGACAAGAGAATCTCGTGGCTTCGGAGCTGTCATGGAAACGTTCAACAACAACGAAAGGACATGAGGGAACTAGATAACGGCAGAACATGACGTCTTGGTATACTAGCACACACAACTCCTAGTTAGGTAACCTGACGCACCTACTCCTCGCACAATCCTCAGATAGCGAGCGTACTCCAGACGTACTGTCCTGGGCCGTTGAACTCAAGGTATGGTATGGGGTTGTGGGGTCCAAATGCACAGCGGTGAAGGTCGCACCAGGGAGGGAACGCATGCGCCGCCGCACAAAGGGTTTGGCCGCATCTACACCACCCACCTGGGGGACGGGATATCATAAAACCTGGGATAGTGTCCCCTCCCTCTCCCTACACCTACTACATGTACACGACACGACTGCATAGGTACACTGGACGGTGTAAGTGGGTGACCGTTCAAGGGAAGAGGTCTGATTCCGATGCCAACAAGGGTGTCCCTGGTCTGCCCCGTGCCTGGGGGTGTCTGTCTACCCCTAGTAAGAGCTGGCTTTGCGAGCTACAGATTCGGCTCCTACATACTTAGTACGTGTAGATAGGATGAGCCTCCAGGACGCCATCGCTGGCGATGCGGCTTTTTCCGGTGTCGTGTCGTGTCGTGTCGTGTCGTGACGGCAAAGCCCGCCTATATCCAAGGGTTCTTCCCACCCGATACTGGGGCCGAGGAGGAGCACGTAGGCGAGCAACAGCTTCCATCTACATAGGGAGGTGGTAGGTAGGTAGGTATGCACATTGTGGCTACACGTACGTAGTAGACTGCCATCGCGGCAGTACATGAGTAGCAGTGTAGTTTACATGGACGGGAAATTCTCAAACTGCCCCTTGATGATCGCCCCAGGGGTGGGTTTAAACAGACCTAACCTGGTATAGTCGACCCGGCCGCGCGATTGTCTAAGCACACAGCCGGGTGGGCATACATCTTAGAAACCCAGGATAGCCCTTTGATGGCAGTCTCCAGGTTACTTACAAGACACTGCTTTATTAAACATGCTGTTTTGTTTCTGGTGAGTGAAGAGCGAACATCACCAGGCTGGCTTCTAGCTTGGCGATGGGTCACAAATTAAGCCTGCCTACCGTAATTGTCAAGAGATACGCTATTGTGGACACTGCTCTCCTTGTCCGTCAGCCCTACCATTACCTACACCCATCATAAGTAGACTTCAAGGCATACTTAGTGAGGAAAGAAGAAACAATGGCTGTTGGAAACCTACAACTATTAAGATTACCATGTTGCAGCTCTATTCTTCCCCCCCCGAGAGGAAATATCTAACCTGCCTAGTGCAGTGCCCTCGACATCGCCAGTTTCCCTAAACGGAAGTTTCTGCCATCAGGATATCTCGGCTTTGGTGAGAAACAGACGGGATCGTCCGAGCGACAGCACAGAAGGTTTTAGTTATTCCGTATACTTCGAAGCTTACTATAGGTGGGTAGTAGGTTAATAGTTAAACACACTTAAACACACTTACACACACACTAGTAGTGTAGAGGAAACGAGAGCAAAGGAAAGGAAGAAAGACAGATTGCCATGTCAATGTCATGCAGAGGGGCGGATGATGTGCAACAGTTCCTCCTGGGTTCCAAACCCAGAGAAGCTCGCCTGGCATTGATGCGCAACATCCATCTAGCCCATCTAACCCATCTAACCCAACGGACTGTTAGTGTAGATGAGGAGGAAACTGGGTGATCGACAAGCTGAGACCCGGGCTGTTTGCTGAAACAGGCACGCTGCACGAGACAGGCCTGGTCCATGTTTGATGCCCTACGACAGGCAGTGTACTGACTAAGTCCATCAGACAGAACCACCGACGGGAATTCCAATCCCAAATCGAAAGCTACCAGATCCGATGGCATTTTTTTTGATGGCATCTGATGAAAGTCGGACATGGCCATCTGTAACCGGATATCCCTGGGATGGGGGAGGGCGGGCAGACAAGACGATGGCGCGGGACGTACCGAGCCTACTGGCAGTTGTATCAGGGGTGTCCAAGTTCGGTAGGCAGGTGTCTTATCTACGATTCTCTCTCGACGCGCAAATTGAAAGAGAGGCAAAAGACTAGGTACATAGATGCGCGGACTACTATGTATAGAATGTTCTATGTACCTACCTACATTCCGAACCATTCAGCTTCTTAATAACCGAGTACACATACATATGATACACCTAGGGAATAAGTATTACGCGCTGTACACCGTCTCAGCATCCAAAGAGTATAATTCACGTGGACACAGTCGCTACCTGAAATAAAGTACGATATACTATAAGTACGGACTCGAATACGGTGAGAGCAGAGGCCGACGACCGGGTGAGGAGGTGTTACACGGGGGCCGGGACGGGCGACATGAACAGCAACAGCAAACAATCACCTACATAGTATCTGCCTAGGTAGGTGTCTAAGTAGGTACCTATGTTGTTTTCAAGGGTGAGAGTGAGTTGAAGGAATAAAAGGCCCAAGAAGAGGAACTTTGATTCTTGAGGTTTGGTCTCATCAAGAATGCTTACATACCTAGGTATGTCAGTACTAGAGACCTAGGTAGGTACCTAGATACCCTGTAATGGGCCTAGAATAGGCCTGGAATAGGCAGGCTGGCGGTGGCTGCAGGCGTAAATGCACGTCGTGCGTGTATTTACCCACTGTAAATGTAGGTATAAGTGTTAGGGGCTCCCTCGCCAAATGCGATTGGGTCATCGAAACAACCCCTGTTATCGTTCGTCGTTGCAACCTCTCTACTAGTCCCTACGGACATTATGCCTCACGGACTGGACTGCTGTTACTGGGCAGATCTGAGCATCGAGTTGAATTGGCACGGCCTGTGACAACGAAGCTGGCTTGGACGTTGGACGAGAGGCATGATGATGCTACTGATAGAGCGTATAGTACGTCTGACACGTCTGACAGCCTGTAGGTAGTGCAAGTATACCCTCCCCTCTATCCAGCTCCCTCTAGAACCCGTGATCAATGCATACTGCGACTCGCAACGTGCTCAACAGAACGGGACAGCACAGGATAAGCGATTCATTTAATATTATCGCTGCGGAGTCGTGCGGTCCGGTGCGGTGCGGGCCAGCGCGGTCCAGCGAGCGCAGACCCAGTACGGTCGTGGGCGCTTCTGGTCGGTCTCTTGATCCGTGTTTCACTCGAGGCGTGTCGAGATTGTCGCAGAACGGCGCAGAAGCACGTGCTGAATGTGGCGATGCCTACACATCTCCATGGCCAACACGGACGCCACGATGCAAGTGTGGGAGAGTGTGCAAACCCGTTTCATGCCACACGACGCTACCTACCTACCTACATGTACAGGATGTAGGTATTGTCGAGGCCTGACCCTTTTCGGCGCATGAGATGCTGCCGTCGTCAGGTCGGCCGCCCGGCACCATCTTGGCGCATTCTTGGAACCCCAGGAACGTGTAGAAGCCGCTGACGCTGCGCCTCCAGGGGGTGTCAGCCAGCCGGGCCTGTGGGTTAGCCAATCGGTTTGGTTCAATATCGGCAGTGCCTATTATCTGCCTGCGATCTAACCTACCAGTAATTACCCATGTATCTTTCCCCTACTCTGCTTTGGTGGAAAGGCACGAGCATGGGTCGTGAACATCAAGTAAATCCATCTCGGAATTCTATACATTCGCGAACCACATTCCCAACAGAGCGTGTAACCAAGACCGTCCGCCGCCTCCTTACCTATTCCACGACTTTCTTTTTTCTCGATTCGAGAAATCCCTGGTGACGGATGTTACGCTACGAGTCATGGATTTCTGCAATCTGTTTGCAGGGTCCTGGAGACGTGATCCAACTTCAAACCTGACCTGGCGAGTAGCCAAATGGCCGTCGCTGTTGCACCAAGGGGCCCAGAAGGGGTCTCATGAATACAAGTAGGCCTTGGCACTGAGATACCTCACACGAGCGCTCTATCTAAATCCTGAGCCATTTCGTATCCAGTGGCCATCCTACCAAGTTTCATTATTAGCCTAGCATTTGTCGCTCCTTGTCGAGCCTCTCCTGCGGCTCGAAAATCCGATTTCCCAAACTCCTGTCAAGTTCTCCGTATTAGTCACAGACGTAAATTTTCTTCCTGTATAGTTTCAGCTATCTCAGCTCACATACAATCTGAAGGGATCTACGAGCTACATGCCCTGTCCCAGTAGGGCTAGTGTTGCAACTCTAGAGAGTGTGTGCTCGGAAGCTATCTCCCGAAAGGAGATACCTAGGCCCGCTTTGAAGGGCGAGAGTTTAGAGATCTAGCCTGCAAGGTCATGATCCATCTTCAGTGGATGTAAATCCTACAAACTGGGGATTCAACGATATTCCTGCCTTTGATGTCACCCAGCTGATCTCTAAAATGAGACTGCAACACACACTTGTATAACTCATAGACGAGACAGCGGGGTAAACATCTGTCAACGAACCTGCGACAAACTATATTCTATCTCGTAAATTAGTTGATGTATGCAGCTGACCAGGACCCTCAAAGAAGGGGTGTGTGAGGGATACTTGTCGTTGCGTAAAGGCCCTTGGTTCCTACTTGTCTAAAGATCTTGTACGGATACAGGTCAACTTATTTGCTCTCTGTAAAGATTGTGATACTGATCGCGGGTAGTTTTCACCGGTATCGGGATGGGTATTCATTATGGATTGCAAGCAGGTTGCTAGTAGCATAGGATCACATGCTACCAGCTCCTACAAGCCACCTCTTCCGTTCTCATATAACTACAAATGAGGAAGAAATTCTTAGCTATGATTAAACGTACATGAAAAATAAATGTGGCAAGCTATCGAACACTCTTTTCACGTCACACTAGTATAATTGGACTAGCAAAAAAGGAACACGTTCTAAACTCGCTGCATTTTATTCATGGTCTATAAATATTCTAATTAATATCCTAGCGGGATAGTTCGTATGTTCATAGTCTCACCACAGCAAGAAGATTTTAGTATAGACTTACTACTATTTAGCACGTTTAAATTACGTTGTAGTACTCCCTGTGGACTGGACTTGAACCATTCATTCATCTCTTATCAATTCCTGTCGATATAGCTTTATTATTTGCAACAGTCGAAACTTTGCTCCCGGCGTATTATTACGAGCCGAGACCTGTGATATGTCCATACTAGAGCTCATCATAGCACTGCCCTTAGGAATATTACAACCAGCACGTCTCACTACTGTTAGATGTAGACTAAGTAAGCGTCATACTCGAGTCTTCTGCCACCACCATGCACCACTTGTAGCGATTGTTGCCATGCCACACACCTACTCGCCAAGAATTCTGCCTCACTTTGTTGCCTTGCTACTATGTTGCACCGGTCCGGTCTTAATTCCAAATTACACTTGTGTATATCTACCCAAAGTGGCCTTAACTATCTGGCATTTGTCAATCCATTAATTTTCATCCTTACCATTCACCACTATGTCACGCGGCCTTACTGTCCGCCGTGAGATCTCCCTTACCTTGACTATTACATGCAATCTTAACGCAATGAGAACTTTGTCACTGGAGTGATGCGGCGAGCTCAATACAAGCAATATTAAAGTCTAGATATCGTACCCTAGCGTCACAGGAACAGCAAAATTCGAGATAACGACGATGACAAATATTGAAGGACTACACCGCAAGGGGCCCTATAACCTAGTCGTGTTGGTTAATAGGACAGGGTGGATTTGGATCCGTTTCCTTGCGGAACATCTGGCTCGTCATGTTCCACGAGCTAGTCCATCTTGACAGCCCTCCGAATTCGCTGCTAAGATGACAAGCCGTTGAACTCCTGGTGCTCAAGCTATAGCCACGTCACAACCGAGGCTTTCACTTGTTTTTTTCTTCTTCTCCCCACATGCCAGCTATAATCAAATCATCTGAAGAATCTTACGTCACTGTCTCTAGTCCCTAAGAAGAGCTTATTTTGACGTTCTTATACAATCATTGTTCTTATTTTTCCGAGTTTCACAATGCACAGGCTAAGGTAGCAGCGCTATGGCCGACTGACAGACGGTTTAATGCTCAACACTTCTTGTTACACTATCTAATTACCCGTTTAGAAAACACCACCCTGTTACACACAGTCAGTCACCCTTTCACCGTCCACTAGGACTTGTGCACAGGGAAACGGCGGGTGGTAGGACACGCATGCATGTACGCACACGCCTAGCAAGAAAATCTCCGAAAAGTGCACAGTTTGACGCACCATCTGAGGCGAAGACGGTGCCTGCTGTACATCCTACCGGTGTGTTATTCAGCCACGTCATCTGATGTCCTGGCCTCCTACAGCGTGGGGGAGAGGCTTCTCGATCAGCAACCAAGACAAATAATGGCGTAGATCGGAGTGATCATTTTAAGTCAAGAGTGTGAAGGGACGAAAATGAGCTGGCTATCTCGGCACAACTACAATACACTCCCTAGACCATAATGTACTGACTGAAAATAATGAATTGAGTTAGTATGGTGTGGTTGATGTAATGGCACTGCCAAGGCAGTTACTTTCTAGTCAAGCGACACAGTTCGATAATACTTGGACGGCAAGCTGCACTTTCCGTGTCGATGTTCATCCCTCGTACACAACTCTACTCCTACTACTAGAAAAGGGGAGAGGGGAACAATTTCTAAGCACTCGCTAACCGTTGTTGACCTACCTACTCCTTAAGATCAGTCTGGTGCTCCCTACTCTTAGCAACCCCTTCAGAGAAACCGAGGGATAGTTCACTGGGAGAGAAGGGGGGTAGGGTGTGTGCAGAGTGACAAATCGATGGGCAAATGCATGTAGCCTTCTCGGAGATTTGGTGGAACAGCTCGGGATCCAGCAGATGCCATTCAAATGTTTGACTCTGTACGCCCCAGACCACGATGATGTATCGCCCTCATAAGTCAGACACTTGTACACCACAGCGGCCACGGAGGTTGTGACTCTGTCGCCCATCCAGTGGCTCAGTACTCATCTAGCTCGTCGTTGTCAGGGCTCCCACTACGCAGCCGAGGGGGAAAAACAGGCAGCTACCTAGGTAGACGGGAGTCATTGTTACCTAGAAGACATCAGTCCAGTCCCTAGGGGACGAGGCACAATTCTATCACGGGACAGGATTAATTCGCTGACGATAAGCCGCGCTTCCAGAGCGTAGTGACTGAAACAATGCGAGGGGGGTACACTGGAAGCCGCGGTCGAAAGGCTATCACATGCTCGCTGCCGCCAACGAGCTGTACGGGCCCTTCTATCCTGACAGCGAGGTCTCACGCCGAGAATACGGGGGGTGTAGTTTGCCGGTCCTAACTGTCAGACGGTCAAGCAGTCAAGTGTTGCAGGAATCGTATATGCCAGGGAATGTTTGAACACAGCTTTCAAGGCGCACCACGCCAGCGCAAGAAGGCTACATGCATTGCGAGCAGGGCAAAGGAGTTGACTGATTAGCTGATTGTCTTCTGGGCAGCCGCCTAAGCTTCCTCTTCGCACGGCAGAAAAGGTGATTGATTGCCTAGGTATAGGATGCCGGTGGCAACCCGTCGCAGAGGGGGTTCTGCGGAAATACGCTGCCGTGCGCACCGACTGAGTTCAGATCACTTGGCCGGATGCTACTCAACGCCTCGTTTGGACAATGCTCTACCTGCTCACGCTAGATCGATCGATCTACGCTGCAGGCTTGTTGGACAAAGAGCTATCTGCTGCTCCTTACCTAAGTAATTGGCGGGATAATCCGCGTGCATGGCTGCCTGCGAATTATACTTAGGAGAGCAGATCGGATTGCTAAAGCCACTCTCATCAGAGGATGCACGGTGTCTCGGTGGACCAAAGCGATACCGAAGGTTGAGTCAGGATAAGTGCAAAACGTCATGGTCAACGCACAACAATGTCCATTGTACATGTGGTCAGACTAGTAGAATGAGGTGAACGCGCTTTAGAAGCTGCAATTTCTAGTAGGATTCGTTCGTCCGGGAATTGTAATGCCAAGCTGGCTAACTTGGGGCCTTCATAGTAGCTTTTGAGATGCTTACAAATTTTCGTCCGTTTACTCGGCCGAATTTCATCCGAAGGGCTTGGCGTCAGCTCTCAGGGTCTTTTGACGATCTCACTATCAATGATCCGCTGGCTGTACGGGATATTGGTGTTTCTGGGTATTGATTGCTCTTGTGATTTCTATTCTCTAGTAGTGTCTAGGCAAAAACCTCACCTTCAGCGTCTGTCGTGGAATGCTGATATCACCCCTAGCAGTAGCTGTGTTGATACTAGGCTAAACCTAGAGACGAAGGCGAGAGTCTTGGATTGAGAACTTTATCGCAATCATTTCTACAAAGCCAAGCCTTCATTTAGTTCCCAATTGGGTTGCATTTGAAATGGAAAAGAAGAAGGACCTCCCTATTCGCGATGCAGCTGCGCCTGAACCGAAGCGTAGGCGAGTGCGTAAAGGAACCCGGAGTTGCTGGGAATGTAAGTTAAGAATCCCTTTCTGCTAACAAAAGAGCGCGTCTTTTAATATGACATCCAATGAACAGGTAGAAGGCGCAAGATTCGCTGTATATTTCCTTCAGAAGACTCCTCAACATGTGCCAATTGCGAAACGCGCGGCACTAGTTGCGTGAGCCAGGTGAGTCCTCTGTGATCATTCATTTTACGTCCATGCACGATCAGAAGCTCGTTATTGCCATCTTATCCCATGAAATGGTTAAGGTGAATTCTCGCTCCGCTCTGGCCCGTGATTGCTGACACAAGCATGTAAATAAAGGAATTTGCAGATGAGCCAGCTTCAGCACCGAATCAACGGGTAACGCAGCGCCTGGGGCGCGTTGAAGAAATGTTGGAGCAGTTGATTGAAAAGATAATGCCTGATTCTTATACCCCGGGTAGTCGAGGACGGTCGACGGATTCTTCGCCCGCTTCGGCCGACGCTACTGAGCTCGAGCCGGTCGACAGTGGATGTCCCTACTCAGGTGGCAACCCTCCCATATGTGACGTCCTTACGCCTCTTAGAGACACTAACAATGGGACCTCCTGTTCTGGTAACCTCCCAACACCAGAATCAAGTCAGTATGGGGGGTCTGCTCTAGGGAAGAAATACACAGATCTCTCGAAAACATTACACGACTTGTTGCCATGCCAGCAAGATCTCCAGGCTATTGTCGAGGCAAGTCCAGGGGTGAATTTTGTGATTAGCTTCTTCTCCCGTTATCGGGATGTTGTTGCTGGACAGACAGAGAAACCCTCGATCCTATGCAAAAACCCGCCATCATCTTCACACCCGGTCGTACTAGCGAAGCGACTGATGCAAATTGCGACATGTCTTCAGCAAATCCAGCCGGCAACGCCTATTAAACTTGTGGCGGCAGAGCCCATCCAGAGTCTGAGTCGCAGATATGTCTCTGCTGTCTCCAGTCTAGTGGCCTACAACGATGAACTTGTCGGGTATGCGGAAGGGCTGGAGACTTTGGCTTTGCTCGCACTATACCATGCAAATATCGGCAATCTACGCAAGTCATGGCTCATGCTCCGTCGCACATTATCCATAGCTCAGCTCATGGGCGTCGATAGATGGGGTGACAGACCACTACGGTCTGCAGATCCAACATCTAATCCTGCGACCCGAATCAAGGCAAGGGCATTCTGGTTCCGACTTAACTTTACGGACCGGTATTTGTCTCTGGTCTTAGGTCTCCCAGCTGGCACGGACGATAATTCTTTTTTGGCCGACGATCCTGATGATGAGCCGACGGATAGGTTAGAAAAACAGCACACCGTCGTCATGGGTGCTATTATCAAGCGCAACACCAGCAGCAACAAAGGGGACACGTGTTTTACCACGACGCAAGAGATCGATTGTAATCTCGAAGCAGCAGTACGCAGCGTCGCCCCTGACTTTTGGCAATTCCCATCCGGTAGCACTCTAGAGCATCCAGACCTCGCAGTGCGATTGAGCGCCAGTAAGTGATATTCAAAGCCTTATCCATTTCCCCTCGATTACCGCTATCACCAATTCTGCTTGGCAGAACCCAAGAATGCTCTAGAAGCTTTGCGCTTCTAGTAACTCGAATAGTTTTATAATAATAGCAATAACTGATTTAAATACTACAGCGACGCGACTGATGCTGCATATGAACCACCACAACCTTCTCATCCTCCTACATCTCCCTTATATGCTGCGCGATCCGAAAGAAAGGCGCTGGGACTATAGTAAGGAGACTTGCATAGGCTCATCGCGCAAGTTGTTAAAAACGTTTCTGGTGTTTCGCAACATGAATAAAGCATCGCACGCGTGTCGACACACAGATTACGGAGCTCTCACAGCATCTATGACTTTACTTCTAGGGTATTTGGATCCAAAGATGCAAGCCCGTGACCAGCATACAACCTCAAGGCGTGAAGCGGACCGCAAATTGATTCAAGACGCGCGCAATAGTCTCTTGCGTATGGCTGACTTGAACGACGATAAGCTTGCGCGAGACGCTGCCTCCATAATCGCCCGCCTCCTGCCCCTACTGAACCCAGACCTCATGACAAGTGGCAGTCAAAACCAAGGAGGGAGTCACGATAGTGTGGGCGAAGCCGCAGCAATTCACCTCGATATCCCGTATCTGGGAATAATCAACATTAATCCCGCGGCCCATGCCAACAGTGGACAGCATGATATACAACCACACATTTATGCGACGTCCACTAATAGTCTCAACACCGATACACCCGACACACCGGCTAGTACCACTACGGCTTCTACGAAGACACACCAACAGGACTATGTAAAGTTTCCTGCACATACCTCGCTGTCTCATGTATCCCAGCCATCTTCAGCAGAATGGAGTGTGCCAGCGAACCAACAGCACTTCACACTCCCTGGAGGAGATCAGGAAGAGGTGTCCCACATGTTATCGTTCTCGAGGGATTACAATAATACTCCAAACGAGTACGACTACAATGGCCTCACGGCACCCATGATGCAATTCGAATGGTCACAGGCGCAGCTCGCCCACCCAGAGCTAACAGCTGAGGCAGACGAGTGGACGTTTCAGGGCTTCGACACTACATATTTTGAAAGTCTGTTTTCATCCAATGCACAGGGGCTATGGGACATCTCTAAGACATGAGAATTAAGGATGTAGTGTTGGCGTCTGTAACGCGATATGTACGAGTATGGTGTATGAAAAGCTTATGATCGTGGTTTCAAGTGTATGCTACTCTTTCACGTCTTGTACTTTATTTTGAAATGTTTTGTCATAACGACGTCACTATGTACATTATACCAGAATACCCCGTTGCCATGTAAGAACGTTATGATTGGGAAGGCAGGGATCGATGTGAGGCTAAATTTGATCGAAGGTGGCAAGATCATAGCGTTAAGATGACAGCCCCTTTCCTGTGGTGCACAGGCCTGGGCCTTGGCCCCTTCTTCAGCGCTAGAATTCTCGCAGCAGCATTCTCTGATGCCGTTACGATCATTGCGGAGGGGTTCGCTGTAACCATGCCTGGGAATATCGACCCGTCGACGACGAAGAGGTTGTCCGTGCCGTATACCTTGGTGTTTAGATCCACGACAGCTGTACCGTTTGCTTTTCGCCCGTCATCCAGACCCATCTTATTCGTGCCTATGAAAATCACAAAAGTCAGCCATCGAGAGCATCGTTTTCTTTGCGTGCTTCTGGGTAGTAATAGGAGACAAGGATAGTTAGTTACCTAGCCAGTGGTTTGCTCGGCGCTTGGCAGCGCTCACCACAATCCCATCAACGTAATCCTTCACGGTCTGGTTCATGGGCGGGAATGCGAATTTAAGGTTGGGATATTTCGATAGCCCCTTACGGAGGTTATCGATGCTCGTGATGATGGCAAGCTTGTCGTTTTCGTCCTTGAGGTATGGCGGGTCTGAAACGAAGGTATCTAGTCCCTGCCGAATGGTCATGCGTCCGCGCGAGGTAGAACCGCGGCCGAGGTACTGGCTCATGATCATAGTACCTGCTTGCGATTAGTATATTATATCAATGGCACTGTCTGGATGCGTTGAGCTCACTATTGCTGCCCGTTTGGTCGGCTCCTTCAATACGCGCCGTCCATTGGAACTGGCGCACTTTGCCATCTGGTCCAGTAACCTCTTCCCAGAACTGAACCCTAGAATTAGCTTCCTGAGAAATGATAGTTTGACGTATGACTACGTACTACTGGTCCGATGTTCGGTGCGGATTGCGCAAGGATACCGGTCCGTTTTTCTAACACATATTAGAACAACCCGCGCCAATATCTTTGACCTCAACTCACGAAGGTACGCTGATCGATCCGAAGGAATCGGCTTGGTCCAAGCTTCGTAGAAATCGTAGAAGATAACGTCGGGGTGGGTGATAAAGGTATCGGTCTGCTAAGTTAGAGAATGTAAGAAAAAGGGACTTGTCTCGGGTATTCTCACATTGACATGGTCAACCAAGTTATAGCCAACTGGTAGGTTAATCCAAGAATCTTTTGCAATCATATTGGGACCGTCTTTCGAAGATTTGACGATTTCTAATTGGTCTTGTGGGCCGATTCCACCTGGTACCGGTTAACAGTGATTTCTGGAGCTGGAAAGGGGGGGGATTCCTTACTTCGCATCAAAAACTTGGCTGAGCCGAAAGTTCCGGCAGATACGATCACACGCCCAGTCTTAGGTGTAACGGAGACTGTGCCATATTGACCATTTGCGACTGTGCAGTCGAGCTCAACACCAGTTACCGTTCCACTAGTTCGGAGTGCGCGGCGAGCTGGGGTGTTCATCCACAACTGGAAGTTGTCTCTTGCAGCAGCCGTCTTGAGATAGGTAGCCATCGGTCCTGATCGCTCGCCTCCGGCGAACATGTACGTCGTTGGACTATATGTGTGGTTTTTAGCGCCAGGAGAGTTGTTCGGGATGTCGACTCCGGTCCAACCACCTTGCTTCAATGCTGCACTGAGAAGATTTACGCCCTGTGCGAAATATACTTTGCTGTCCATCGATGGTTTAGTCGTTCCAGGAATACGTTGGAAGACCTTTTGTGTTGCAGCTTTAAGATCCGCATCGTGCCATCCTGCGGGAAAATTTTCATCCCAATCCTTCGGGTTGGCCTGTATCGCATTAGTTACGAGCACAGTCCCTTATTCATTACTCAATGGATGAAAACTGGTTCGGAGGTAGTTTACCTTCCACCATAGCCCAGCGTTCACAGCAGTGCCACCTCCAAGAACGCAACCAGCCATTTGATCTGTGTCTTTGCACGCCACGCCTGCTGAGTCGACCCAGATTTGGTTACACAAGCCAGGAACATCGAATCGAGTAAGATCTGTCTTCTCCAGCCAAAGTGGCTTCATATTGCCACCCCACATACCCAGCGATGGAGGGCCTTTCTCGAGAAGTAGCACGCTGTGGCCCTTTTCACTGAGGCGATCGGCCACTGGAATACCGCCAGCACCACCACCAACAATGATATAATCGAATGTTTGATTAGCCATCTCTGGGTGGCAAGTTGCAACTGGATCAGGAGTCGGACTACCAGGGTCCGTTGTACCGCAATCCCCAGGGACTACCTTCGTTGCCAACCTAGCCCATGCAGCATATGAGTCTTTCACGGTTGTTGCTAAGGGTGCTCCAAATTGACCAAAAGTGTCGTGTTGTCCGTAGGCGATCTTAGAAGGGCATGAAGGGTTAGATGGCACCGACTTTGCAGAAGCACGTCCAAGAACGAGAAACCCTGAACTTGTTGAAACACCTCCTGTTGCTCCGTCATGATCCCAAGAGAAACAGTCTTGGCATCGGTATATGAGCTCAAAGCCAGTGTCAGTAACCTTTGATGAGATTTGTGTTAGGTTGGCTGAGCCCTTGTACTCTTCAGGGAAGTTATATCCTGTCGCGAAACGGAAAGATGTTAAGACCTCATCTCCGTTGACCCAGGCAACCAACAGAAGCGCCTGAGTCATTTGCCCAGATTGTCCGAGAGAGAGACCGCACCAGCCCGTTGAACATTTCTATGATACGTTCAGCTTACACTTGCATGTAACCTCGTGGTAACTGGGTTAACGTACAAGATAGCCAACAAACTCTGTCGCGTCGGTCGTCAAAGCATCACTGGGGAGCGACAAGCCGATAGTCATATCCCCCTGTTGCCATGTTCCGAATTCTATCTTCGAATCGGGGTCGGTATATGAGACAGGATCCTGGGCGAGACATGTTCGAATTGCTAGGGACAGTCAGTACCACTCTAATTTGGCAGGCATTTCCCACTTACTAGCAGCGGCTGCTAGAACAGCAGTCGCTATGCGTGAAACACTCGGCATCGTGAGGCACGTCAGGAAACGTCCAATATCATAACATAGACAAACCGCATACTCTACCACAGGAGGAGGTGGCTTATCACCTATTTAATACAGTCTCAGCTCCCCACTGATGGAGGCTGAATTCGTCCCGTGGTTCCGGGGAAACCTACAGGGTCAAACCGCATCCTAGGTAATACAGCAGACAGAGTCTATAAGATACAAGACATGGGCTTGAGTCGGAAGCTTGAGCCGTACAACTGAGTGGCTTACTCTGTGGCCCGCATGAGGTTTACTAATTTACTATCCGGTAAGAAAGAAGGCAGATAGAGTTGATCAAGTTGATTAATGGCGGAGCAGATCTACGAGACATCCGACTGGTCAGAACAAGCGACAGCCGCTTGAGGCTGTCAGTAATAATTCGGACAATATCACGAGTCAAATGAAGCTCGGAGCTAAAGCCACTCAGTATCTTCGACTTATGCGCTTCAACCAAATTCGATTTCCTCATTATGAAAATTCGCATATACCTGGGTTCCCGCTATGCTATGACGCGTTTCAATTTCCAAGCCGATATACTCAATCTGAATTCATTTCGTCCGAGATATCTCAATTGTTACAAGCTGATGGTAAAGTGTATCGTAGCAGGGTCGCTGCGGGAGATTGACCGGGGTAAGTCTACTATATCCTACTAGAACGTGTAAATAAGGATTGGGGAAATGTGGAAAATTTGGAGATTTACACGCTGCAAGAGGGAATCCGGCTGAATAGTGCTACCTAGCGACTACTTTACATCTTGAATTGTACAAGGGGCTGCATACAATCCCCCATGTGCAAGGGTTCCCCGCAGACTTAGCCACTTTGAAGAACGATCCGAATCGACGAGATGCTCCCCCTATAGATGCCACAGAGTCTGAGATCGGGCGATTTGGCAGGAGAAGATACCACGGACAATTAGTTTTCCGTGGGCAATACAAGATTTTAGGTAATGTCTTACGCATGATAGGGAGTCTCTCGGACAGATAAGTCTGAGGACCCCATCTTGGCAGTTGAAACCTCCAGTTGATTGACGCATGATCTGGATAAATGTGGACAGGACAAGTTCTTAATTAAACGTTTTAATCTTCTCAGCCTATATGCGGAGATGTCCCTCCTTTGTTTCTCTTTCGGCAACCCCCGTAGTAGATCTGTTATCAGTAGCGCAAGAAACGGTTTCCTCATCTCTGCTCATCCATACTACTAACTTTGATACGCCCGAAGATCTCACATGATATCACGAGGTAACCGATCGGCTTCTAGGGCCGAAAGGGCATCGCTCTCATATGCACTTCAATATTGAAGCCCTTCACCGCTACTATGTACGTACCTGAAATTTCTAGGAGAAGAGTTTACTGCAGTTAGTCTCCACGAAGGTTTTGTAGATGATTGATTGCTGTCTAAATAGCTTCGTGAATGCTTACTCCGCTCACATAGGCTGCCGCTAGTCTACGGTTACTAGCAGCCTCATAATGTCACTACTACGTATCATCTTCATTCTAATGCTACGATCAACGGTACCTAAGGATTCATTTACTACATATATTTCAATTAACACTCCCCAATCTCAAGAATGCAACATGTAATACAGCACACCATGTCTTTCAAGTGAACCCACAAACAAGCGCGTTGATCAGAATTAGCGAAAGATGTATTGGGTATTATGTGAGCATACAATTATCATTATCTTTTCCTAATAATTATTTCGTCTAATTAGGATATGTTGTTACATTTTATGTTTATGGCCTTGCGACGCCCATTCATCTTATATTTTCATCTGGTTGTTATTAATCTCCCCAGGCGCCGTTACATACTTGGATGTGAGCGGTCAATAGAAGTCAGTGATTTTTAACACCGGAATCGGAAGATGCAACAATATGCTAGACAGAGTCTTGTTTACGTACCGGGTACTCCATACTCGCATGCCGTATATTAGTTTCAGGGTTAGGGGATCATGTATGCATGCACGGATAGAGTTCGCGACAAAGAGCTGGGGTAATGTATATTATACATCAATATATGGCCATCTCGTGACCTTACCCATGGTTTCGCGTCCATCTCAAGGCATTTTCGTATAAGTACTCCATCCAACTCAGTGCCGATTGGGACTTACGGAGTCTGGCCGACTTTAGCTTGCCGGGCGACTGAATACTTAGATATCCACTGCCGTCCAGCACAGACCTATGTCGTATAGAAAGATCTAGATGGCCGCATGATCTTATGAGCGGTATACCAGGCGCCGAGAACTGCCGATTTTGTCATATATATATCGTTATCAGATAGTGTGGTGTAATATAAGACTTGCTAGCAATGAAAAGAATATATACTCTCAGCTCCGACGTTAGCCAATTTCTACCAAACTGTGATCGACAGAGTCTACGATTCAACAGTGAAATTACGTACCTTGTGCAAAATGATGGCCTTCTTCAAGTCTATTGCTGTAGTAGCACTAGCTGCTCAGAGTGTCTCAGGCCATTACATATTTCAAGCTCTTGCGAAAGGCGCCAACACTAAAGGCACGCCTTATCAGTATGTGCGTCACAATACTAATATGAACTCTCCTGTAACTGGTAAGCCAATATGACTAGCTTCTAGAGGCGCAAGCTTATCGATGATATCAAGATCTCTCGTCAAATGACCTTCGGTGTAATGCCGGAGGTGCCACCGGGGGGAGCACCAGTACTTTGGCATTGAATGCTGGCGACACATTCACTTTTAGTCTTGACCAGGCTGTATATCATCAGGGTCCAGTCTCGCTGTGAGTCGTCAGCCATTGCGTGACGAGCGATGTGAACGTGCCGTGCTAATAGTATTTCAGCTACATGTCAAAGGCCCCTAGCACTGCTGCTGCTGCGGACGGAAGCGGAGATTGGTTCAAGATTTATGATTGGGGTACATTACCTCGCCCAAAGACTTTCTTGATAGATTGTCGCTAACGACTCAATTGACAGGCCCGAACTTCTCCGGCGGCCAAGCGCAATGGACTATGACAGGTAGGCGGATTATACGAAGTTAACAGACTTGGATAGAGAGTGCTCTGACACATAGTTAGGCACATACACTGGCACGATCCCCAGATGCATCCCCAGCGGCGAGTACCTTCTACGTATCCAGTCGCTAGCAATTCATAACCCTGGAGCCACTCCGCAGTGGTATGTCAGCTGTGGCCAGATCAAAGTTTCTGGAGGCGGCAGTACAAACCCCTCACCAACGGTCAAGATTCCCGGCGCCTTCAAGGCCTCAGACCCCGGTTACACCGCAAACATTTACAACAACTTCCGCAGCTACACAGTGCCAGGTCCCGCCGTCTTTACTTGCTAGGTACATGACGGTTGCCATTGTGTCGGAGATGATAAGCCATAATGTGTGTTCATGATAGCCTGGGATACATGATTTGCATCATGACGCTTTAACGACCGTAGTGTATGTATCCGTTGCGTAAAACGCAAGAATATCTGAATGAAATCACTCTTTAGAATATCACAGCGGCTGATAATAGACATGAACTTACCAAAACAAACACCATATCACCAAGCTTAAGAGATAATTAACTGAATATAAGTCAATCACAGTCATGGTTATCGAAGATACAACTTGGCATTAGAAGAGTGTATTATGACATCACCCTTTCACGAGGTTGAACATTCCTTTCATAGATTCATAAGAGGCCTCAACTCGGCGTTGATCCTAGCATATACATGATACATCCGTCGCATGGGATATTGTAAGCACATAGTCGTCCACATAATGTTTCAGATCCTCAGGCGGCATGAAATCACGTGCGTAACTCAACCTCCAACAGATGTGAAGCATGAAACTCAAGCAACGAACCGTGCCGATCAGGCGCATTCAATAAGGTAGGGATATTCGGCAGCCCATCGTACCTAATACGTTGACAGGCGACTTCTCTGATTCAAAAGAGGGCTCGTACCCCAGTCTATCTTCAATTAGCTTTCATGCGTAACCCCGTCCTACTTTCGTTTTCCCCAAGGTGTCGTACTATATCTATACCTGGCACCGCGCGACTAAATAACCTGCTATAAATGCCATACACCAAGACCTGGATAATTGTGAGTATATAGAGATATAAAATATTTTTCTCCGTCGACTTCATCAGTATGTTAAGCAGTGTTGACCATACGAAAGTCTAGGCAGATGATCTAGTATATCTAATACTTCACATCCAATTCTTAGAACTGTATACAGTCCTTGAAAAAACGTGGCCATGAAAGCTACACTTACTTCTATCGGCGCTCTAGCGACAAGTGTGTCGGCGATGCTGCCACGAACCCCTTACTGGCATGGAAATGCTGTCCCTACAGGTAGGACTCTCCCGCTAGACTATAGCACTAAAGTCTGCGAAGTGCTAAGTTCTTATCTTTCACTTTTCGATCCTCGGAGGCCTTGATACTGAGGTATAACCATTCTAGAACGAGATACGGGCGTCCAGTATTTTGGTGTCAACATCGCAGGTTTCGACTTCGGCTGTGCCACAGATGTAAGAGAAGATTACTACAATTGTTTTAAGCAAGATATAAAGCCAATACGATTAGGGAACTTGCGTAACCGAGCAAGCGAGTCCGCCATTATTGGCAATGGCGGCACTTGGAGGTCCTGATGGGTAAGGTCGTCACACACTCGGCCTATAAAAGTGTTCGAATGCTAACACATAGCTTAGAGAAGGACAAATGCTCCACTTCGTTAATGATGATGCTATGAACATATTTCGATTACCCGTCGGTTGGCAGTACGTATCTCTGATCGATAAGTTGGAGACTCCGCGGACCACGCAATTCCATGATGCATTATGTAACATCACGAAATCCTGTCCAGCATGGTTCCTTAGCAATGTTGATGATATGGTAAAAGTTATCTATCTGTTAGTGTCTGATCCTTATTTGGTAGGTACCTCGTGAATAATGAGCTAGGAGGCACGCTCGACTCCAACAACTTTGATCTATTCGACCAACTCGTCAAAGCTTGTTTAGATACCGGTGCTACATGCATAATCGATGTCAGTTATCATCTACAACTATATCGTGATCAAGTAGCTGCTAACTTCCCGAATGTCTGCAGGTTCACAACTACGCCCGCTGGAACGGGCAAATTATCGGACAAGGCGGCCCAACTAATGAACAATTTGCAAGTCTCTGGAGACAAATAGCGACGAAGTACGCCTCAGAAGAAAAGATCATGTTCGGCTTGATGAACGAACCCCACGACGTACCCAACATCAATGCATGGGCACAAAGCGTACAAGCAGCAGTGACCGCAATTCGCCAGGCTGAGACGAACAGCAGCGGCATCGCACATACGATCCTGATTCCAGGCAACAACTACACCTCGGCAGCGGCTTTTCCAACAGATAGCGGGCCTGCGCTCTTGAAAGTCGTGAACCCAGATAACACCACGACCGGCCTTATCTTCGACGTGCACAAATATTCGGACAGCGACAACTCGGGAACCCACACAGAGTGCACGACCGACAACATTGCGTCCGCATTTGCGCCACTCGCGGACTGGCTGCGCACGAACAATAGACAAGCTATGAATACGGAGATGGGAGGAGGTAATACGGAGTCTTGTCAGAAATTGATCTGCGACCAGATCGCGTTTCTTAACGAGAACTCTGACGTCTATCTGGGCTATGTTGGCTGGGCGGCCGGATCGTTTGATCCTGAGACGTATGAGCTCAGCGAGGTTCCGACCAAGAATGGGGATACTTGGACTGATAGTGCTCTGGTCCAGGCATGTTTTAAGAAGCCTGCCTGAGCGGGATTTTATCATCGGACTGTCGCATTAGGATCGTCTAGTTTGGGATTGTGTAGAGATTCACTACATTGAACATGAGCTGAGTTAGTACTTACCTACTTGGCTAGAGAAGAACCGTGGGATTGCCGCCTGTTGCACACTCAACCATTAATGCATTCCTTCTAGATTTGAATTATCTTTGACTAATTCTTAGTTCGATGTTCACTGTGATTCGCAATTGCTGAATATTGATTTGACAGATATAGTATTGTTATTTGTCTGCCACTGTAGTCCAATTGAGGGATAATCTGAATGAACTACAGAAATCGGTACAAGTACCGCAAAACGAGTGGAGGCTCATTCTTAGGCAGCCTCAAATCAGTCCCGAAACTATCCCTCCCAATGTCTTAACACAACGAAGACGAGGCTTCTTAGGTTTGAGCCGTCACCTCGCCTACCTGGAGTCTATGGAAGCCGCCCTTAGCCGCGACATCCTTCTGCAGATCAGCCATTTTCTTCTGATCGCCAGTCGGATCTTGTGAATCAGTGCCAAGCGTCCAGTCCAAGAACTCATTAGTATAGTTTGGTTTGAAGCTAGCATCAAGTACGCCCAATCGCTTGCCGTACGCGGTAACCTTCTGCCAGTCACGATTGACGTTCTTCAAGTCCTTAGAGAAGTAGGCGTAGCTTCGCTCGAAGATCTTTCTGTTGAGAGCAGTGCCCATAATGGGCTTGAAGTCCACGTACTCCGCCCACGCCTCTTCGGGCTGAGCGATGACGAAGTCTGTGGCCTTCTTTACGGCGCGCAGGAACGCCTGGACTTTATCTGGGTTCTGCTTGATGAAAGCCTCATTCCCGATATACAGGATGGAGCAGAAGCAGCAGCAGCCTAGCTCAGCGAGCTCGTCGATGCGTAGCATCTGAACGTCCGTCTTCGGGCGGCCTTGGGAAGCGAGCCATTCCTCGAGCTCAACCATCTGCACATTCTCCAGTCCGATACCGGCGTCAATCTCACCCTGGATGATAGCCTTAGTGACATTCATCCCGCAGCGCACGGCAGTGTAGTCCGACGGTGACATGCCATAGTGCGAGGTCAGCTCGTCAATCTGGATCTTACCGAACTCGCCGACGTAGCCGATGCGCTTGCCCTTAAGGGTCTGAAAGTCCGGGGTGATACCTGAGGACTTCAAGTAGACGACACCAGTGAAGGGCTCGTCTAGAAGACTGCCAACCGAAAGAACGGGGAAATTACGAGCTTTAGCCTATAGATGATGTTAGCATATGCGTATCATATTTGCAAATGGAACGACATGCCGCAAGTGTATGGATCATAGCCTTGAAGCCCAGGTCGACTTTGCCGGTGCCGATGATTTCGGTAACATCCTGCAATACTGTTAGCGTCTTCAGACAACATGTTTCTTCCACTCTTCATACGCTAGGATCATTGGGCTCAAGCAGAGCGACCTTGATTCCTTCCTCCTTGAAGTAGCCCTTCGACTGAGCTAGGAATAGCGGTGCATGGTATGGCGTAGCATGCCTAACTTGTGTTAATCTATGTTTTTGCACAGTTACCGCAAAACAACACTAATTCCTACCAATTGGTCAAAAAGGTGATCTTGTCAGTGGACATGTTGACAGATCGATTGCGATACTGCAAGAATTAGCACAACTTTGAGCGAGAGTCGGTAAAGGGGGGGATGTCAAAGAAGCACGTCCTTTCGCTGGTATTATCCAGATCAAGTTCGCCGGTATTTCTCAGATCGGCCATCCCACCATGCTCCCGTGACTTTCATACAGCTCAATCAGATTGAGTGATGGGAGATCAACAGAAGCATGGCAAGGACGGGTCGAACACCCGGGTGCATCGTTTTGCATAGTTACCTTGATCAGCAGATAGCTCCATTGCGAGAGGCGCCATGGTTCTCTTGCGCGGGAAGCGTACCAGGCAAATGTAGTACTTGCTGGGAGAAATTATTTTCTAAAGTTGAAGTGGGTGATGGATGTTGGGAGATTGTAAAAGGCAGAGAGAGGAAGACGACAAATTAGACTGAAATATGCCCTCGAGAATGAGTGAGAAGGAGTGCCGTGTGAGGGGTATCATCGCAGAGCTCACTGTTGCGTCATTGAGCGACCACGGCCATCAATCAGATTCACAACCCCCGCCGCAATCGGATTCGCAAGACCGCAGCTCATGACAATAATGTGCTACTACCTAGGTAGTAGTCACTGTTTTTTCGTTTTATTTTCGGCAATGTGGATTCGCGAGATCTTGTTAGTGGTCGATCTGCAACTTTAGCGTGGATTTGTCCTGTTCGACGGCTTCAGCATCGTTCACCCGTGGTAATTACGACAGATGCATATAATCAACCTTTTAATCTGTTTATTCTCTCAGTTAGAAAGCGCCAGCAACTAGATTGAGGCTGCCTGCCGACCGTAGTTACGAACCTACAGTTATCACGTTCGGTGGCTAGGCGGCTCGTTATCTGGCTACTCAAACTTAAGCTGATGATTTTGAATACCACGTTATCAGATACCTAGATGGACCCCATGTTATCCCCTCGTCTAGATTATACATAATTAAGTGTGGCATACAAAATTATATACTGTAGCAAATGCGAGCTTCAAATGCATCTATCTGCATTCGGGGCTGAGAAGAATTTGATTCTATCCAAGATTATTCAATATAGTTTTAGATTAACACAATTCTCGTATGCGGAATCTAACAATCCGAGAATCAGGGGCAACGTGGCTGAGTGGTTAAAGCGTATGACTAGAAATCATATCCCTTCGGGGTCACAGGTTCGAGTCCTGTCGTTGTCGAATCTTTTGTCTTTTGCTACTCACAGAATCTTCCCATCCGTATTCTTTTTGTCGGCCCCTCTTCTAGTCAAGCACACCCTAGTACCTACAACAACTAAGTAAAGCCTGTCCTCTGTATGAGCCTATTTTTATGGGATAAACCCCTCCCTTGTCCTTGGCAATCAGGGTGGGAAATTGTACTTACGGGTCAATTATCCCGGTCGAAAATCTTCACGTATCTCATGCTTGGATTTATTGTTCTAGAATACTCTAAGTGCAGGGTTGGGAATTAGTATACTAAAGTCAATACTAAGCTTAGTATTTAGTATTTAATATTTAAAAAGCAATACTAAATACTAATTAGTATATATTAAGCTGTACTAAATACTAATTAGTATTTATTAATTAGTATTTAGTATTACATTTTAAATATTAAATATTAAGCTTAGTATTAAAAATGTAATACTAAATACTAATTAGTATAAAATTTTCGATACTAAATACTAATTAATATATACTAATTAATATTTAATATATACTAATACTAAAAATAAATATTAAAAAAAAAAGAAAAAAAAAAGTAAATAATAATTTATTACGTTATAAGCATTAATAATTAAGTTATATATAATTAATTTAAAGATTAATAATTATAAATACCTAATATTATTATTACCTTATTTAATAATAAGTTAATAACTTACTTTATATTATTATTACTATATTTAATAATATATAATTAAATAATTTAACTTTTA